ATAGGTTGAAAAGCATATTACAGTTTCAGATGTATCTTGTGTTTGAAAACCAAAGTTTATATTGAAGAATCTGGGATATGATCAAATTAGCTTTTCACTAATTTAGACAAATTGGAATGTTTTCAGACCAATTCACAATGCAAATCCATGAGGTGAATTCAATTCAGTTTATTTCTATAGCGCCAAATTCACAACACCTGTCATCTGAAGGCACTTTACAGTTCAACCAGATCATAGTCAGATTGATTCAAAATTTTCTATCTAAGGAAAACCAGTTGATTGCATCGTCTCATTGACTCAAATACAATCCCTCACACTAAGCATGCTTGTAGCGACAGTGGAGAGGAAAAACTCCCTTTTAACAGTAAGAAACCTCCAGCAGAACCAGGCTTAGTGTGAGCGGCCATCTGCTGAGGCCGACTGGGGTTCAAGGAAACAGAAGCAGAGATACAGAAAGAAGCTTTAAAAGGCGGCCCAGTCCAGGAAACACACAGCCAGGCAGATGAGCTCTGAGCCAGCTTCCATGCCAGAGAACAAAGAGAGCACATCCAGCCAGTCAGGGTCAGAGAAACAGGACCACACTGGAAAACAATCTGATCTCCAGCATCTATAAACAAGGGTGTTGATGGAAGCAAAACAGCTGATATTTATCTCCAGGATGGCGTCACAGCCAAACAGGAACAGACGAGGCAAAGCTACTCTGAGGAAAAGCAGAGAGAGCTAGAGAGAGTTAGAGATTGAACTAACAGATTCTACAGAATAGGAGAATAGAGAAAGAATGAAGCAGAATGATGAAATGGGGGTCCCTATGTCCTCCAAAAGTCTAAACCTATAGCAGCATAACTATAGAGATAGCTCAGGATAACCTGAGTCCCTCAAACTATAAGCATTATCAAAAAGGAAAGTTTTAAGCCTAGCCTTAAAAGTAGACAGGGTGTCTGCCTCAGGACTAAAACTGGTAGTTGGTTCCACAGGAGAGGAGCCTGATAACTAAAAGATCTGCCTCCCATTCTATTTTTAGAAATTCTAGGAAGACGAACACAGATAAAAGTCCATTATCTGAGGCCATGAGAATATCATTAGTGACTTTCACCAGAGCTGTTTCAGTGCTATGATGAGCTCTAAAGCCAGACTGAAACTTTTCAAAAAGTTAATTATGGTGGAAGTGATCGCAAACTTGCTTGACAACTACTTTCTCAAGAATTTTAGATAAGAAAGGAAGATTGGATATAGGTCTATAATTGACCAAGTCATCTGGGTCAAGGGACGGTTTCTTAAGCAGAGGTTTAATTACAGCAACCTTAAAAGCCTTAGGTACATATCCCTGTAACAGAGATGGATAAATCACATCTAAAATGGAGGAGGAGATAAAAGGGAATACCTCCTTAAATAACCTGGTTGGAACTGGATCTAACATACAAGTTGAAGGCCTAGATGAAGATTTTTGCTAACTCAGAAAGTTCAACTGGATCAAAGCAGTCTAAACCCGATTCAGATTCCATGACTACCTCAGATACAATCGCGGATAGAGGAGTGCTTATGATCTTATTTTTAATAAGATCAATTTTATTTATAAAGAATCCCATAAAATCATTGCTGCTAAGAGCAGGTGGAATGGACGGTTCAACAGAGCTATGGCTCTGGGTGAGTTTGGCAATTGTATTAAAAAGAAATCTATGATTTATCTTATTCTCCTCTATTAATGAGGAGAAGTATGCTGCTCTTGCTTTACAAAGGGTCCTCTTATACAGCAGTAAACTATTTTTCCAGACTAGGAAGGACTCCCGCAGGCCTGTGGAGCGATATTTTCTCTCCAGTTTCCTAGCATTTTGCTTTAAAGTATGCAGCTCAGCATTAAACCAAGGAGCAAGTTATCTATTTTTAGCGGTTTTCATTTTCAAAGGAGCTGCGTTGTCTAAGGCAGTACGCAGAGAACTAGCAACCCCATCAACAAAATCATCAACCTGTGAAGGGGAAAAAGCTAAGCTTTTGCACTCTGCAGCACTGCTCAGTGACACAGAGGAGAGAGAAAGTGAAGCAGATTCTTTAAATTGTATAAATGCACTATCTGATAAAGATCTACTAAAATTGAACCTTCTTTTGGGGGAGGAGAACTCTGTTAAAGTAATCCTGTTGGTTATTAGAAAGTGGTCAGAGAGGACAGGGTTGTGAGGAAATACTGGTATTTCTTCACATTCTATGCCGTATGTCAGCACAAGATCCAAAGTATGAAGATGAGAATGTGTGGGACTATTCACATTTTGAACAAAGCCAATAGTGTCTAAGATAGCACTAAAGGCTTCTCTTAAGCTATCGCCTTCAATGTCAGCATGGATGTTAAAATCTCCCACTATGATGACCCTATCAGTATTTAATACCAAATCAGAAAGGAACTCTGAACACTCATCTGAAAATTCAGAGTAAGGACCTGGTGGACAACCACACCTCTCAGCGCAACAAATGTTCAAAAGAGTTGTAGGTATTAACTGTTTTGGGAGTAATCAGTAAGTCAGACTCAAAGATTGTTGCTACTCCTCCTCCTCGCCCAGAACTTCTGGGTATGTGAAAATTTAAATAGCTTGAAGGAGTTGCCTCATTTATGCTCACATAATCCTCTTGCTGCAGCCAGGTTTCTGTAAGGCAACACAAGTCAATGTGATTATCACAAATCAAATAATTAACTAGCAGACTTTTAGAGGAAAGAGATCTTATGTTAAACAGACCACATTTAATCATTTTAACTTTTTCCCCATTGGAGTTATTTTAATTTTAATTAGATTATCATGATTTACTTATTTGGGAATATTTGCTAATTTATTAGATTTAGGTCGTTGGCAAGACACTGTCTGGATGGAGTAAAGAGTGGGTAACAGTAGAGAAGCTGCAGAGATGTGTGTTAAACACGTCTCTGCTTCCTGGTCTGCACCCTGGGTGGTCAGGGTTTTGGAGGACTAATAAATGTGGCCAGATTCCTAGAAAGAAGAGCTGCACCATCCAAAGTGGGATGGATGCCGTCTCTCCGAATCAGACCAGGCTTTCCCCAAAAGGATTGCCAATTATTAACGTAGCCCACGTTGTTTTCAGGACCCCACCTAGACAATGACGACATGCGGCTAAACATGTCATCACTGGTCAGATCAGGGAGGGGACCAGAGAAAATTACGGAGTCCGACATTTTTTTGGCAAATTTACACACCGAAGCAATACTAATTTTAGTGACCCCAGATCATTGTAACTGGGTGTCATTACCGCCTGCATGAATAACAGTCTTACTGTATTTAACCTTATCCTTAGCCATCAGTTTCAGGTAGGATTTGATGTTGCCCGTTCTGGCCCACGGCAAACATTTCACTTTGGTCCCTGGTGTCTCTAATGCCACGTTTCTGAATATGGAGCTGCCAATCACCAGAGTGGGCTTCTCAGTGGGTGTGTCACTGAGTGGGGAAAACCGGTTAGAAACGTGAACGGGTTGGTGGTGACCAGTGGGCAGAGATCCACGACTACGCTTTCTGCTTACAGTTACCCAATCGCCTGGCTGCTCAGGAACTTTTGGAGGACAGCTACGTGGGGGGGCTACTTTAACTCCTGGATGTTCAACAGCCTGAAGCCTGGATTCTAACTCTGACACCCTCGCCTCCAAAGCTACAAAAATACTACACTTATTACACATCCCATTATCACTAAAAGAGGCAGAGGAATAACTGCACATCTGACACAGAGAGCAGGAGAGATGAGAGGAAGAAGGAAGAGTTGGAAAAGAGTCAAGGGAGGGAGAGAGAGAAGCCATAGTAATGCTAAGCTAGCGCTAGCCTAGTGTAGAACTATGCTGTCCTTGTTTGTGTAATTTAAGAATTTCATTTTTTGCATCCGAAATGAATTGGAACCGATAAAGAGGAAAAAAATGTTTAATTTTTTTGCCAAAATCTCTTGGTTCGAAATCCTTCGTTCAGGTCACCAGTTAAGATCTTGTTTTTACCAAGATTTGTAGGTGACCTCTACTTTCCAATGTTTCTGTGTGCTAGATTTCAATATAATGTCTCCTATGTTCTTTGTGCATGTTGCTAATTATGTATTAGGCCTTGAATCTGTTTACACAGTGTGAAAAATTATATAACACCATCACTCCATTGCTGGATCAATACCTACCTACACTAATGTACTCTTTTATTACTTTAGTAATACATCAGGGGAGTTGTTGGCCCAGTGGTTACAGAGAGGTGTGATTGTCCTCTGAGAAGGTTGCAAAGTACCAATCCCCACAGCCTCCACTCTGGTCTCCTGAGCAACCCTAACCCTTACCCCATACTGCTCTCGGGGCGCCACAAAATGGCAGCCCACCTCTCCCCAAAGGGATGGTTCAAATGCAGGGAGTGAATTTTCCAATTGTGGGACAATAAAGGGATTTACATTACATAGTCAATTCCAAAGGCATAAAGGCCTTTTTATCCTCCCGCAGCAGTGTGTCACAGTGAGCTTGTCGCAGATATTATTGATTTATGCCCGATATTGAAGCGTGGTCTGCGCTATGTTATTTCACACCACAACGCAAGAGGGACAATCATGAACTATCTGTGGGTCTAGATACTGTGGAGGCGGTGAGGAAGTGGGGGCAAGTTTGTGCAACAATGGAGAGACATGAGGGTGAAAAAGAGCGGGGATCCAGGTGGAAAATGTGTCCCAGCGTTCTTGAGTACCTCGCTCTTCTAGCTGGTCCATCTTAACAAGTCGTTTTCCACAATGGCGGTCATACAAACAAAACAAGCCGGCAAGGTACCAAACAGGAAATATGCATAGTGTTTGTAGATTATTATTAGATGTAGATGCAGAGTGTTTGTGGAAGACGTCCGCAGACGACCTGATTTCTGAGTATAACTCAGCCTTTAGGACTAATTAAGTGATTACGTTTATTCAGATAAATGTAATAAAAGTGTATTTCATCAGTCATCTCCAGATGCAGCAAGGCGGAGCTTCACTAAAGGTGTGTTGTTTTTTTTTAACAGGATGCAGCGGCTGCAGAGCTTCGGCAGCGCTATGAGGAGGAGCAGGAGAGAAGCTTCGAGGAGCAAAGCGTCCTTGCTCTGGAGGACAGGAAATCGGCGCTGCTTCGAGCCATGACATCATCAGGTTGACGTGTTTCTGTGGCGCAAATTCTCTACCTCTTTGCTCTGTTCTAACTGTCCTGGTTCCGATCTTCAGGCTCTGAATCTGGAGGAGGCTCCGATGAGGCCCTACAGCGCCGTCTGCTGGCCCTTGAGCAGAACTTCACCTTTCCCCGCTCAGCGCTGGCGGTGCAGCTGAGCACAGCCAGAGCGGGGCTTAGCCATTGTCATGAGTCTCGCGCCTTTCTGAAAGCGGATTGGCCAATCAGGGAGCCGGACAGCCCCCGCCGTGAGGCCAGGTACCAGGTGTTCAGAGACCTGCGGGGGCGGGGCTTCTACCTGACACCTGCAGGAAAGTTTGGAGGAGACTTTCTGGTGTATCCAGGTGAGTTTGAAAACCCCTCTGTACCGTCTGAGCTGTTGGTCCTCCAGCTCACTCCTCTTCCTCCTCCTCATCAGGTGACCCGGTGCGTTTCCACGCCCACTTCATCGCCATCTGCCTGACTCTAGAAGAGTCCATCTGCATGCTGGACGTCCTGTCTGTGGCCCGGCTGGGCTCCAACGTGAAGAAAACAGTTCTGCTGTGCTCACCAGCTCCGGACGGCCCGGTCCAGTACACGTCATTACAGTGGAGCGGGATGGTGTAGCGGGGGACCGGCCACTTCCTGCTGCATTCAGGAAATGACCAGAACCTAAGAGGGGACTGTGAATGTTAGAGTAACTAAGCATTCCATCAGAATCCTGAACCCGGGGTTCTAGAATGGACCGGAACAAGTTTGAAACCAGAATTGGACCCGACTGAGGCTAAGTTTCTGCTGAACCCCTTCAAAAACAAACGGGTTCTGATATCACAGACATTAGGGCCTCTTTGGCCCCGGACTGGAAGCTGAGGCCCCTTAGCTGATGTGGAGTGGATCTGGGTGGATTCTGCTACAGTTTCCTGTGTTCTATCATTACAAAGTCCCCTAATTGTCTTTGGGCCCCTCCTAACACCTTTTGGCCCCTCAGGTTCTAGACGTAGAGGTTAAAAGGCCTAAATACCTAAAACCTTTTGGGCCCTTAGATTGTTTCCTTTAATTGAAGCAGTGAAGGAGGATCTTCATCAGCAAGTTTCTGGCTCCTTCGTTCTTTCGCTCCCAGAACCTCGAAATGTGCCGGCAGATCAATAAGCTTGACTGAGAACTCTTCTGACTTAATGTGTATTTAAAGATAAACAAGCTTGTTGTGTTTTTGTTTTTTTTATTTCTCAGGAAAATGTTTATTTTTTATGGCAAAGCTGAAAACATCCAGTTGATTGCAAGCAGTTGCCATGGAGATGAAAGGCATTTGTCTCATTCAGAACAAAAAGAGAAATAAATATTTTCAGAGTAAAGCATCATGACAAGACTTAAAAATATTGATTCTTAAAAATGTTTTATTGTTTCCAATTTAGATTTCTCCCCAGATGCTTTAGATTATCAGAGCTTCTCATTTCTCTCATCCTTATGTTGTGTTGATTAATACATGCAGGTCAGGATAGCGCCAGCAGGGGGAGCTATAACTCATCTGCTCAGTAGAATGGGTCAGTCCCGTTCCAGTTAATGGCGGCTCCGTCCCACTTTGTCCTGATGGTCATTTCCAGGGACGGGAACCTTTTCTCTGGGTCTGACTCATTAGACATCGCCTCCCAGTGGTGGGAGTGAGTATCTGCAGGAGATCCAAAAATATATATATATATTTTTTTTTTGAGCTAAAAGTGATTAAATTATCTGAATCCTAGTTAAGGGTGGTGTTTACCAACGGTTAGTCGTGCCGTGGACCTCTGGCAGTTCTGGCCATTATAATAGAAGAGCTGAAACAGGTGCTCCATCCTCCAGTCAGACAGCAGGGAGCGGCTCAGGCTGAACAGAACCGAGTGGCTGGTGTTAATGCTACAAACCCAGACTGGGAACCTGGGGGTCTTCAGCATGCTGCCTACCTGCAGAACGATAGCATTTTGTTCAAATGGTTAGAAGAGAAAAAACTATTCAAAAGGAAAAATTATGGGGAAAAAAACAATTATCTTCATTTTTAAGTCTATAATGGGAAAAACGGAGCATGAGCACTGAGTTGAGTTTTCCATATAAGGAAAACCTTGGTTTGATGCCTTGTTTAATGTAAATTGAACCAAGTTAAACCCTGAACAATATAATCCACCGTTATCACTAACGGCTAATAGGTGGGTGATAGTGTGGGCAGGTTGCCAGTCCACTGGACAGACCATTCATTAACCTAATCATCATACGTGGGAGGAAGCCAGAGTATCCGGAGAGAACTCCATGTGTTTAAAACCACACAGAAACACAGAAAATACTGAAAACATTTCCAGTGTCCAAATACTGACAGAATGGGACAGGATAAAATATTGGCTTCATCCAAAATCCCCTAATTGTAGACCCTAGCTCCTCTTCCTTCACTTTTTATGGGGTCAACAGTAAGGACACTAAAGAAGGTAGGAAAGGAACTTTGTAAGGAAAGCGTTAGGATGTCTGTATGTGATGGAAATGTACATGGAAGATGCCTGGCATAGTCCAAATAAAGCAACAGGTAAGCACTCTTAAACCAAAGTGGAAGTTCCTGAGTGGTCACCGTGATGAGTGCTGTTCGAACAATGCTGACAGTAAGGAGAAGGTAGTTCATTATGCATAGGTAGGAACTTCCTAATATTCCTGCCTGGAGGTTAGGAGCATGTGCGGTTCTAGACAGGGGCCAACGGGGGCCAGCGCCCCTGTAGATTATGTCCTGGCCCTTGTTATGGCCCATGTACTGAAGACAATAAGGACATTCTAATGATGAAATGCGCTGGAACAGACATGGTTACTGATAGGTCCGTTGGATCTAGTTTTTTTCTTTACAAATTCTGTTATACTAATTATTTAAAAACAGTAAGGTGATAGCTTCAGTGTTTTTGAGATGGGATCCCAGTTTTCGTCTTCTACATGTTTTTTTTTTTAACAAATTGTTCTAATTTTTACAGGTGAGTTTTAACAGAAAATTATAATTTTAACTTAAATTAAGTCAAGAATATGTGAAATTCTTATATTATGATCATATATTGACAAAATAAGAAATAGAATTTTAATCAAAACTAATTGAATAGAAATGTCACTTCGTGCAGCTCTCTTAATATATTTGAATCCCTTGCCCTGTTTTTTATTTTATGCTTTTCCGTTCCCCGATGAAAACACTCTGGCCCCCTCCTGGCCCCCTGCTACATTTGGTGTAGAACCGCCTCTGCTTACGAGCTATACTATTTCATGCAATCCTTTGCATAAACACCTGAATATGGAGTTGTCTTCACATTTCATTTGTCTGATACATGCTAATTGTCCTACCTTTCATATCTTTTGGGTTTTATAACGGACAGCTTCAGCCATTTGCTACATTTGTGTGCCAATTTGATTATTATCATCTATGTGAGATTCCATTAAGTAATGACGTCCCTATAGCTAAAGGCTGTCTGGATTCAGCACAGCAGTCAGCTCCTTTCCTACCCATAGAGCTCTTACTGTTGGTCTCCTGAAAGGTGAATGAGGCTTATATGCTGTCAAATCATCAGACAGAATGGGTTATACTGCCTCTGCAGGCCAGGAGGATTCACACAGGTAAGACCTGAGACTGAAGTACAGACGTAGTACAGAGCAAAGATGATTTTATTGAATTGGCGAGTGTTGGGTAGAGAAGTAGATACCTGCGGCAGCCCGTCTCGGTTCATCTGCTCCCGGCTCCAGTGCAGATAACCAACATCGCTGCGAGACAGGACTCCCTTCAGGGGGCGCTCCAGAGGCTGGCCGTCCTCCCCAAACTGCAGCGTCCCATTGAAGACGTGAGAGCTTGCTCTGCCGGTCAGCAGCAGGTTCATTAAAGGCTGTGGACACAACAACACCATAAGTAGAACCTGAGCACTAGGTGGGGCCCTGCGGATGCATCATTGGCTCAGGTGCTTCCTCAGTCAGGACCTACAAAGCTGGGTATTAGCAGGGATGAAAGAGACGTTTACACAGCCTGCAGGCAGCTTATAGAGCAGCAAATTCTCAGAAACCAACTGATCAGAACCAGGTAAGATTCTGTTTTTGAATCTGCTGGTCTTTTAAGATGGCAGGAGTTAGTATAGGATTCACTCAACGTCGCAGGTTAGCATCTTACCTGTCGACACACAAAGTTTCCCAGGCTGAGGTGCAGCAGATGGGCGGTGTCGCAGTCCAAATCGTCTCTCATCCTAAAAGGAAGAAGGATCGGGTAAGATATCAGAACTTGTCTGATGCGAGATTTTGCAATAAAACCAAGTAACGTCTGTACTGTCTCTGCAGGTCTCAACCCTTATGCTACGGTCAGACTGCATGCACTGGAAGCAGCAAAAAAGCTTCTGCTGCTTAAATTTTGATGCTTGTACACATTAAGCACAGATTGTTTTTTTTTGGCCAGAGCAGCTTTGACACTCCTGAAGCGCGTCTAGTAAAGTGTGTCCAGATGCATCTGCTGCTCCTGTGTTTAGTGGCAGAGAGCGGGTTTGCTATGGTAAGTAGCTAAAAAGTAGTTTTAATATGTTTTTAAGTGAGAAAGTCCATCTAAAAACTTCTGTGCAGTCAGTTTATCAAGATTACGATCCTGCCTTCAAATATTATTTCTCTGTCTCTAACCGCTCAGAACCCCGTACACCGGTGGAGTTTGGTCCCTGGAAATCATGTTGAACAGCAGCCTCTGGCCAGGTCGCCTCTTCACTGTTTTTCGCTACTTTCTGCAGCGGCTGGAAGGCGTTTTTCACGTACATAATCCAAACTGCAGGCATCAGAATCATAAAATCAAACATATTTTGCCAACAGGTTTCAACATTTTAGGTTAATTTATATATTAATAAGCTGTTTCAGAGGAGTAATCATAGCGATCTGCATCAGCAGTGCTGTGTCTGTCTCCCTGCCAGCAGATCAGCTGCTCTGATTGGTTGATGTGGCGCGTCGAGCAGCAAAAGTTCAATTTTTCCAGCTGCTGCTTTTGCAGCACGTCCCACGTGTCAGATGCTCAGAAGCTCATGACGTGCTGCTCCTGCTGCTCAAAACTGCATGTAAATTAGCTGCTCCTGCTGCCTCTAGCGCGTGCAGTCTGAATGTAGCCTAATTCAGTTTTACTCAGATCCATGGTGTCTGTATGGTCAGACCATGGATGGTCTTGGTGTTACCTCTCTACTGTCCGGGAGCAGATCAGGCTATACAAGAACAGGATGACTCCATGGCTCCCCTCCTCTTTAAACTAAAAGCAGATAGAAAATCCTGGTTTTCAAAGGTCTCCCAGATTTATTTTTCCACTTTTCCAACCTTGATGCCTACCTCCGTCCATGCACAGATCAAAAGCCCATTTCAGCTTTATATGGGATCAATCATTGATGCTGATTTCTGGATTTACTCACACATTTAATATGGTTCATGATGAACTTCTGGACGTCCTCCTTCTTGTTGAATGTGAACAGCTGCAACTGAAACGCATCATAGATTCAGTATGGACTTCATCAGCGCAGAGAGAGGAATTTAGACAGCCTGGACACAACTAACCTTCTCCGTAAAGTTGTCCATCTTGTAGTCCAGGTGGGGAGTGATGCAGTAGGCCTCCGTTACCAAGGTAACAGTGGCTCGCTCCTCCTGACCGGCCAACCAGAGGCTGTCAGAGAGTGCAGCTGCAAGTGCCTTTTCCTGGTCCCTCTGTTCCACCTGAGTGAGGCTGATCAGGCACACATCACTGAGCATTAAATTAATCCATTCCAATCAGATTGGTTGCAGGGCTCTCCAACTTGTTTCAGAGTTATTTTTGTTTCATCATTGCTGCAAAGCAAAAGAACATGTTCTGGAAAGGAAAATGTGAAAAAAAGAATATAATCCAGAAAGGAAACTTCTAAAAATGGTTTTGGGAGTAACTTTCCTTTTTTTTCTTAAGTTTTTTTTTTTTTTTTTTTTTTTTTACATTGGTACATTTTTTTTTATTTATCTGGTTTGATCAATCGCATTTTTATATATATAAAAATTTTTTCTTCAAATTTTCTGTGTTTCAGATTGAGAATTTCATAATGCATTCTTTGCAAACATTTTATAAGAAAGTTTCTTAAAATTTAATTTCTAAATTATCCTTTTCTCTCAAACTTCTAATTAAACAATGTGTTCTTTGCTTCCGACAATAATGGGAAAAAAAATTCATCCATACAGAAAAGCTGCTTTTTCAGCCTCCCTCAACACTTTAGGATTTTTCTTCGGGGAAAGTATTTACTTACTGTATTAGCCTGTAGCATTAGCATCTCAGAAATAGAACAGGAATACAATAAAGAACCCAACATACATTCAAGAAAAAATTAAACGCACTCATCATACATACAAAACTAATGTCTCAAATGTCAGATTGACTCACTGGAAAAAATTAAAATCTAGATTAGTCATTATTTTTTTGAAATAAGTGAATTTGTTCTTGGATTGAGGAGGTAAAGACATTTTGTCAATAGAACAAGACAATTTACACTTAAAATAAGAAAACACAATTGCATTGTCTTATTTCAAGTGAATATCTAATTACCTTATTTTAAGAGTAAAAATACTCATTCCACTTGTAAACTATCTCATTTACCTACTCAAGGGTAAATATGCTTAATTTAAAGGAATAGTACACCCAAAACATGATTAGCCTTCATTTTCTACTCACCCCCATGCTGAACAACACTCTGGAGTACTTTTTTGATATCTCAAATGCATCTGGAGATCTGGGAGGCTTCTTGCTGTCTGCTGACATTCAAATAATGGAGGTCTACGGTGCCCGAGACAGAAAGGTCCATAAAAGTCCACAAAAAACGTGTCAATATTCCTCCATACTGCTCGTCCAATGTATTCCAAGTGTCCTGAGTGGGTAGCATCCAGAATTTACTCGAAACGAAGTCATTTAGAATGTTTTTAGAGCATAAACAGTAGTGTATAGGATTTCCTGAAAGCGCGCACATGCACGCTCACGACGCTACGGAAGCCGGCAGACCACACCAGCGCATTCAGCTCGGCAAAGAACTCATGCTCTTCCTCAACACTGAAGTCCTCAGACATTTTTCTTTCGTTGTTTCTTTCTTTGCACAGGTAAACAGCACATTTCTTCTTCTACGCTTGCATTATTGGCAGAGCAGACGCTGAATGCGCACTTTCATCTGGTTTGGTCTGCTGGCTTCCGTAGCGTCATGAGCGCGCATGTGCGCGCTTTCAGGAAATCCTATACACTACTGTTTATGCTCTAAAAACATTCTAAATGACTTCGTTTCGAGTAAATTCTGGATGCTACCCACTCAGGACACTTGGAATACATTGGACGAGCAGTATGGAGGAATATTGACACGTTTTTTGTGGACTTTTATGGACCTTTCTGCCTCGGGCGCCATAGACCTCCATTATTTGAATGTCAGCAGACAGCAAGAAGCCTCCCAGATCTCCAGATGCATTTGAGATATCAAAAAAGTACTCCAGAGTTTTGTTCAGCATGGGGGTGAGTAGAAAATGAAGGCTAATCATGTTTTGGGTGTACTATTCCTTTAAGAAACTTTTACTTATTTCTAGATTGTTTTTCCAGTTCTTTCATGCGGCTCCAGCCTCATGAAAGACATTTCCCCTTTGCTGAAATGTCTGTCTCGTGTTGCTTTTCTTGTGCTTTTTCCCCTCTCCCTCCCTAATATAAAAGCAGCGCTAAAGGGAACCGCCTACAGGTTGGGACCCTCAGCAGCCATAAGAAAGCGCTAAAGGCAGTGTTCTGCGGCACGCATGGCCTCAGTAAAACTTTCCCCCTCTCAGCCCCCCCACCCCAATGTATGTGATGAACAGTTTGTACTGAATTATAACCTCAATTGCAATGTAAATTGTAGTTGACAATAAATTAATTGATTGATTGATTGATTCCCACACTGTATGGATCCATGAAAGCTTTAAGCTCTAATTAGTCAGTTACGCTGCTCCTCACCTAATAGGATTTTAGAGCTCTGGTGATTTTGAAATGGCTCTGATGTCAAGATGGCGTTTCTAACTCAGGCAACCATGCTTTAGCTGTCACTGGATCTTGTATGAACCGGGTAAGGTGTCATAGTACCAAACAGGATCGTGTTAGGACACCTGTACTCACTTGTCCAGCGTCCCTATCTCTGTGCTGTCCGGTCGACTGAACAGGAGGTACTTGATGATGCGAGCTTGGATGACCATCTGAATAGCTCGAGCTCCGCCCTGAAACACACACCTCTGCAGGTGAGGCAACTCAAAAGGTTACCTACATATTTTTTAACCCAATAGCTAAAGACAAGACTATGTTGGGTTAAAACAAAACAGTTTGGATTAAGACAAATTGGTCTTATTGAAAGAGGACCTTCAGACCATAACTCTACTTTATCCAACGAAAGCTCAGCTTCAGCAAATTCCAAGTCTTGCTTGTCTGAACAAAATTCAGCATCAAGCAACCATATTGCTGCCTAGTCCCAAGAAAACTTTGCTCTGATTGGTAGAAACTCTGGTTCGTTCAAAGTTCCTTTCTGCCCTCCAAACCCTGCCTTGTCTGACTTGAAACATCTCTGTTTGGACTGACCCAACCAAAACTTAAAATCTGGTAAGTTTGATTAAAAATTAGCTTCAAATGACTAAAGTTCAGTTTGACCAGAAAGTAACCATGACAAGACTGGCCAGATACCGCTGGATTAATCAGCTGGTCCAGTAATGAAAGACAGGAAACAAAGGAGCTGGATGAAGTTCAGGAAGTAGTGGAGTTTGGTGTATAGCCCATTGGGTTGACTTCCTGCAGGGTCCATAGCTAGAGACCTCAGAATATAATGTATAGTGGTGATTGTTTGCCAAACATCCAATTAAAGTTCGTTTAAGCCACTACTAAGGCACTGGGGTCAATTTTCTATAGGCAGGTTAAAAGAAGTTTCAATGTCCAGTCTTGATGATGGTTCTGAATGGTTTATTTTTTTTTATTTTTGCCAGCAATTAAAGAGAACAAACTTTTCTTTTGTCCTACCTCTCTTGCATTGGTAAAAACCACAGGCCCCAAACCCAAAATACCTGCTCGTCCTTTCCTAGGCCCCTACACTTATAGAAAGTGGACTACGCCTACGACAACTTATGGAGATAGAAAAACCTTAACTGTTCTGGAACTTTAACTGTGAAAATTTTCATCTTTGGAATTAATAGGAATGCAGAACGTGTATGGATTGACATATTAAAGTGTTCTCTCTAAACTTTTGAATTTTTTTTTTCTTAATTATGTATTTGTATTTGTCTTGGCTTCTGTAATTTGTTTTGTTTGTATTTATAAATCAACACATTTGGGAAAGGAAAATGTAAACAGTTTATAAAATTCTGTAAAGAAATGGTTTATGCCTTTACCAAAAAAAAAATAAATATAAAAAAAAAAATGAAAGTGGAATGATCCACATCACTTCCTGTCATACCTCAGAACAAAAATTACATAAGGAAAATAATAAAACAAAGATAAATAGAATCAACAATTATTAACCTGCAAATAAACACTGTAAATAATACAAAAATATTAATGTAGGAATTGATTAACACAATTCAAATGGATAAAGAAATAAAGAATAAATAGCTCCAACAATAATGTGTAAAGGAAAGTGATTCAGGCAATACATCTTATGGCCGGTCTGACAACAGTTTTTATTTGGTACCATCAGAACTCTGCTTAGTGAAACATTTAGGTTATGCAATAATAAAATCCTGCCTCACAAACAGAATCTATTTCTGTGTTTTTTTTGTTTGTTTGTTTTTTACTAATGAGACAGTCTTTCATGTTTTTAAAGATGAAAAAAAAGTCATATTAAGGCTCTTTGTTTGTTTTTAACTTGAGATCCTGGTCCTCGTTTAGCGGTCCAACACATCAAGTTTTTGATTTGCTTTGAATTGAGTTCATGTTAGAATTATATTTTTTTGCATTTTGAACCCATCAGGACTTGTTTCCTCCCACGTTTGATGCCTCGCTTTAGTGAAATAGGAGTAGAATTTAGCAGTTATCTCTGAGGTCCAGTTTTCTCACCCTGTCTGCCTCCAGGGCGTACGACATTTCAGAGCCTGGCTCTCTGAACTGGAAGAAAGACTTCCTCCACTCGTAGTTGAAGACGTGAAACGTTCCTCCGAAGAGAATCCTCCTCAGGTCCTTAAAAAGAAAACAGATAAACCTGATCAGCTAAGGCACTGGCCAGTGATTGGTTCCTGGAAAAGCCTCAGCCCTCTTGATGGCAGTCAGCATCTCTACCAGTCCTGGAGGCTCCCCACAGGACATGGAGTTACAAAAATAAAGAGGCATCACTAAAGGAGTAGAAAACAACAATTATTCAGTTTGGTATATAGACAATTTCCTGCTTCACATTCATTCTGTTCAGGTGGAGAATCCTGCTTCAAGGCAGCAGGTTGAGCCAAACATACTCAAAATGTGCAGGGTCATCTTTGAGCACCATTTCATTTTTTTTCCAACAGTTCACCACAGTTCTTCCAGCAGTACACAGTTTATCTGCTCTATTTTTCTCCAGTTAGAGAAAAAATTTGATTGGAGAACGTCTGGATAAATTAGAGGAGCTCAAAAATAGATTTAAGAAGTGGATTTAAACTCCAAAACACTGCTGCTAGTTTTGTTGCAAGCATCGAAAACCATTCACAGATCGAACAGGTAGCGCTCTGATGCAGGTATGTGAACTTTCTTCCCTTTTTTTCCCCTAAATCCTCAAAATAAAAATATCACCAAAACTCTGATTTCTTGATCATATTTCTATAATTTCATCAAGGCAACAAAACCTAATATTGTAATGGAATTTAAACTTAGAGTGCTAAATACAGCAGAGTAGTGACACGATGTGACATTTGCTCCAGGTTAAACATTTAATCACGAATGCTTATTATATATTTAGGCCAAGTAGTCCTTTTTTATGTTGGGCTAACACACTTAGAGCCTGTGTTGCCTTATGAGGCTTAGACTTTTACTTTTTTGTGGCACCAGACAAAATTGTTTTTGGTCCAATATGGGAAAGAAGGAGGCATCATGACTCAGGCTTTCAACCTGCCTAAATAAAGTACAAGGCATTTAAATAATGACTTTAGAATAGAGTTCAACTTTGTTGTCATTACGCCGTCACAAGTACAAAGTAACGAAACAAACTCTCTGCTTTTAACCCATCCTCTTTGGGGAGTAGTAGACTGCCATTGTGCGGCGCCTGGGGAGCAGTATGGGGTTAAGGGTCTTACTCAGGGACCCAGAGTGGCAGTCTGTGGGTGTGGGGCTTGAACTCTGAGCCTTTGGGACAGAAGCGCAATGCCCTAACCAGTAGGCCACCACTCCCTTAATAGTATAGATAATACCAAAGCAGAGATGTAGGGATAAAATGGGCAACTCCAAGCTTTAGGGTAAATTATACAGCATGTGTACAAACAACTTGTACCAGCTGATGGTAGAGGGATGATTAAGTAGATTTGGACCTAAAAACCTATTGAATGGACCATTATTTCTTCCATATACCAGTAAAAATTGAAAACATTTAGGATAAGAAAAACTCCCTATAGCAGTGTCATGTGACCCGTCGTGCCTCTGCGATTGGACAGGTTTACCTCTGTCAACTGGGGGGTGACTGGTGTTCCTCCAAGGCCAGGGGAGACCACTAAGCCCCGGGGGATGGAGCAGAGAGCTGGGAGGGTTCTGCAAGGAGGAGCAACCTCCTCCTGGTCCTCCTCCTTTCCCACATCCAGCAGCCTCTGAAGAAGGGCACAAAGATGGATTATTTGCCTTAAACATAATCTCTAAAACAATTCAGTCAACTATACTAAGGTAGAGCACAACTTGTCTGGGAAGATTGCAATAAAAGTACTTCTTTATAAAGACCTAAATATTTAATGTTACATCTCAGCTTCACTGTTTTCACTACCATAAAATAACCCTTGGAACTCACAGCTTGGTACCAGACCTAACCTCACATTACAGTTTTGGAAACCACTTTGAAACAAATGTTTTCTTTTATCTGCAAAATAAAAAGTTCAAAAAACAGAAGAGAGGAAGAAAAGGGTTGGCTTCCACCTTTTGGGATCTCAGCAGCAGAACCGAAAGGACTCTCTGTAAACTCACATCTGGATTCTTGTTGACTTCATGTTGCAGCAGCTCAAAGTAGTCTAGCCCAGAGTCCGTCATCACCAAAAAAATACCCCGATCAGAACCACCATCAGAACTACATCCGGTATTTCTTACAGCTCAGCCATTAACTCTGTTCAGTCTTCATGCTGACTCCGCTGCCGTTGAACTTTTGATCCAGACCCTTCAGGTCTAACTTTTAATCTTGGATTAGCCCGGTTCTGTTACTGACTTTGGGAGGACAGAGAAAAGATGGTGTAGCAGTGAAATTGAATCCTTTCTGACTGACACATGATAGCCTGGAAGTTGAAAACTGACCCGGCTGCAGTGCAGGATCTACACCACTAGAGAGCAGCAGGATCTAATCCAAGAAATAATTGCTAACAAGAACTGATCCAGAACCCTCCATGCTGAAGGTCCAGTGTTTACCATACTGTGGTACCTCAGGGTAACCTGTAGGAGGCGTTCTTCCCATCTTCTGATATGATATGGAACTGAAAGCTGAGAGGCTTTTGTGTTATCAACCTGGATTTCAGTTTTTAGACTGGTACCAGCAGCACCATTAAAATGGTAAAATGATAGCTGTCACAGCTTTGACAGTTCTTATCCTCCACGGGACAAAAAAAATGCAGAAACCTTAAGTTCTTATAAATGAGTATGTTTAGCTCTGCCTTTGACTGTTCTGGGTTAGGATTTATCATCCACTTTTTAACGTTTTAAACTAATTTGTATCCTCTCTTTTTTGACACAGCCTTTGATGTTGTTTTTTTACTTCTGCCGTTATTGTTTAATTGACATTATTATTTTTATCTGTCTGATCCTATTGCTCAATGCTTCTGTAATGTTGTATCTTCCCTTTTCTTTTGTTTATACACTTTAAGGTATTCTTTAAAGATCCAGAATAAATCTGTTACCAGTCCCTTACCAAGCGGTGGTCCAACTGCAGCCTGCTGGAGGAAACAAGCCAGTTCTTCGTCAGACTGTGGAGAAGAGACAGTCATTGAAACAGTCAGAAGCCTATTTTATTACTACAGTGTTGTGTTCATATCTGTGAAGATTCTCAATCATCCAGGTCATGGTCAAGCTAGAAATGTTCAGTATAAGCAACTGGAAGTGAAGTTTTCTAGAAGACGTTTCACCTCTCATCCAAGAGGCTTCTTTAGTTATAAATGATGGTCAGGAGCACTGAGATTAATATATTCTATGTGTAACAAAAAAATTTGGGGAAAAACAAAAGCTTTCTCTGATCTCTCCTATCGGAGGGGCCATGGGGGTCACCTGGGGGGTGTTAATGGTTTGTTCCCTCAGAATGGTTTCGTTTGCATGCCTCATTGAAGTGTGAGTCAGGTGAATGCAGGTGAGAGGTGAATCTTCTGGGTATTGTTCCTGTTAGGATAATAATCATTGAAGATGTGTGTTTATTACACCTTGGTATTACCTTGGTATTGGCTGTCTGTTGCATGTCAGAACTGATGTTTTCCACAATCGCTAATCTAATTAGGACAGTTCCTCTGTCTGGATATACAGTTATAATCTTCATTCTGTATGTGGCAAAGATTGGGAAATTGAATGAGGGCAGCGTTCTTCAGTGAAGAACAAAGTGTAATATTTTGATAAGGCTGGAGCCATGGATGTCAACTCATCTGCTAATGTGTATGATGTAAAATATGATTATGTGGCAAAGTGGATACATATAAAATGCCTTTTTAACTGGTAATCAGAGCCACTTCCTGAGAGGTTAGCCCAGAGGTGAGCATCTGCCATTCTGTAACCCTAAGCAATCTCTCTGATCTGAGTAAGATTACAATTCCTATCAGAATCTGTTGTCATATCTCCTGGTTATTTAATACATATAAGTTATGAAGTGTTATTTAAAGAGTTTGTCCTGAGTGATCTCTTTTCAGGGAAAAGAACCGGAAAGATAGAGCATCAAGGTGCAGACACAGAGCCTATCAATAACATTCCTTGGACTGCTGGACGTAGGTCACTAGTTAACTCCTCTGTTCAGAGATGGTTTTTCCAGGTTAACAAAGATGGCTTCCTTAAACCATCTGTATTCCTTGGCCAGAATAAGGATGTTGTTGTCTTCAAACAAGTGTCCTTTAGCCTTCAGTTCGAGCCCCACGCCCATGGACTGCCACTCTGGGTCCATGAGCAAAGGCCCTTAATCCCACACTGCTCCCCAGGCGCTGCACAATTGCAGCCCATTGCTCTCCAGAGGGATGGGTTAAATGCAGAAAGTTCATTTCGTTGCTCTGTACTTGTGACAGTGTAATGACAATAAAAATGCTGGAGAGAAAAGAAATGCTGGATCTGCCGAGTCCTATCCTGAGGAGTTTTGCCCTCCTTTGTTAAGCCATGCTAATTGCCGCTCACACTGAGCCTGGTTCTGCTGGACGTTTCTTCTTTTTAAAAGGGAGTTTTCCTCTCCACTGCTGCTACAAGCATTCTTGGTGTGAGGGATGCAATCAACCGGTTTTCCTTAGATATAAAACTTTGAATCAGTTTTACTGTATGATCTGGTTGAATTGTCTTTGTAAAGCTCCTTGAGATGACATGTGCTGTGAATTGGCGCTATATATAAATAAACTGAATTATATTTAATTAATCTCATTGCTCCCTACAATCATCAGTTAGAACTGAAAAAGCCTCTCTGATGTGAGGTGAAATGTCTTCTAGAAAAGTTGCCTAAACTGAACTTTTCAAGCTACTGCAGAGTAAACTTTCCTTCGCTGCTGCAGGTCGGACACCTCAACCAGGATCTTCTGAAGCTCTGCCTCCATCTAATGACAGATCTCAGCTTTAGAGAGCTTTCAGATTTATTTACAACTTACAGACAACATTGAAATAGGGTCATAAACATTTTATATACTGCTGGATCGGTTGAAGGAAGCCAACACTTAGCATATCTTCAGTTTAAGCTACAGCTGCTTCATCATGACTGATTAGTTATTGTAATCAGACTCAGTTTTATGTGTTTTTATGTATCCACTTATCAGAGCACAAACTTAAACTTGGACCAAAGTTCTATTAACCCCAGGAAGGCTAAAGATAAGATAGCTAAAGAGAGCTAACGCTTTCCAACCATGCTGGTGTCTGTGGTTCAGGTGGTGGAGATTCATTCTATCCTGCAGTAGAATGATTTTTGCCAAAGAGGTTTGAGATACAAATTAGTTTGTGAAATTATGTTTGTTTTTATATTATATATATATATATATATATATATATATATATATATATATATATATATATATATATATATATATATATATATATATATATATATATATATATATATATCATATTGGACCAAAGGAGAGTCAACAGAGCTGACTTTAATTAGCTCTTATTATCATTATAAACATCTGTTAGATGTTTCATTAGATAAACATATGAGTTATTCCACATATTTCTTTTCATTTCAGTGGATTTTGTATCTTAATTTAACCAAATATACCAACTTAATTCATGTCTCAGCAAAAGATCAAGTATATGGTGGCAGTAGTTAGTTTGTCTATAAACATTTTGGATAAAGGCTACATTATAGCCAAAGGTCTTAAAGTAGTAGGGAAGCGGCTGTTCCAACCGTTTCATTTCCGAATTCTCCTGAATGGTGCACGACTTTACACGAGTGAATAAAGTGAATGTGATTGGTCATTTATCAAGAGGTTGGGGTTGTTGTTGGGGAAATTTCACAAGCAAGTTTGATTGTCGCTGTGTGGTTGGAAGCATCTTGCTAACCAGTTAGCAACTTAGTGCTAGTAGGTTCCCAATAGGAAATTAAATTGGGACCAAGTAGCACTAAATTGGTTACTTAGCAATGACACTGTCAAGGAACGCTATGGACAGCGGAAACATGCAAGAGCAGGAGAGTTTTGTGTCGGAGGTCGTGGATGAGTCTCCTCCATCATACATTTTTTATTTAGAGGAGGAAAGCGGGGAGGAAGATGTTGTGGAAGAGGACGCCAGGGCGGCAGAAGCTTGGTTTGGTGTAGAAGGCTTACAGCCGTACATGTTTGAGCCCTTGCCTCGAATGCTGCCAGTTCTGTTAGCTCTACGCCTGCTGAAGACACAGACGTCCATCCCTGTGAACACTGGGACGGAACTCAATGGGAAAGGAAATTATTCTTATTTCAACCGTTGCGTATATTAGCTGCGACATAGGAATCAAGATGCTATGACGGAAAAAATTTGATCGACAGATGACCGTTGATATATGATTGGTCAAATTTAGGTGTACAAGCTGATGTATAACTAACTGGCCTGCATAAAATAACGAGAAAAAACCCGCAGATTTTAAGACAGGATTTTTTTTAAACACCAATCTTCAAAATTTTGGGACAATATCATCTGATAAAGAGTATATTTTTAATACATGTTTAAGCCAGAATAATTTGACATTTAAATATGATTACCCTATGACTTTAAAAATTTTAGATACACCCATGCATGGAAATCCTGTTTAGGGGTTGGGGGACGGGGGTCTGCAACCTGCGACTCCCCATGTACCTCTTTGGACCCTCTACACTAGCCCCTAATAGTGGCTAATAGTGGCTAAAAATGATAAAAAATAATGAACTTATGTTCTATAATAACAAATCTTTTGTGTTTGTGTTTTTTACAAAGAATACTGAATTTGAATAGCATTTTTAAACAGAATGACATTAAACGCACCAGAAATTAGTTTTTTAGTGCTATTTTCCAATAACTTAGCTTGGAAATAATATTTTTATTCTTTTTTTTTTTACATAAAATAATGCCCTATTGAAGAAAATCAATGTTTCCTCTTTATGAATAGTTTTATTGTTTTCCTTACTTTACAGACTCAAAATACAAATAAACTGTTGGTTGTTTTAGATGGCAACAGATTGCTATGGATAAAAAAAATAATTGGTTGGGTTTTATTAAAAAGTTTTGTTAGGTTTGTGTCTGCTTTTGCACACTGATAAAAATACAAACAATCTACCTTTGATTACCCTCTCCACAACTACGACCAAGGACATGCCTAAAAGACGCAGGAAACAAGCAGTGTCCTTTTACAATTCATGTCCACAAGTCCACAAGAATGTTGAAATATCCTCCTTACTGACTGATCTAAAAACAAATCTATAAAAGAAATGACAAGTTTTTTTCTCCCATTTCGTCCGATATTCTCCTTTTAATCTTATCAGTTTCCACAGATTATTTAGACTAATGCTCAGTTCCCTTCAGCCACACAATACCAAAGATCTGGTCATTAACAAATGAAAGCGTGAATATTAACATTGCCATGTTTCATCCTCCTCTTGCCACCTTTATAAGGATGATTTAATAATCCTGTTAAGTCTGAATCTTACCTGCAGTCGATCAAACTCCCGAAGAGGTTGAATTCTGCCTCTGCTTTCCTTCTCATTCTTCCAGGTCAGCTTATCTTTCCCCCATGTGTCCATGGCAACGAGTGCCATACTGATCACTGAGCGATAATTAGCCAATCAATCAGCTCAGGTTTTTATCCAAATAGCTCTGACAGTCTGTAAGAGTGGACCTCCTGGAACTCAGGGACCGGGTTCTGATCTGTCTCAGGTGCTTAAACACAAAAGAGTTAGACTTCCCTTTTTTCCGAGACAATAAAATAAGGACATCTGCCTTCTATTTATGAAATTAGGAATGTCCTGTTGGTGAAGAAGACAAGGAGATGTGAGACTGGTTAATCTGACTATTAGTGGTGTTTTTTTCAATTGTGTTTGAATCCATCAACCTTTTTGGGTCAGAGGGGGGTCTATCTCTCTCTCGCTCGGGTGAAATCCTGGACTTTGATTGAACGCCCTTGAAGAAGACACAATTAAACAACCGGACACCAACCCCCCCTGCAGAACAAGGAGGATCTAGGTCTGCTCAGATCCGATTGTCTAATTCTCTCTGTTCTGTCAACACATCTTCGTCTGGAGATGGAAGCTCAGGTTTGGTGTCACCGCAGGGGGCGGGCCAAAGAAAAGAATCAGCAGGGTCCATAAGTGTGCTTCAGTCCAACTTCCACTCACAGCTGAAGGGTTCAGCCCTTTTTAGGCATGAGAGAGTAGCAATCTGTTACTAATCAATCCTGCCTGAAGGGGATTACAGTAGATCAAAAACAGGAACTCTGATTTAAGTCAAATCTAATTTCCAGTGCTTTGAGCCTAAAAAGACAATGTCCATGAGACCAGCCGGGGTTCTAATTAGTGTTGTGCTAATTCCCTTTTTTGGCCCTGATACCGATACCCAATACCTGGCTGCCCAGTATCGGCCGATACCGATACCATATGTTTGAAATTGATGTGTTTGTATATATGAAGAACTGCATACTACCTGGATGTAAAATATTTGCCATCATTGCTTAGTCAAGCTGCTGCCTGCCTTTATGAAGCAGGAAAAAGACTAAAACAAAGTGAATCCAGTAGAACATTTTATTGCCTACCAGGAATGGATAACAATAGCTGAATAAACTTAGGCTCTTAAAATGGTATTAGTGCCCTATTTGTTGGTACATGCCGATACCGATACCACCATTTTAGTGCTGGATCGGGGCCCCGCCTGATACTGGTATTAGTATCGGTGCAACACTAGTTCTAATGGAAGATGGAACTAGATCCAAATGCTTTAATCGATGACCCTGAATCAATAAATCAAAAGTCAGACATAAAATTCAGTCAAAACAAGTTTATTTTTCTCTAAAAAAAAGTGTTACAAACAAAATCTCTAAAGAATCTAAATGTCGTCTCATCATGAATAAACACAACCAATCAGGTTCTATTCAGAAATCAAGATTGATTCTCTGGATTTGTTGAGGTAAACACTAAAAACCTTTAAGGTGTCTCTAATATGTTCTACAGTTTTCATCGGAACCACCAGACAACAGCTAGCTGGGGTTCTGTTAGTCTTCGAGTCCATCAGTACATGAGGTCGGCTGCACCGACGCTCAGCTCTACATCTTTCTTCCCCTGGAATGGGAACTGGATCCCTGTAAGTCGAATCAGAACCAGGTTGAGTCCATGAAGGACGAGGATGATGAAGAAAACCCAAAAGCAGCTGTCGTAGCTCTCCGAGTACGTCTGAAAAACAAAATTCTCCTCCTTGAAGTTGGCGATGAGCTCGGATAGCCGGCGGATTTTCACCTCAGAGGCGAAGAGGATCAGAACCAGGCAGCTGGTCAAACCTGCTGGACAAACACAAGGAAACCATTAAGAACATAAACCAAAACCAGTCAAGACTGTACAAGTCAACTTTTGTTACAAAAAAATTCAAAAAAGAATTTGAACTTTGATGGTTCTCTCACAGAATGACCTTTAACATTAAACCTACAAGACCTCAGCAGTCCCAGGTTGAAAGGTTATTCTATCTGCTCAAATCTGCACCAAATGCAAATATTTACTCAGAATTTCAATTTTCTGATCATGTTTATCATCAGTTCTCATGATAAATTGCTGGACTGATTTTAGGATTATCATTCAAACAAAGCCCCGCCTCCAGCCAGGCTTCCTGCCTCCTTTGTTCAGGTTCCTGTCTCCTGCTTGGAGCTCTGTTTCCCTAATTGCTACCGTCATCATCCTCAGACTGACTGATCTATAATTAATTACTGAAGATGTTTGCATGTGGTGGTAGTTTACTGGTGCTGCTTCCTCTTACTGGTCTCGCCTCTCATGTTTTGACTGAAGTACACCTTGCACTAAAAAGGATATTTATCCTCTAACAGTTTTTTTCTCTTGCTTTAGCTTTTTTGGAACATTTAAACATCAGGAAATAACCTAAAAAGATGCAAAAAGCACTTTAATCAATTAATTCAATAAAGGAAAAAATCAATTTCACTATATGATGAAACCCCTTTCTGGTCAAGTCTAGGGTCAACTAAAATAGCTTTGGTATTATTTATTTTACAAACACCTGTGCCTGATCACTAACGGAATCTTCACAATCAAGTAATCACAACATGAAGTAGGCTGACAGATTAGATAAAACAGGAGTCTTTAAAGTTTTCCAGGCCAAGGACCATCAAACTGATGGATAGATGGAGCGGGACCGCCTAATTATATATATTGTATGAAATTGTGTTATATCAAACTGGTCCTATAGTCACTCTATTACAGATGGAGTCAGGTAACAAAAGTAATGTCGTCCTGGGATTATTTAAGTATTTCTGATTTGGACTCTCTTTGATGGGACAGGTGAATGTGTGCATTAATGACTGAAAGACGTGCTGAATTCATGTTGACATGTATTTAAGGACATTTCATAAGTGGAAAAAATTGCCGCGGGGAATATAAAAAAAAGTCTAATCACCCAAAACGTTTGCGAACCCCATGCTGTACCTCCGTGGACCCCCTAGGGGTCGCGGACCCCCTGTTGAAGACCTCCAGCATAAAGCAACACATAATAGCCATAACTAAAGAAACATTTCAAAGGTTTGAGATTGGTGAGCTTCAGTTCTACTACATCATCAACACATGGTGAATGGAATGGTGGTGAACCCTCACAGGCCTACTAAAATGACTCAACCATGAAGCCTCACTGCCTCAGATAAGGTCAGAGTGAATGGCTGACCAATTAAAAAAAGACACGGTGCTAAAATTGGCAACATGGGAGCATTCTAATGCCAGAACCACTGCTTAGAGGGACCTTAGTCTATGACCACTAATTTCTGGAAAAGGAAAGAGGAAAAGCCTAACACCAAGTGTGAAAAGGGTGCAAAAATATTGCCTCCCAAAAGAGTTAAAACATGAGTGGTGCTTATAATACCATATGACCATTGGTATTCACTGAAAGGCACCTAAGGCTGCTGAAGCTGCAAAAATGATGGATGAATGAGTAATGACTACCAGCAGATGGTGACAGTGTTCAACAATATTACTTCTGTTTATACCTGATGCAAAAATTATTTTTAGGCTCAAAAAGGACTAACTAAACACTATCTACCCATATTATAAGCATATATTGCTTTATCTTAATATGAACATATGGTTTTTTGGTGTTTTTTTATTTATGACTGGGCCCCTTTAAGGAATGGCAAGCCTTCTGGGAAAATGGATTGTTGAGACAAAAACTGAACTTTCTTTTAGATTTGCTATAAAACCAGCAGTTTATGGAGGCGCAGAAAACGCACAGCACACAGCAATCAAACAAGGTGCTGGTAGTATCATGGTCTTTGGTTGTTTTGCTGCTTAAGGACCTGGATAATCTGTTGTAATAACCCCACTAATACAAATATATATATACACACATACATATACATAATACATATCATACATACATATTACATATCCTAACCTTTCTGTATAATTTATATTTAGTTGTCATATTTATTTATTTTATAGCCTCTTGCAATTACACTCTGTTTATATATACCATTTATAGTCCATACATACATAGTCTCTGTGCACATATAAAGAAATAATTATATCCTGTACATCTGGAAACTATGTTTTATTGCTTTATACTTGTGACAGTGTAATGCCAATAAAGTTGAATTCTATTCTATTCTATTGTATTCGAATTAGGGACGGATGGAACGTGAGATTGACAGATGGATCGGTGCAGCGATGGCAGTGACGCGGTTGCTATATTGGACTGTCGTGGTGAAGAGGGGGCTGAATCGGGGTAAAAGCTCTCGATTTACCGATTGATCTACGTTCCCAACCTCACCTATGGTCAAGAGATCTGGGTAATGACCGAAAGGACAAGATCATGAATACAAGCAGCCAAAATGAGTTTCCTTCGCAGGGTGGCTGGGCGCACCCTGCCAGATCGGGTGAGGAGCTCAATTACCCATGAGGAGCTCGGAGTAGAGCTGTTGCTCTTCCACATAGAAAGGAGCCAGCTGAGGAGGCTCGGACATCTGTTCCGCATGCCTCCTGGTCGCCTCCCTCGGGAGGTTTTCCAGGCATGTCCCATTGGGAGGAGGCCTCGTGGAAGGCCCAGGACACGCTGGAGGGACTACGTCTCTGGGCTCTTTGCTTAGGCTGCTGCCTCCCAAATAAAGTGGAAGAAGATGGATGGATGGATGGATGGATGGATGGATGGATGGATGGATGGATGGATGGACGGACGGACGTACGGACGGACGGATGGATGGATCTATTCTATTCTAATGAACTGAGGTGTGAATTCTGCTTTGCAACAGAAAATTTTGAGAGAAACCTCCAATATCTCCAAGCCAAAATCCCTTCAGGGTTTAAAATACTACCAGTTGGTACAAACTACTGATGGCAGTTATCAAGCGTCCAGGTCAGCAAAACCAATTATTGGGTTTTGGAGCTGATTATACAAAACTAGAATACTAACAGACTGAAAAAATCTGTTTCTATTGTGTCTGTTGGTACTCTGGTCAGGGTGTGGTTAGAGAAACTGACCTAAGCTTTTCAAAATTATGTTTACCACAGTTGATTCAGGATTTAATAGTGAAGGCGATTTTTCACATGGAGGGTAACTTCGTAATTAATTCACCATTCAAAAACTTAATTGTCACAAAAAGAAAAAAGAAAAACAAGCATACCCTGTTCCCAGAATCTAATATTTTATAGTAAAGTTTAACCTTCCAGCTTCTGCTGTTCTACGTCTACTGACTAGTATCAGTGTGTGGATTCTCACAGCAGATGCAGGTCCACAGGTACAGGCCCATTGGGCCTTGCAGTGTCTCATAGGGCCGTCCGAAGGCGTTGAAGAAGAAGAAGCCAGAGGCCACGGAGGAGAAGAGAACCACAACACTGCAGAAGAAGATGATGGTGACGTGGAGGCCGGCTGGAATTACACTCATCAGGTCTGGGAAGACTGGACAGAGAGAGAAGAGGAAATGGAGAGTAATGGAACTTCTTCTTCACACCTTTTGTCTTTATCAGACAATGCTGGAACTTAAAAAAAAAATCTGTTCCTGATCAAATTCTCTCCAGATTACTGAACAACACAAACAGCAAAGAGCAGCAACTGCTCTCTATCCACTCTTTTTAATATGTTGTTGATACACCTTATCTGAGTATAAACACAATGTCACTCCCTCAAAATCCAAATTTTACCTTTAAAAAAAAAAAGATGATTTAATAACATGAATTGACCGCAGTATTTTACTGCAGGGGTTATTTCATAAAGCTCAAACAGGATATAAAGTGTTAGGTTTCTGTTATGTTTTTCTTTTGATATTCAGTTTTGCTTTGGTTTTTGTTTTATAGGCTTTTATGGTTTAGTTCTTATTTTGTTGTGTTCCTTGGGTTTTTCTCAGTTACTGTATCAGTCTTGGTTCTGTTATATTTTCTTTTTAGTGTTCAGTTTTGCTTTACTCCTTGTTTTCTAGTGGTAGAGGTTTTACTTTTTCTCTGGTTAATTCCTAGTTACTGTTTTAGTCTTGGTTCTGTTTTTTTTATTTTTTAAGTATCAAGTTTTGCTTTACTCCTTGTTTTCTAGTTTAAAGGGTTTAATTCTTATTTTGTTATGCTTTTCTGGTTATTTTCAGTTTTCTTGGTTTCTATTTATTGCCCTCTGCTGCCCTCTTATGTTCTCCTTTTTCCCTAGCTCTTTTTCGTCTCTTGCTCTGTGCACATCTGCTCCCAGTTTGCTCATTAGCCCTCTCTTTGTTTCTGTCTCCTATAAATACTCTTGCTGTTCAGTTCTTCTTTGCTGGGTCCTCGTCTAACCTCATCAGTCTTCCTCCTACTCGTCTCTCTGAGCCATCCGCCAGGTTATAGTTCCTCCCCTGACCTTTTTGGTAACATTTGACTTGTGTTTTCATGTTTTATTTTTTATTTTTGGGCTCCTGGTTTCTCGTTTGTTTTTGGACTTTGTTTTCTTATGGATTTTGGATTCCTGTTGCCTGTAGTTTTTGACTTAGTTTCAGTATTCTTCATTTAATTTACTTAAAATTCACCTCTGCCTGCCTTTGCTTTTGGGTCCTCAACTATCCTAAACCAAATCCGGACAATAAGTCAAGTTCCCATGATTTGTTTTCATATCATATAAATCAGTTTAAAAACAAATGCATGTAATTTGTAATATTTTGATTAACAACAGCAGTAAGGAAATTATGATTGCATGCAATGAACATTAGAGGTCGCAGTTGTGCTTTATTGCCTCTGAAGAAGAAATTACACCATTGGCTTAATCCGAATAACTCATGGTTTCTAGCTCTCATCATTCACCTTTCGTGGGGCCAACAGTCAGGACACTATCCAACCTTAACTATCTGATCTATAAAATCTATCAAATTTGATTTTTTTTTTTCCTCCACAGAAGTAAATTAATAAATTATTACCGTCAGCTCTATTTCTTTGGCTCCATTTGAGCCCAATATATTAACATTATATACAAAAACACAGAACTATCCTTTTCTTAGTGCTTTAGATAACATCAGGCAAATAATGATAATAATAATAATAATAATCTGATAAAGCTTATAGTTAGAGTGGCTCAGGTTATCCTGAGCTATCTCTATAGTTATGCTGCTATAGGCTTAGACTTCTGAAGGACATGGGGACCCCTATTTCATCATTCTGCTTCATTCTATCTCTATTCTCCCACTCTGCAGAATCTGTTAGTTCAATCTCGAACATTATGCTCTCTCTGCTTTTTCTCATAGTAGCTTCATCTGGTCTGTTCCTGTTTGGCTGTGACACCATCCTGGAGAGAAATATCAGCTGCACTGCTGGCATCAACACCTTTGTTTATAGATGTTGGAGATCGGCCTGTTTTTCAGTGTAGTCCTGTTTCTCTGACATGGGAACTGGCTCAAAGCTTGTCTTCCTGGCTGTGTGTTTCCTGGATGGTGCTGCATTTATAAGTTGCCTTTTGTATCTCTGCTTCTGTCTCCTTGAACCCCAGTCGGCCTCAGCAGATGGCCGCTCACACTGAGCCTGGTTCTGCTGGAGGTTTCTTCCTGTTAAAAGGGAGTTTTTCCTCTCCACTGTCACTACAAGCATGCTTAGAGTGAGGGATTGCATGCAAGTCAATGAGTCGATGCAATCAACTGGTTTTCCTTAGATAGAAAACTTTGAATCAGCTTGACTGGATGATCTGGTGAACTGTAAAGTGCCTTGAGATGACATGTGTTGTGAATTTGCGCTATAGAAATAAACTGAATTGAACTGAATTAATAATAATAACAAATCAAAACTTCTGATTGGTTGATATAAATCTAAACTAAATGGAGGCCCTCCAGTGTGAATGTATTTTAAGGTAAGGTTTAAAAACCGCTGCCTGTTGGTTTGACAATGAGGGAAAATCTAAAGACACTCTGGATCCTCTTCGGGTCCAATCTCTAGATGTCTGAAGGTTCCTGGCTCATCTATTGAAATGATTACAAACAATGAAGGTATGATGAAAGAGAGAGTTTAGGAAAGAGATGAGTTCTGTTTCCTGAACCGGAACATTATAGAATAAGACCAGAAAAATCTCTCCTTTATTTGAAGATGTTGCTGCGACATACATAGGGCCCTCTAAGCCCTGCTGGAAACCTGTAGAACACGCCCAGTTTCTGCAGCGTTCTGAGCCTTTACTCTGGTTTCTGGGTCCTTGCTCACAAACAACAGCATTTGGGTCAAAAAATTCATTGCACTGAACTCAGAGAACTCATTACTGTCAGTGATTCAGAGAAACAGAGTGCTTCTGATCCGGCCCACTCAGGCATGAAGCTTATTAGTGTTAACTGACCCCTCTGTTCTCCTCTGGTCACTGTTTCAGGGAAAAGAACTGGATTCAAGTTCCAAAAGCTACGGCCATCTTGTCTGCTTTAGAGAAACAGAACTAGAACCTGAGACCCAGGTTAGTGCATTTCATCAACAAGGTAAAAGATCAAACAGGAAATCTGGGTTGTATTCAGAAGAGCAAAAATCTCAAAAACAGCTGAAATAGAGAGATGGGAACCGGAACACATTAATCACACTGGAGTGTTTTAAAACAAGGGGCAGAAAATAAGTGATTGTGGGTCAGAACCAGAGACAGAAAAAAGAAGTAAGCCACAGGGACAGAAAGAAAACACTCCAAAGACTGAATTCACAAACCTAAGCAGAACATTTCAACACTAAAATGTCTTTATACAAAAAAAGTGAAACTGGCTCCTCTGGAAGTCTAACGTTAACTATCTCTTTCTGTGCTGCATATTAGCACCACCTAGCGGTAATAGCCTGCAGAGCAGCTCTGCTGTTTCGGTCCAGCTTTGAACTTTGAAAGGAAAAAATCCATGAAACCTGTTGATCCACCTGTTAGACAAACAGCAGGACTTTTCATCAAAAAAATCAAGCAGAATCTTACTGTTGTTCCTGTTGGAAACATTCTGGACCCTTTAACATGTTTTTCTTTTCTTATAATAATCATAAGTATTTGTCTATATGCAGACCTTTTTCTAACACCGTTTATCTTCAACATCCAACAGGTGATTTACCAATACTAGGCAGTTGCCTTGAGCCCCAAATTCCTGGGGGGCCATAAAAATCTGTTTACAGGTATAATTAATACAACTAAACTCTTATAATATTACCGTAAGTGTGTCCCAGCCCCCCAGAGTCTACCACATTGGATCAGTCCATTTGCTGCACATGTTCAGAAAGGTCCAAACAGACAGCAGCAAACCATTTGAAAAAAAAAAACAACGCAACGAGCAGTGTTGCCAACTTAGCGCTTTTTTTTTTGCTATATTTAGCAAGTTTTCAGACCCCTCTAACACTTTTATTTCAAAAAAGTGCCTATTCTGCTACTGGAGACTTTGACAACATATAAAAGCACCAAACTCAGCTCTCCAGAGCAAGAATATTGGTAACCTTGCCTCCTGCTCTCCTCTGTCTTGTCTGCAGTTATGATTCATGCAGCTATTATTTCATACAAATGATAAATGGAGAAGCCAGGCCAACAATCCCCTTTAACGACTGACCTTTCAGACACTTAGATGGGTATAAGGCATTGCAGTCTAACAAAGAAGCCAAACGACCCCCATTCCAAATGGGTGGGTCCCTTTGTCTGTTCCAATTTGCATGTTTGTTTTAGTTTTTTGTTTTTGCGGCACTAGTGGCTCATTTTTTCGACATTAGGCTCACAGGAAAGGTGGTATGAGAGAGGGGGAGAGACATGCGGCAAAGGACCACAGGTCGGCTTCAAACCCGGGTCGGCCGCGTCGAGGACTAAGGCCTCCGTACATGGGCTGTGCACGCTAACTGCTGTGCCATCTGCACGCTCCCTCAATTTGCATGTTTTCAAAACAAAAACAAGGCTTTGTTGGGCTACTGTATAAAACCTCGACTCGGCACTATTCCTGACATTTTGAATTGAAAAAGCTTCCTGGGTGGGAAGTGAAATGTGTTTAAAGTTGGAAACAAAGTCCAGTGGATTTTTTTTTCTTTTCTTTTTTTTTTGGAAAAATGGAGAACAGATAAGCCGATCATGGCTTGTCTACAGTAAAAAGAAGGGCTGGGTCATTTACAGAGATGGCAAAAGTACTCACTTTCCGTACTTGAGTAAAAGTACAGATACTTGTGTTAAAAAATACTCTGGTAAAAGTGGAAGTACTGATTAAACTTCTTTACTCAAGTAAAAGTAACAAAGTACAGGCTTGTACATTTACTTAAAGTATAAAAGTAAAAGTAGAAACCACTTTTTTCATGCCGTTGCCTAAATTTTAAATGGATGTCTGCCAATAGGACTAGATCTCCGTTGTGTTTATTTTCAATCATCTCATTTTCCATTCTACTATGCTAACGCCACCGCCACCAAGCTGCAATGATTTGCCGCGAATGAATACCGCCAAATCTGTCGATTAATCTTGTAGTGGTGCGTCAAATGCGACGTAGATTCCCATCCAATCAGATTCAATTTGGTATTGATGACGTGAAAAATAATAATGGTAACTCCATTGAAATGATTCAAAACAAAAGTAACGAGACAATTTTTTTAAATGTAAGGAGTAGAAAGTACAGATATTTGTGTAAAAATGTAAGGAGTAGAAGTAAAAAGTCGCCATAAAAATAAGTAGTAAAGTAAAGTAAAAATATCAGAAAAATCTACTTGAGTACAGTAACGAAGTATTTTTACTTCGTTACTTCCCATCTCTGGTTATTTACTTTTGCTGTTGACTTTTTGAAAACACAGGGAGGAGCGATCAGCTAAGTGATCTTAGTGATGGGAAAAAATTCTTTCATTCCTATTCAGACTGCATGAAAAGTCAGTTGAGTACAAAACATAGAGAGGAAAACAAGAAAAGGGACAAGAAGAGAGGGACAAAACCTAGAACAAACAATTTTTGTCTCTCTATTAAAATTTCTGTATCTGTATTTTATGTGTTCTCTTTTCAATTCAGAGGGCCCCCTGCCTGTCTCTGCCTAGGGCCCCAGGTTTCCTAAATCCGTCCCTGTCAGTACCTAATGCCTCCTCCAGGAAGACTCTGGTTGATCCAGTGCTTTCATGTGCTGACCCAAAGCCTGACTGTTCCTCTTTTGTCAGTTTAAATGATAATGCTGGGATGAAACTGGGATCAGGAACCATTTGAACATTCTGGGTTCTTAAAAGTTCCATACGGGACATTCTGGAGTAAGCTTTTAGATCAGGGGTGGGCAATTCCAGTTCCTGAGGGCCTCTATCCTGCAACTTTTAGATGCACCTTTGATACAACACACCTGAATCAAATAATTAGATGGTTGAGAGGACTCTGGAGGAACTGACTGCATATTAAGGAGGTAACTGATTCAGGTGTGTTGGAATAAAAGTTGCAGGATTACGGCCTCCAGGAACTGGAACTGTCCACCCCTGTAATCTAGATAAATCCCTGAAAAAGGAGAAATCCTAAACTATGAAGACATTATTTTTTATCTATGATATATAAATCATAAAATAAAACAGATTTGTTGCTGCTTTATCTTCAGCCTTAGACTATTTTAACTTTAACAAACCCATGGGATTCTAAAACCAGCCCATCCCAGGTTCTGATCCACTCCACGCACTTCTCAGTGGGACTCACATGAGAAGCGGGACGGTCTGCCGCCCAGGCCGCACTGCTTCACCCTCTCTCCGTGGAAAAGTCCGTAGCTGAGATCTCCCACGAACTGGTCCAGTTCGGCTCCGGTGGCGTTGACCAGTTCGGCCCCGGTTCTGCAGAGCACGGACCCGCGGAGCCAAAAGGGCAGGCCGCTGATGACGGCAGCCGACAGGGCGCAGCAGAGGCTCAGGATGCCGGCGGAGCAGAACAGGACCTGCTTCTGACGGTTCGGCATGATGGGTCCGGGTCAAGCTGGGCGGGACTCCATGGGGTCCGAAAAATCCAAACTAAACCGCAGGGATTAATAACTCCCAGGATTATTGCTGTGCTGTTAGATCCGACGGTCCATCAGAACAGGGATCAGATCAGATGACACCTCCTCTACTGCTCTCCCGTCACCATAACAACGGTGCCTCCAATTACCTCCTGGATGGTAGGAGGATCATAACTGTCCCATAAACTCTGACTGATGGCTCAGTGTCTCAGAACCGTCCTACTGACCTCTGTTTTATACAAACAGTGTCAAACAAACATTAAACTCACCAGAACCTTAAATCCATCACAGGTCTTAATGAAACATGGTCAAAGAATGGTGAGTGGGTCAGATCCAAACTGTTGGACTCTGACAGCAGGGGGCGCTCTCTGCTAGCAGATCAAAACTAGTTAATAGAATCGGTTCAGTTAATTGATTGCTATGGAAGCCCGTTTCCGCCAATCTGTTAAAAAATGTAAAAAAAACTTATCTCATTATGATGAGATATTATCTCAAAATTATGGGATTCTATCTCATGAGATAGAATCCCATTATTTTGAGATAGTAACTCAAAAATAATAGCTCATTATTATGAGACGGGAACTCATTATTATGAGATAGTATCTGATTAAAATGAGTTACTATCTCATAATAATGAGATAGTAACTCATAGTAATGAGATACTATCTCAGAGTAATGAGTTACTATCTCATCATAATGAGATACTATCTTATTATGATGAGATAGTATCTGATTAAAATGAGTTACTATCTCATCATAAAGAGATACTATCTTATTATGATGAGATAGTATCTGATTAAAATGAGTTACTATCTCATCATAAAGAGATACTATCTTATTATGATGAGATAGTATCTGATTAAAATGAGTTACTATCTCATAATAATGAGATAGTATCTTATTATTATGAGTTACTATCTCATTATAATGAGATAGTATCTCATAGTAATGAGATACTATCTCAGAGTAATGAGTTACTATCTCATCATAATGAGATACTATCTTATTATGATGAGATAGTATCTGATTAAAATGAGTTACTATCTCATCATAAAGAGATACTATCTTATTATGATGAGATAGTATCTGATTAAAATGAGTTACTATCTCATAATAATGAGATAGTATCTTATTATTATGAGTTACTATCTCATTATAATGAGATTTTTTTTTTTTTTAACAGAGTGTCGGAAACGGGCTTCCATAGTTTGCCTTCTGGTTTTTGACAAGCTCCGGATGTGATGAAGCACTTAACTTTCCAAAAGACTGGTATGGACATGTCCCCTCCAATAATTTCAATACAAACACTTTGACTCTTTACAATGAGGGACTAAATTTCTAATTGATTTTGTTGCTTCTGAAGGAGGATAATCACTGATGTAGCTGAAAGGGAAAACATCCATCAACCTATTCACACTTTTCTGGATGGATTGATGGATGCATGAAACTGGGGAGGCAGGAAATATTGCTGTTGGCATCGGAATTGGCTGTTATTCCTCTTTTTTTATATAGATTAATGTCTAACTATAAATATAAATATCCGTGTATTTGGGTTCTTTTGTGTTCTTAACAATAGGAAAGCATTAAATAAAAATGTGTTTGAGCTCATTTTTGGAAAATGCAAGCCCTATTGAAAGTGTCAGTGTCTAGTAACTGTAGATCCATCAGCCCCCACCCTTAGAGTGTCCCACTCCCCACCGACTTTCATCACAAAGTTACTCCCTGATAATGAATCCATCCCGGTTCTGGTTCTTCAACAGCTGGATGAACCTTAGAAATAACCACCGTTTGGAGCTGTTGTCGGTGTGCACACCAGGGGGAACCGCTGTTACACCACTCCGCCGATGATGAGTCACGTGACCTACTGAGGGCCAAACCTCTGCAGGCCCCTGTGCGGGTCCAGACTGGACAGACTGAGCAGGAGCAGCAGAACTTTTCACCACATCATGAGGTGAGTTTCAGCTGATTATTGATCGATGATCAGTTATTGATCAGAGCAGAAAAGATTTTTATTTGGGCTCACAGAATCTAGGCTTTTGGTCTGAGTGAGGTTTTGGTTCTGACCTGCAGGGAGGCTGATTAAACCTGATCTGAGAACAGATGCTGAGTTCTGACTGATTCTCCTTCTAACCAGAAGTCTAGTTGTAAAAAAAACAAGAAGGGGGATTTTTTTTTTTTTTTGGAAGCATACATAGCCTAATTAATATAGTCTATTAACCCGAATCACTATGCATGGTATGGTTGTTACATGTCATTGATCTTGACCAAGGCACCTTAAGGTAGAACTGCAGTCAGTCCCTGTACTGGCATAGCTATCACTGCCATACTTAGGGACTAATGCAGAGGACTAGTTTCCCACTGGGATCAGCTTCATAGTCCTGGTAGGCCACTTCTTTGATTTTATCTATTTTGCTCAGGTTTCTCGTAAGCCCACTGTCCGCCAAATGTTAAAAGGGCAATATTATTGCCATTTCTGGTAATATATAGTAGAAATTGTACACATTCAGTGATAAAATGTTACAGGGGGATGGTATGGGGTGATGGTCATTTAAGAAGGGGGATGATTTTTAAGATTTTGAGGATGCCATCCCGCTCATCCCCCCTCAACTCGAGTTTGTTTCTGACTGATCAGAAGAAAAGGACAGGGACACAAGCAGGATCATGTGAGCCAAGGGCTGCAGCATTTCCAGTTCTGGTGCCTGAACCATGTTTCTTTTAGCAAGTAAAGTTTTCACTGGATAGAAAGAACCTGCACAATACCTACATAGAGTCAGCACCTTGGACAGTACCAATACTCTTTGGTTCTGATCCACTTGACTTTGATTCGGATCAGTTCTGATTAATTTCTCATTGACTGGCTCTGATCTGCTTCTCTCTGATCCAGCTCTTTCTAAGTTGTTTTGTTTGATCTGATCCTGTCTGGCTGGTTCTGATCCCCCCCCCCCTCTCTCTCCCTCAGGATTTTCATCTTCTCCATGCTGATTGGGTTTGGATGCGGCACTCAGCTTCTGTCGGAGATGTACGGTACCATTATGTCTCCTGGCTTCCCAGAGCCGTATCCCAGAGACACTGAGCGGAACTGGAACATCAGCGTTCCAGCAGGGTTCCGGATCAGCCTGTTCTTCACCCATTTTGACCTGGAACCATCTTACCTGTGCGAGTATGATTATGTCAAGGTAAGCAAGAAACACCTGCTACTGGGTCAGGGGCTATCAGAAAGCCCATCAGAACTTCTTCAACAGATTCAGGGAAGTGTGGCTCATCGACTTGAGAAAAACAGAAACTAGGGTTTGGATCAGGGATGAGATTATCAATGTTACGCCTTGACCAGAGGTGAGTCGATCATTGGGAGATTCTGGTTCAGATCTTAAAATATAGCTTTAAAGTTCTGAAAAACAAAAACAAAAAACCAAACCTTCCTGGAGTCCATCTGCTGCTGTTTAACACTCGTTTGTAATAAGATGTTGCAGAGCTACAGAGTTGATTCAGTCAGAGTATGTTGCATCCTCAATGCACAAAGGAGCGTCCCTGCAGATTCTTCCCACCTGCTGCTGAATAATCTATTCTGCTGCTGTAAGTGTTTATACACATACTGCTGGAGAGGTTCCTAAACACCTCAGCTCCTGACCCCAAAACTAACAACACTACAGACCTGAGCTCCCCTGAAGATTAAGTAATTACTTTTCCTTCATATTTACTTATACATAGAAAGTAAATCATATTTGTTTTTAGATGAACAAACATTTTATTATTAAAGTAATCATTTTAAATGTTTTGAATGACATTGAAAGTTGCATTTAACAATTTAACGGTATAATTATTGATAAAAACAGAAATTATATTTAAATAATACATCATAATGCCCCAAATCCTTATTTGATGGTATAAATATATATGTATATATCTAAAATTTCCTGGGAAATTCATATTCATGAATTAATCTATTCCAAAATTTTACCGTTCTATTCCCCTTAACACATGTTAAAGAGCAGAGATGTTAATGACTATTTTCTTCAGCTGCTCTGTTATTATTTGGGTTTTATTACATTGTTTTTACGAATATTTGGCTAAAATGCTGCGGATTTTCTTTCCCCCCCACTTCAATACACATTTCTGCTGTCCATCTCTGACAGCACTGCAAAAGCTGATCTCAAGATAAGTCAGAATTATTTATAAACAAGTGTATATCAGCTATTAATTTAAACAGGAACATAGAATTATCTGCTGATGGAATGGGCATTTTTTGGCACTTGCAAATAAGGATGTAGTTGTTTTTGTTTTAAATATGAATCACAGTTTTCCTTTGGCACATTCTCATATTTACCTTCTCAAAACAAGGTAAGAATACACTTATTTAGATTTCAGATTTAGCGTTGAGGTGTTTAATTTCTCTATTGTTGAACAGCTTAACTCAAATGTTCCTTTGATATCTTTCAGTCTTCCGTCCGCCTGCTTGTTTTTGCCTCTGTCACACCTTTCCTCACTGAGAGACAACAGAGGCATTTCTTATGTTATATATTTTATTTTTTGTTGTTACATAAAGCCTTCTGCTTTTGTTTACTAAGAAACTACAATGGGTCCGGTTGCTTTTAGTGCCAAAATCACAAAGGTTTTTATCCTAAACTACGTTTTAAAGCTGTTCAGAAGTGACCCGGACACAGAACCGAAGTAAACAACCCAAACAGCAGTGTTGAGGTGTGAAGGTCTGCTTCAGAGGAATAATAACGTTTAGTTCTGAAAGAGGATGTCACTATAGAACATTAAGAGGACTTGTGGACAAAAGATAGTTGAACAAACTTTCCTCTTCCCATTCCAAAAAAGTAAAAAAAAAACAAAAAACAATCGGCTGGACTTTGGTTTCATGTTTGAAGACATTTCGCTTGTCATCCACGAAGCTTTTTTTAATTCAAAATGTGAGAAATAGCAGTGAGTTATAGAGTGGACCAAAAAACAAGGCCTTGTTTTGGCTTAGACGCTTAGGTCCACTCTATAAAGCCTTGAACTAAACGCTATTTCTCACATTTTGAATTGAAAAGGCTTCCTGGATGGGAAGCAAAATGTCTTCAAACTTGGAAAAAAAGTCCAGTTTTTTTACTTTTTGGAATGACTATGACCTGGATGACTGGGAATCTTCACCATAATTTTTTCCTCCTCCCATATCCAACAAAGATGGAAGAATATACAGTTATAGCGTCTCCAGAGCCAGTTAATAGCGGATTATTCTGGTTTCGGAGCGGATTCACTGTTGGTTGGAGTGTGTTTCAGTCCGTTTGTGTCGGTGCCCTTGGGTCCATTGACCCCCCCCCCCCCCCCCCCCAGAGCTCTTTGGGTCAGATAAACAGCAGCTGAAGGTAAACAAAGCTGCTAGTCTGTTTTTTCTCCTCAGTTTGGATTTGACCCTGAGGGACCCTGATCTCTGGGAGGTTAGCAGTTCCAGTTTGACCCGTTCATCTTTTAGAGAAACGGGCCTGGCAGGAGAATCAGCCTCAAGTTCTGTTCTGTCCTGCTGCTGATGTTGGACATTAAATAATCAGATTTAGAACAGTTCTGTTTCCTACTGTTGTTCTGGTTTTCAGAGCATTGGTGTGTCTGACGTTATCCGGGCTGCTGTGTTGATGTGCAGGTGGAGGCAGAGGGGAAGGTGCTGGCTGTGTTCTGTGGGAAGGAGGAGACGGATACAGAGCAGGTACCGGCCCAGCGGGTCATCACCTCCCATAGAAGCTTCCTCAGCATCTGGTTTTCTTCGGATTTCTCCAACGAGGAGCGGTTCTCCGGCTTCGTGGCTCACTACAGTGCTGTTGGTGAGGAGCAGCGGTTCCCCTTCATTTACCAGCATGTCTCAGTCTTACCGTCCATCAGAACCGCCGCGCCAATTTTGAAAGTCTTAAAGGAAGCTGGACTTTTTCTGGACAAATGTTGCATTTTGATTCAATTTTTAACAGAAAGACTTTTTAAACTTTTCAGATATTTCCACACATTGTTTAGATCAATCTATATTTTTGATTTAAACTCCAAAAATTCAATGTATTCATTTAATGCACCAGAGCAAAGCTATTATCATTCACTTTCATCAATGTATCTTTTGCTGCTGTAGGAGTTGCAGTTAAGTCAGCTCAGAGAACAGGAAGATTCCTAAACAACAAATCAGCTTTTTTTAGGTTCTTTTTTGGCAGCAATCCATCAAGGAGGACATTCTTTTCTTCTTCTGCAGATGTGGACGAGTGCAACGAGCACAGCGACGAGGAGCAGCTCTGCGATCACTTCTGCCACAACTTCATTGGGGGATACTACTGTTCCTGTCGCTATGGATACCAGCTGCACACAGATAACCATACCTGCAGAGGTGAGTCAGCCGGCGCCCCATAAAGGCTCGAGTAGAGCCTTTCTTAATCCCAGACAGATCCACCCATCTTGCCTGGTGTCAAACCCACCAATTGAAATCATCAGTCGGTGTTCTGAAGGACGGTCATGATTTATCCCTCTGCTTTTGAACCACTGATCTTTATTTATTCACTAGATCGCTGATTGCCCATTGGTAGTACGGGGTTAAAGTGGTGCCACAGGCTGCCGTTTTTGTGTATTCCATTGTTAGACCGGTCGCAATGTAAACAATACGTGCGCTACAGCATCGAACAATGATGATTTTCTCATTTTCAGGGGGCTTTAACACTTTAAAAATAAAGATAAATTCAACAATTTGACAAACCTTTGGTGTTTCATAGCATCAGTAGATTACTTTACCTTATAATAAAAAAATAGGCCCATCACGTTGCTTAGTCAGTATGAAGTCAGCGAAGTCTCTAAATCATGTAATATAACATGTTATACAAATTCATCACAACAAAATTAGTGTGTTAATGGAGCACAATAATACAGATGTGCCAAAAGTGCTAAAGTGATGATGCACATGGAATATAAATGTATTGATTACGTTGTTATGGTAATTACATCCTACACACAATTTCAAGCACATGTCAGTTAATGCCGTAGTATTTTCCTATTTGCGAATTATGCATGCATGATGCCATATACTTTTATGCTGTGTCTGTGCACTAGCCTTTCAAAATGTTTCAGTTACTTTTTTTTTGGTCAATATAACACGCAATATATTTCAGCTCGTGACTTTTTCAAATGAGAAATACAACAAACAGTGCAAAAACCACCTTGTCATCCACTTAATAAAGAATTACTACATTGGCATTTTACAGTGAATTACTTTCTATCTACTCTACTTTCTATTTTCTAACATTAGACGCATGTTGATGGCTAACTCGGTCCATATCTTTGAGTCAGTCCAAGATAGCCAGGCTCGTGTTATGCTACATATTTTACTATAGGGTATATCAATGTATATATGAATTTTTTTGGTTAGTACGTCCACTGACTGTGAAATTACCTGTGAAACGTCCTCCCACAGCTGGCAAACTGCTTGTTTTTGCAGTCAAATGCTACACACGTAGGCTTTTTTACTGCACATCTCTGTGGGAGTGGGGAATACCAATATGGCTTCTCTTTTTTCGGGCTATCAGCAATCCAATAAATAGATATCAGTGGTTTGAACCTAGCAACCTGAACTGTTGCTAAATGGGAAAATCGGAATTATTATCGTTGAGATGATTATCTGCCATCATCAAGTCATAATTCCAGTAGAACCGGATCAGAAAATAAATAATCAAGAACTCCAATTTTTAATCTCAGGGCTACAGAACCTTCAAACATTCTGTCTTGGTACAGAAACTTTCAGGTAGTTTAAAAGCTTTTCAGTGAGATTCTCCAACATCAAGAAGAGCTTCATTGTTGAGTGGAAAGAAGATCTTTAGTAATAGCTTCAGACCCGATCGGAACGTTGCAGAACCATATTTTAGTGCAGCAGTCTTCTTAGGGCTCACATTGTTCGTCCTCCGTTCCACCTTAGTCAAACTGGACAGAGAACATCTGCCAATATCAGTCTTCTTGTCACAGATTCTCAGCTGGTTCAAGTTTTGCTTTTTATCACACAGGTTTTCCTTCAGTGCTGTCCTTAATTTAGCTCCCTGCATCTTCTCATCAACTCCCCTTCCCCTGCTAAAGGGAAGCATGTCCAAAGCATTATGCTGACACTACCATCCTTCACTGTAGAAGTTGGTCATTGATGATTATGGGGATATTTAGTTTTCCTACCCAACATATATTTCTGCATATAAGCCACCAATTTTGAGCAGAGAATATTCTACCACATGTTTGCTATGTCTTCTTTCTGGCTTGTGATCAGCCATCAACATTATTTTACACAGTTTGAACTGTGGGTTTCTTTTTCTTCTTTCCAATTTTTTAGAACGCTTGATTGAACGCTATAAAGTCGTGGTGTTGCACCCGACTTTATTCATGGGTGTCAGAGTAGAGAGGGGTGAACAAAACTACACACCAAATTTTTTTTTATGTATTTAGCTTATTATAGTTTAACTTCCATTTTTCCATGTATGAAGTTATCTAAAGTCTGTGGCTGGGCTTTAAGAAAACATGGAAATATCTTAGAAAATGAGGTCCTGTTAAGATTCTGACAACTTATAGAGCTGTAAAGTTTAAAAACATGAAACAGATAATTTTTTTATTAATTTGTTTTTAAATGTAAATATTAAACAAATCTAGGTATACATACGCATCTCTAGATTAACAGAAAATACCATTTTCCCCAGTGAAGAGAAAAATAAAGAAGCTTTCACTCCCCTGTTCTGTTGTTTTGTTGAAAATATGTGGGTGGATTCTTCCTCCAGATAATTATAAGCTTTAATCCTCTCTATGTTAAAACGAATTGGTATATTTATCTTGCAAGCCCATAGGCATAGATACACTTACATGTTTAGATGTCAAAGAGGGGGAAAATAAAATAAAAGAGAGAATTGTATAAAGAAATGTGCAGTTTTAGAGATATAGGGGGGCTTTTCAGTAGTGGAAGGGGAGAAAGGGTATTCACAGCTGATAATATAGGCGAAGCAGATAAGTCATGAAGAATCAGCTCTTGTTAGGGTAATATGTAGAATCCATCTGTCCCATATAAAGTAAAGTTCATCACTTTTATATTGATCACATTAAAAAACTTCAGGCATCATGTTGATCTTACCAGTCACTAAGGGTGGGGCTGGCTCAGCCAATTTCTTTTATTAACACATTGAATGAATGAGTTTAAGCAATTTTTAATAACCTCTCTAGTGCAGAAAAACTACAGGTAACAAAAAAAAATAGATAAAATAATTACATGTTCCAACCATTTCCATAAAAGTGTAATTTGGGGCATGTCCAGAATATATGGTATTGTCAACCCATGGTCTCCAACATGTTGAGGTGTCTTACAGTATTTGTTTCTGTGATGATTCTGCTTTTCGTTCCTGTTTCCCCTCTGTTTGATTTAATCCTCTAAAAGTTTGTTATAAACCATCATTAGCTGGCAGCTTGGACCTGCTGGTAGCTTAGATTCCGACCTCAGTGTGACTGATAACAGCTGCTGATTGGAGGAAATATTTAGACGATCAACATGTTTCTGTGTGTAGGAGGAGGAAGGGTTTATCAGGCCCTGTGTGTGTGTGTGTCTTCCCAGTGGATTGCAGCGGGGCTGTGTTCAGGGAACGCTCTGGAGTGATCAGCAGCGTTAATTTTCCCGCTCCTTATCCAAAGAGCTCCAACTGCTCGTACCAAATCGAGGTGGAGGAGGGATTCAGGCTCCATTTCCAGTTTGATCCCCGCTTTGACGTGGAGGACCACCCAGACGTCACCTGCCCCTATGACTACATTAAGGTGGGACTATCACACTTAAAACACACACACACACACTCTTTTTGCCATCGTAGTGAGGGCCATGTGTTGACTCCCATTGATTTTCAGTCATATTCAACCCTTTCTATGGCCTAACCCTAAAGCTACCCCTAAAGCTGACCAATACCAATGCATACCTCACCCTAATCTTAACCAATTGACACCTTATCCCTAAACCTAACCATTAGCAAAATAGCATGTGAGGACTGGCAAAATGTCCACACTGCAGCAACTGGTTCTCAATTTGATGGCGAAATTGGAAAAATGGTCCTGTCAACAATGGGTGGTGAGGTTGCTCGAGGACCCTGATGCAGAGACGAGTGAAGCAGAGATGAGTTCTGAGAGGTTTAATGGCAGACCAAAGGTAGCAGAGGCAAAAATCCAAAAATCCAACTTAAAATATTAAACAAACCAAAACCATGGAGACATCAGGGGGAAAAACTAGCCTGAGGAGCCACGGGGAGATGAGCTGAGTAGCTGAGTACAGCAACGAGAAGGAACCAGCACTGAGTGACTGCAGAGGTGGAGTATTTAAGGAGAACAAAACAAAGGATGGACTAATGAGCTGAATGAGGAGCAGGTGTGGGTGGAACTGGCAAGAGGGAATCTAAGGGGAAAGAAAACAATCACTAGGGGGCAACAGAGAGTAACTAAAGAATGCTAGAATATTATGGAAAATAAAAACAAAACTGATGACAGAAAACTCAGAGTCACAACAAATGAGAATCATAACAGGTCCTCAATCTGAGACAGGTACACACACACACACACACACACACACACACACACACACACACACACACACACACACACACACACACACACACACACACACACACACACACACACACACACACACACACACACACTCACCCTCAGGTGCCCCAACAATGAATGTGTATGTGTGTCAGATCCAAGCAGGAGGCAGAGAGTTCGGACCGTTTTGTGGAGATCAATCTCCTGGACTTATCCAGACTGGCAGCAACGTCGTCTCCATCCGATTCCATAGTGACGGATCTGGAGAAAACCTTGGCTGGAGGCTGAGCTACACCGCTGAGGGTAGGGAGAACATGGGGGTGGAGGAGGTGTGTGTGTGTTCTCCAGGAGAACTGAGATTTGTCTTTTATTTTTGAATGACAGGAAGTCGGTGTCCAGTACCTGAGGCTCCGCCCAATGCTGTTATGGTCCCCGTCCAATCAGAGTACTCCTTCAACGATCACGTGGTATTCAGCTGTCAGCCAGGGTTCCTCCTGCTCCAGGTGAGGCTCTTCTCCCACTCCCAATTGGCCAGAGATGTTCTCATATACGGAGTAAGAACTCGGCCAAAAGTGCACACACATTATAGTCATATGAGCAGTTTTATTTAAAACACACACAAGTAAACTATTCTTCACACATGTTTTGATTCTATACTATAAGGCCCTCAATCTGTCATTACCATGAGTTTATCATCTGTGCTTCTTTCTTTCTTGTTATGCTTCTGTAATTTCTCTCCTACTCCAATGTGGATCTGTTTCTGTGCACATTTTGAGGGTGGGCTCAACCTTAAAAACTGAACTGCCTGTAATTGGCTTCTTTTTGGTGGTTCCCGCATCTTGAGACAGTACAGTTTTCTTCCTGGTTGCAGCTAGAAATGTTAGCAAAGAATCTTCAGGCTCATAGCTGTTCACTTTAGGCTTATTTTCCAGCAGTGGGTAGAGTCCCTAAAATTTATACTCAAATGAGAGTAGCAGTACTTCATATTCATATTGTTACTTAGGTAATAGTAAAAAGTACCCATCCAATAAATCTCTCAGGTAAAGATGAAACAAAGTATTTTTGTAAAAAGGCGACTTAAGTACTGAGTAACTTACTATATTTAATTTACTATTTACTATTTAAAATGATAACAAGACAGACAAAAATGTAAAGTTGATTACCCATTCTGGTATTTTAATACTATCATAGAATAGCAGAATTTGAAAATAACTTTACATGTTGTGTTTTATACTATGCCCAGATGATTAAAACAAATGAAAAACATAATTGAAAAAGGAAGGAAGGAGATAACAGAACATTTTTAAATATTTTTTTAGAAATATGAAACCAGTCCTCACAGGAGGTAATGTATACAATATTAGAGGTCACGGATTAGCGGACCGCGGTCTGGAGCCACCTGCTGGCTAATCCGGACCCTACCTGATTTAAAACCTTTATAAATCACTGCATGTTGTCCGACGGCAGTGTCTAATTTAACTTGCGCCACTTCTCTTGTTTTTACGGTAAAGCCGTCTAGAGCAGCACCAGGCTGCATGTGATCCAAACTAGCCAATGAGCTGCTGTCAGTCTGGGTTGCTGCTGCTGCTACTTTAGGACACAGCAGGCAAACCTGTGACAAGCCAGACGATGGGAAAGAAGGAGATGATGAGAAAAAGAGAGAAGAGAAAGTGTGGACTGCTGGAAGAACTGTGGTGAACTGGTGAAAGAAAAGTGAAATGGGGCTCAAAGATGACCCTGCACATTTAGAGGATGTTTGGCTCAACCTGCTGCTGTTAAGCAGGATTCTCCAACATGAACAGAACCAAAAATAAATATTGATCCAGGCTCAAAATGAGCTCCTTGATATGTGCTTTAGAATGGCTTAGTCTCCATTCAAACCCAGGTTTAAAGCCTTGCAGGGCAGCATAAAGCCCACTGCTCTTATTAAGCCAGAAAAAAAAAAAAACAAGCAAACAATCAGTTCAGGTTTTTAATAAAATATGTGAATCAGGAAATTGTCTATATACCAAATTGAACGACTGTTGTTCTCTACTTCAAAAAATACTTTAGATTTTACAAAGGAAAAATCTTCTATTTTTTTTTAAATATATTTTTAATTAAAAAGTCAATAACATGGATGGATAACATAAAAACCTAATTTTATTTCAGTGTTAAATTCTGTTTAAAGTAACAGATTATAATTAAAAATGTCTTTCGACGTTTACTGGTTGATGAATTTCTTTATTCAGACCCCGCTGATTTTTAATTGGTTACTCCTTAAATATAGTGTCAAATACCTCCAGTGATAATTTTATCCCTTACTAAATAGGTTCCTCAGATAGAAAGTGAGCTTTTGTATCATAAAGGAACACTAAGTTAACATAAACATTGACTGCATGTCTCTGTCTGAGGCACTTCTGTTCAGGACTATCTATATCAGGGGTGCTCAAGTCCAGTCCTCAAGAGCTACTATCCTGCAACTTTTTGATGCACCCCACTTTTAACACACCTGAATCAAATGAGTGGCTCGTTACCTTTCCTCTGCTGGGCTAAATGATGGATTTAGCCGTTCGATTCTGGTGTGTTGGAGAAGAGATGCATCTAAAAGTTACAGGATGGTAGCTCTTGAGGACTGGACTTGAGCACCCCTGATCTAGATAGTGAAGTTACTCACAGCAGATAGAGTAACAAAAAATTTGTAATATTTTATACAGGTGTACTCAAGTAGAAGTAAAAAGTATACAGCTGTAAAACTACTTAAAGTATAAAAGTACAAAGTAACCTTTAAAAAAAAAAAACAGCCAGACACAACTATATGAATTGAAAGCTCAGTATTTCTACTATTTCTAAAAATTCTTTAAAAATGGCCAAAGACTAGGGAGGTCTTGTTGGTCTCCACCTCCCGATACGCTCTCGCCTGTATCCGACCTTTCAGACATTTCAACATCTTTTTCTGAATCCTACATTGTAGCATGGCATAGACAATTCACGTTTGCAGTTTGAAGAACACCTGCTTGCTTCTGATGGTTTCCTTTAGCTAACCAATCAGTGTTTGCATTATATGACTCATCCAATTACACTAGTTTTCACTAGATGTGGATGGAGCCAATTATCTGCATTGGATGGCGCACATGACGGGAAATAAATATTCATAAACATTAAACCGAAGCCAATAGTAACAGTTAACGTTTGTTTTAAAAATGTAAGGAATAGAAAGTACAGATACTTCTGTGAAAATGTAATGAGTAGAAAATAAGTAATGGAGTAAAGTCTAGATACCTAAAAAGTGTACTTAGAAACAGTAATGAAGTATTTGTACTTTGTTACTTGACACCTCTGATCCAGACTGCCTGCGCAAAGCAAAGCCTACAGCCTCCGCTGTTCCTCCTGTCTTGCTCCTCTGCGACTTCCTCAGAGCTTGAGGAGAGAATGCGCTATATATCTTATTATTAAATTTAAAGGAGCAAAACATGCAGAAATGAACGCTTAATTTAATATGACATATTAAAAAAAATCCCCATCAGCATCCAGCATATGTGCAGTTTCTGCCCAAATATTTTCTTTTTGTTGTCTATTTTTGTAACAGGGATAACTAGGATCATATAATATATTTATATTTACATCCTATCAAAATAATAACAGCTTTTTTAAAACAAAAAGCACAGCTGAATCTATGTGCACATGAATAGAAAATAGGTTTTGGATTGTAAAAATATATTCCTATTAGGTTTCACTATGACTTTTTAAAAGGACAGATTATTTTTATGCCCTGAGACCTTATTTTTCATTCATCTATACATGTGATGACAAAACATGTATTTTTGGAGTGGCTGCTTCAAGCTGCTCATGAGAATGATCCAGATTTATAGATTATAGATAATTGAATCTGAATATAAAAATCTAACGTAACTTTTTAAATAGTGACACAGATTTTAATCCAGGCTGCTGAAGGCTACCCAATACACTGCAGCTGTTCAGGATATTGCATTTTATCAACATAATGTAGAAAAAAAATATGATTCTCAATTTATATATATATATATATATATATATATATATATAAGTTTCATTTTAATCATCTAGAATGGATAAAGAGGGAAATTCCCACAGACTCTGTAGTGATGCATACTGGCCTGTCCCTGAACACAATATTATGTTGCTCACAAAGGAAGAAGACAGAGAAGACTGAATTACCAGATGGCACTAATAAACAGTACTGATTGATTAATATTATTTATCTTAGGGAATGGAAGAGGTGGATTCCTGGATTTCACACTTGATTTTTGTTTAAATATTAATAAACATGTAAAAATTGATGAAACTGTCCCCGTTTCCTATTTTAATTTTCATAAAATGTATTTATGAGCTGGTATCGTCCCCAGATTAGATTGCAGAAATCATGTCACCTTAACCTATTGAAAGATGTAGAGGCAGGATGAGGAAATGAGACTGTTGAGTGACACAACTAGCCCTGCAGGTGACCGCAGCCACCAGCCATACCAACATGGGAGCGAGCAGAAACATATTGACAGCACTACACTGGTGATGCTTGAACGCTGTTTACTACCTGCTGGTTAATACAAGACCTCGTGCATGTTTTATTACATCAACAACAGGGGCGTCTCTAGGTTTAAGAGACAAGGGTGGCTTAGCCCCTAGAAGATAATGCGCGCGCCATGCGCGCGCCGAATTTTTTCAGTGCACCTGCTAAGGCGTTGTCTAAGACAAGGGTGTAACTTTGTGTTGAAAGTTGGTGGGGACGGCTCATAAGGAAAGGGAGCTACCTGCGCGACGCCTTTTTTTTTTTGTTGGAAAGGATAAAGCCAAAAAAATGCGAATAACATTATCAATTTAATGCTTACAGTTGAAAACATAACTGTTACAATATTCACTTATATATTTTGTGCAAAAAATATCACATAAATCTAAACAGACAGTACAAATCAAAGAAATCAAATAAATATATCAATTTTGTAGAACATTTATTGACAGTCAATTTTGGGTCACTTTTTAAAATTAATTTACTTTTAAACCAGGACTCGGACAAGATCTTATGGGACCTTAAGCAGAATATGATTAAGCAACTCCGTCTTTCTGTCAAGAACATCCACCAGCAGGGTATCCAGGGGGGGATTTACCATTAGGCAATACTAGGCAGTTGCCCAGGGCCCCAAGTTCTGGGGGCTCCATAAAACTCTGTTTCCATGTATGGTTAATACAACTAATCCTTATTTGTGCACATTAATTATGTTTTTGATAAAAATCCTTTGGCTAAAATGCCATCAGAACGCTGATAAATAGAGAGGAAAAAGGGACAAGAAGAGAGGGACAAAACCTAGAACAAATAATGGATGTCTATTCTATTAACATTTCTCTATCTGTAGAATGGGTCTGTTTTATGGGTTTTCTTCTCAGGGGGCCCCCTGCCTGTCTTTGCCTAGGGCCCCAAATTTCCTAAATCCGCCCCTGAGGGTATCAATACTGATTTGATAGAATCTGGGAGAGCGGACTATGTTCAACCATCCATTTTCTTTAACCTTATCCCTGAGTGGGATCAGGAGGTGCTGGTGCATATCTCTAGCCACGTTCTGGGTAAGAGGTGGGATCACCCTGGACAGGTCACCAGTCTGTCGCAGTATGTTCAACCAGCTTAAAAGTAATCGCTAATCAGATTTATTATTTGCACTTTTACTAAGTGAACTTTCTAACTCCCTTAAATCTGAAATTCCAATGCCAAAATTGTTTAAAGCTTTTATCTTTGGACCCCCTGCAGAGTGACGTCACACCTGCAAGATCCTATCCTTACCTTCCTGCTAGATTGCAAAAAGCAGCTTGCTCATGAGTTGTCAACATAACACGCTAAATCTTAAATGTACGTGTACATATAAAAGAAAAAGGGGCGCAGTGCTTGCAACTGAATGGCAACACTATCAAAGTCAGGAAAAAGTTTTAAGTAAAGCCGGGATTAAAACAGTAGCTACAAGTAGCTTCAAATAAAAGGTGTTCTTTATGTTCAACCTAAACACCAACTCCGATAGACCATCAGTAGAGCAGGTGTTTAAATTAATCAATCACTGCTGCGAAAGCTTATAGCAGTGAAAGCTAATATACCACAGCCATCACTTAATAAACGCAAAATAAACAACCCTCTAAAAACGGAAAACTGTAATGGACTGAAAGTCCTGTTTTTATGTGGGAAATTATTTGCGTGTGTTTTAGTATAATTCTGATATATTGGCGCTGTTGTCTGTTTCTATGGCAACGATACTGAATGTAGTGTAGCTTAGAGACCTGCATGGGTCGAGTTTTACCAACCCGCACCCGCCCGAACCCGTTAGAATGACTACCGAACCCGACCCGTCACCCGCGGATATCTTCAATTCAAATGTTATGGGGAGAGGTTGGAGGGGGGTGATGGGGAGAAAGCGAGAGGCAACAGATTCTTTTTTCTGAGTTTTTTTGTCGGGGTTTGTGGACGGTGAGCAGCGGGGAGAACTTTTTTTTTTTATTTTCTTTCTGAGGAGCGGCATGAATGGGGTTTTAATCAGATATACACAGCACCGAAAGCAAAATACGTGTACAAAATATTGGTGGGGACATGTCCACACCAGTCCTTAAGGAAGTTACGCCTATGATTGTTCAGATTAACTTGTCTTCTTTATGGCTTTTATTCGGTCCTTTACTGCATTTGTTTTGGGAAAATATGAGGAAAAAATAAATACAGAAAAAAATATATATTTTTTAAAATCGCAAAATAATTATAGGGTGGCTAATGCCAAAGAAAGGGTGGCTGAAGCCACCCTTAAATAGGTCTAACGACGCTTATGATCAACAACAACCATGTCAAGCAAGTCTTCTTCAACTACTGAAAAAACTGGGACTTCCTGTACCAAAGCTGTAGGGGGCGTGCATCAGAGATGGGGACTCGAGTTTGTGACTCATACTCGAGTCGCACTTAAGTCGCATATTTAATGACTTCAGACTCGACTTAGACTTACATTTGAAGGACTTCAGACTCGACTGAGACTCGTGATTTCCGACTTGTGAACAATATTTTATTCCAGTGTTTGTTTTACTAACTTGACTGATCGCCGCTCGTCTTACCCGCACACAGAAGAGGTAAAAAAAAAAAAAAAAGTAGCGCTTGTGGCCAGTATGGCCCCACACTCAGTCTTTGACACAAGGGGGAGCAAACAACTCAAAGACCCAAACGGTGAAGCACTCAAGTTCAAGTGTTTTATTTATACAAAAAGCCACAGCAAAAGTGGCATAATAAAACAGTCCTTTTCTTCTCCTGATAAAACCTAATATTCAAGAGTTTTCCTTAAAAATCAGAGGCTGGAAGTTGGGCTCCGCTTGTTATGCTGCTTCTGGTGCGAGTGATCGGTTTGCAGCAGCTCCATTGAACATATTTTAATCCGCTTTCCTCGTCGATATGCAGTTCAACAGAGCGATTCGCGCTCCCCCGACTGGGGATGCATATTTCGGCAGGCATGCACTTTTGGGCATAACACCCCGCCTGCCTCTCCCCTGGCAGCACGTCCGTCTCTGTCACCTGCAGATTCCGTTCTCCTTCTCCTTTCCTTCAGACTCCTTTTATGTCGGCTTTAATCAGCCCTTGCTCACACCTGAGCGCAGCAATTACGCAGCGCAATTAATGCACACGGCCTCCTCAGACAACTACTTCAGTCCAGTGCGCATGGATTGTCACAAGGGAAAAACAAACCAAAACAACCAAACATGCAGGAAAAATTCAAAAGTCTAAAATAAAGGAAAACAATCATATAAAAAAGAAACATCAAAACATGCAAAGCTCAAGAAGAAAATACAAAGAAAAACAAATCATATCTTCTTCTCCAAACATGCAAAGCATAAAACTAACATTTAAATGAAAGAAAACCATAAATCATATTTTTCCCTGTGCAACACACTGACGTCACTGACGCAACAGTACGTGACATATATGCCCGTGCGCATGCATGCATGCAACCCATACAGGTATGGAAGCGATGATTACCCCCCCTGTTTCGGTGCCACCGTAATAACCTTTGGCTACAAAAACTTTACATAAGGCGGGAATAAAAGAGCAGCAAACTGCAGCTTCTTTAGAAAAAAATACACGATGCTTGGTCCCCCACATCTAGTTTTATCAGCCACAGTGCAGTGCAGGTGTACAGACAGGGACATCACAGACATAAGGCAATAATTCAGGACCTTATTTCATGCAACCTCCCCTTGTCTTTGATCGACAAGCCCAGCTTTAAAAGCTTCATGGCAGTGGTAGAGGAGAAATATGTTGTTAATAATGTTGTAAATTGGCGCTAAATAAATAAACTGAATTGAATTGAAAATACTGCCCGCCAAGTCATTAAGTTACAAAAAGTTATTGCCACAATGTTTCTTTTATAAAAGTATTGTTATTGTCCTGCTGTTAGGGTTTTTCTTTATCTCTTGTAGTTGCTAACCTCATATGTATTAATAAAAGGCAGGATTGTGATTGTTTTTTTTCCCCCACAGTCCTCATTTTCACTTAAAAATAAAAGAGCAGACATTTACTGCTAAAACTACAAAAAGTTGTAACCACAAATGTCAGGTAAATACTGTAAGAAAATAGTTTTTTTTTGAAAGAAAAAAAACTAAAAATGCAAAATTTATCTGGAAATTTTTTTTGCGTGTGTGCTTTTTTTAGTGGTATTTTTTATTTAGCAGTTCAAGATAATGATAATTCCATAGATATAATAGCGACCTTTAAGCTATACCGTCTCAGTGACGGAGATGAAAACACAAGGAGAAACAAGCAAGCACGAAAATTATTGCACTTTTTTTAATTAAGCAAGTGATTAGAATTTTTTGTGCGATTAATTGATTATTGCGACAGGCCTTCTCAAGACTTGAGACTTGACTTGGACTTGCAAAAAATGACTTGTGAACATGTCTGGCGTGCATGCAGCATCCAGTGTGGACGATGGCAGTATATCATGTACACACAGCCTTTTCAAGGCACTGCAGAGAACCACAGGGCAGCTCGTTGGTTCATCAGCCAGTAGCATTTAAAAAACGAATTGTTTTTTACTCTTTCACAGTTCCCGGCGCTAGTTCCTTTTAAGTATGTGCACATTTGGCAGAATACTAACTTCATACCAACATGCAGTAATGTTCCACAGAATTTCGATTGCCTGTTGAGTTCCTGCTGGTTTTGTTTGACCTATAAAGAACAAGGACCAGACTCAGAGTATCAAATTTATTTAAATTTGATCTAACTTTATTTATTTAAGCTGGTGTACATGTTTAATCAACAACAAGTGATATTTTCAGGGGTTTGCTGCTGTTTGTTTTAACGATTCTAAAAGCCCAAAAATCAGCTGGTCCTGCTGGTCTCCACATGATGAGGAAAGGATTCAGCTTCAATCTGATCTATGTGTTTGCAGGACGGTGGGATGTTGGATCGTCTGCAGCTGGAATGTCAGGCTGACGGTTCTTGGAGCGGCCCTCCTCCTCATTGTCACAGTAAGACTCTGATCTGAGCTCAGAGCTGATGATCGACACATATGCTGATCAAACCGCCGCAGATCTTCAGTTTCTGTTCTTTACCTTGTTAAATACCTCAAGCTGTTTTATTTTTCTAACATAACCACATTAAATGATGTCGTAAACTGTAAAGCTGCCTCGTCTCCAACATTTTATGGACTAAGCTTCTGGTACTGAAGTTTGACTCAGACAACGTCAGGGAGAAGTTTTCACAAAAAAATATTATTGTTCATTATATGTGAGATAATGTGATACAGAGAAGGTGGTGTTAAAAAAAAAAAAAGAAAAGAAATCTGTATAACTCAGACATAGTCCCAATTCGAACCTCTGGACTCATGCTGGTGACCATCAGAAGCTCCCTGTCTCAAATAATCAATTAAATTAAATTAAATTTATTTATATAGCGCCAATTCACAACACACGTCATCTCAAGGTACCATACAATTCACCAGATTGATGTCAAAGATTTCTATTTAAGTAAAAACCTGTTGATTGCGTCGACTCATTGACTCGAAGGCAATCCCTCACACTAAGCATGTTTGTAGCGACAGTGGAGAGGAAAAACTCCCTTTTAACAGGAAGAAACCTCCAGCAGAACCAGGCTCAGTGCGAGCGGCCATCTGCTGAGGGCGACTGGGGTTCAAGGAGACAGAAGCAGAAATAGAAAAGGCAACTGTAAAAAGGTGGCCCAATCCAGGAAACACACAGCCAGGCCGACGAGCTCCGAGCCAGCTCCCATGTGAGACGATGAAGAGAGCACATCCAGACAGTCACTGTCAGAGAAACAGGACTAAACTGAAAAACAGGCCGATCTCCAACAGATATAAACAAAGGTGTTGATGGCAGCAGCAGAGCTGATATTTCTCAGCAGGCCAAACAGGAACAGACCAGATGATGAGAAAAAGCAGAGTATATAACAATAGAGATTGGTCGAAATAATTCTGCAGAATGGGAGAATAAACATAGAATGAAGCAGAGTGATGAATTTGAAAAATATGTAATTCTTGAACTCGATCTGAAAATTGAAATGGAAAAAAAATATATATAAAAAAGAAAATATTAAACCATGACATTTTCTTTTTGATAAAAAAAAATCTAAAAAGGAAATAAAGAATTTAATCAAAACCTTGTTTTTTATTAAATTTCTGAACTGCATGTCTTTTTTTTTTATTTGGATTTACAAATCATTTTTATTGAGACATACAGGGGTGCAGTTTGTAGCAGGAGTTTGCGAGTTCTCCCTATATGTGCGTAGGTTTTCGCCAAGTACTTTGGTTTCTTGCCATAGTCAGAAAACCTGACTGCTACTGTAGGTTACCTGGCATCTCTAACATGTTTTTAGGTGTGTTTTCATGTTTCTATGTTGCCTTGCAACAGACTGGCAACCTGTTCAGGGCTTCAGATGATTTATGGAAATAGGCATCAGTCCCACTGTGACCCTAACAGATATGAAAAAATAGATGAAATTTAGGTTTATTTCATGGAAGCAAAAAATTGAATACAACCAATAAGAGCTTGATTGATTCCATGTAGTACCCGACCGCTGTCAGCAGGTGGCAATAGATTTCAATAAATCTGTTTGACAAATTTTGAACTGGAATTTCTTCCCTCACATGAACCTTAGATAATCTAAGACCGTAATTAATTAGATAAGAGATTATCCTAACGTTATCATTTTATAGTCTGAGTTGTTTGTGGAAAAACAAATAACTTAATTAAATAAAAAATCAGCATGATTACACATTGGAGTGGATATAGATGTTGGATTTGCTAGTAAAAAATTAAATGACACTTAAGAGAAAAAGTTAAGATGTTTGGGTGACCTCCTCGGAGAGGATCTGTTGGGAGTCTGCCAGGCCATTAACATCACTGTACAAACCTACTGTGACTAAGCACCCATTTGCTGCAGGTAAGGTACTGACTGCCGATCAACACTCCACTGATCCCCACTTTAAAAGCTGAACTGTGGCTTTAATAACTGGAGAACATTTCCCCGCAGTCGGATCATCCTAAAACACTGATTGGTTCCTGAATCTGTTGCAGTGGTGGATTGTGGGAATCCTAAGAATGTCGAAGGAGCTATTGTGATCTTTGGTAACCATGACAACAGCACGCTTTTTGGAGCTACGGTTCATTACGTCTGTGTGGAGGACGGTGTGCTGCAGAGTAACAGTAAGGCAACTGGTGACGTCATTAAGGTTAATTAACTGGTGTTTATCCAGGGCTTTAAATCAACTTTAACTTTGTGTTATTTCAGTTCTACTGAACGAACTTTAGATTTTTTTCCATCTAAATTTACTGGAAGCTTCAGTCTGATCTACCTGTGCTGTAGGTTCATTCAGGTGTGGACCCACCGGTGAGTGGGTGGATGCTGAAGGACGAGTAGAGGAACCCATCTGTCTGCCAGGTCTGGCTCCTGTCTTCCCACCTGCCTGTCCCTGTTTTTTTCATCAGTTTTCCTCTTTGTCTAACTTATCTGTCCATTTTTGACCTGTGTTTTTTTAACCCATCTATTTATACCACTTGTCTTGCTGTATTCTTGTCTTCCTACCAGTTTATTGTCTTTCTATTTGTTTTCCTGTCTATCTGCATCTTTCTACCTGCCTTTTTCTGCCTGTAGATATTTAAACAGTCTGCCTGTCGGTCTGTGTCTCTCCTTGTCCATCTGCTGTGTAATTACGTGTCTGTCCTTTGTCTGTCTCCCCTCCAGCCTGTGGCCTCCCGTCCCGTTCCCTCCCTCCTCAGGTGAAGCGCATAGTCGGTGGTCGGAGTGCTGAGCCCGGCCTTTTCCCCTGGCAGGTCCTGCTCAGCGTGGAGGATCTGTCCCGGGTCCCTGAGGACCGCTGGTTTGGCTCCGGGGCTCTGCTTTCCGAGTCCTGGATTCTAACTGCTGCCCATGTCCTGCGCTCCCAGAGGAGGGACGCGAGCGTTGTTCCGGTGGTCCCGGATCATGTTAAGGTGGAAAGGAACCGGAATTAGATCATTAGGTTTTTCTCCGTCCTCGTGACTCAAACAGGACTTCCTCTCCTTCAGGTGGTCCTCGGCCTCCACAGCATTAGAGACAAACATCTGTCCACCAGCCGTTCTGTTGACCAGATCTTCCTCCATCCGGACTTTCAGCCCAACAACTACGACAACGACATCGCCCTGCTGAGGCTGAGCCAGAGGGTGGAGTTTAACCGACTGATTCGACCCGTCTGTCTGCCACCAGCTCACAGAGAGGTGAGGAGGGGGATGGAGGTTTCAGGTGTTCTGTTGAGGAGACGATGCTGACGGTAAGATCACTGCTGCTCTTTCCTGATAAAGTGAGGCGTTCCTTAGCTCTAAATTCTGTCTCCACCAGGACCATCCTCCGTCCCTGCTGCCCCACTCTCTGGGTCTAGTCGCTGGTTGGGGGATATCCAATGCTTCCTCCACCCCATCCATGTCCCTGCTGACCTCTGACCTCTTGCAGTACGTCAAGCTGCCAGTTGTCCCTCTGGATGAGTGTCGGGCCAGCTATGCTTCGCGCTCCAACTACTACAACATCACGGACAACATGTTTTGCGCCGGCTTCTTCCAGGGGGGGAAGGACACCTGCCTGGGGGACAGCGGGGGGGCGTTCGTGATGGAGGTGAAGCGGAGGTGGGCTGTGTTTGGCCTGGTGTCCTGGGGCGGTCCCGAGGACTGTGGCAGTCAGAGGGTCTATGGCGTGTACACCCGGGTGGAAAAATATGTGGACTGGATTCAGAGCCACGTTCACACTGCCCCCTGGTGATGAGACAGAGGATTGCATCTCACTCTACCTTCTTCTCTGCAACACTCCCCTCTGGACTGGTGTTCAATCAGTTTATCTCCATGTCAAAGATCCCACCCTTCCCCTCTATATTATATCTGTGTAAATCCTCTACAAATTCAGACCCGTAAAGGTACCTAGTCATGCTATATGCTAGATTGAAACAGACCAGAATCCAGATAATGATAAAATAAGGCTATGTATCCAAACCGTTCATCCTGATGGTGTTTGCATAATCTTTTTTTTTAGCCTAAATAGAACCTCCGCAACGGACATGATTAACTGACATAGAGAGAGGCAGGGCCATCTACTGGCAGCAACACTGAACTACAAGAAAGACAGATGGTTGCCATTGATGTAGCTACTAGTAACTTTACAGCCACATCAGAAAGCTTCCTGATCGTTAGCTCCAGCTTTAGTGAATTCACTTGTCAAACTGTTTTCCAGTGTAACTCCAGTTTTATCCTTCTTGGAATCAAATATATTCTTGTGCCTTTTTACACTTGATCTTGGACTTTTCTTTTTTTATTTTGTCGCAACTACAACTGGAGTTCCACACTTGTTCGACTCCATTTCTTCTACTTGTTTACCAGTTGTATCTAATCTGGGAAATATTCACAAAAAGTCTATATTTACTAATAAATTATATACCTGCAGGATGACGTAATTTGTCACCAAAACAGAATGCAACTAGTATAAGTTACTGTTTATGACTTGACTGTACTTTTCATTTCCGCGTCTGATTATTCCTCAACTTCAGAATGCTGTTCAATCTTTGGATTTATTCAAATGTTCTTGAATCCTGGTGTTACCTTCGGGTGTCCGTGTCACAGACCTGAGACATTGAGATTATTCCCTCAGCACATTATAGACCACCCATGGAGTTATATGAGGTCTATAATTAGCGTCACACCTGCAGCCTTCTGAGATTAACATCTCATCTCCAACTGTTTTAGCAACAACAGGAAATATTTTAGGTTTTATTCGGGAATTCCTCATGGATCCAGGTAAATCCTGCTATTTACCCTGGAAGCTTATATTTTATGCAGATGACTGCCGTTTTTTTTCTTAAGTTAGTTTCAGGTGAAACCATCTGATTTGAAACCAGCATCTAGTCAATAACCATCTGAGCTGCATGTTTGACTCAGATATTTTTTTTTTCCAATTCTTTCGGCGGTTGCACACTTTAAGTCTTATTTATCAATATTTTTTAGGGATCTTGGAAAATTCTGCAAGTCAGTAATGCCAATGGGTGACTGTGTGGTTATTTTGTTGGCTGGTTACATAGAAAAGTATGTGAAGAAATATGTTAACCTTTGGGTAGTTTTAATTGAAAAAAGCTTTCTCCTGACTCTCTGTTGAGTGTTTTTATTAAGTAAATTAAAAAAAGCGATCTGAAATGGGAAAATAATTCGGAAAGTAAAATAACAAGGCTTAAAAGAACACAAAAATGGCTGTTATTTAAGACTAAACAAAAAGTTTTGATAGAACATATTTTGTCATAAAATAAATAAAACATAACTTGACATTTGGAAAATGATTTATAAGCACAGAAAAATATAAAAATATATTTTTACTCTGTTTTTCATTTTCCAATCGGAGTGAAAACATTTTCTCACAAAAATAGATCTCTCTCTCAAACCTTTTTTCTTCTTTTTGTCAAAACCCAAGACTTTGTTTATTTTCCCCTTTCAGATCACTTTTCTTCTTGAAATTAATAAAAACACTAAAATAACTCCATACTCTCCAGACTCCAGAGTCATAATGAAATTCTTCTAAATATGATTATATATATAATATATATATATATATATAATATATATATATATATATATATATATATATATATATATATATATATATATATATATATATATATATATATATATATATATATATATATATATATATATATATATATATATATATATAAAGCTATGAGAGGCAGTTCTAGAAATGTTCCAGTGTGTTCAAGGTTGATTTGTACTTTTTCTATGGATCAGAATGACAAACCTACATTGGGTCACTTCAATCTTGGAGGACTTTGGGATTTATGGTGGTAAATTTCTATTACAAATCATCAGCAAACTTTCAAGTTTCCAGGAATAATTTCCAGGAGTTTATTTTATTGCAAATGTGTGACTTTACAGTGTCAGAAAATATCAGTAATTTATATCTTTAGTCATTTTCTGTCGCATTTTATGACTTTTTTGTTTTACAGAAATGTTTCCCTTCATTGCCTCATTTATGTTTTTCTTTATCTACATTGAATACTCCCTCACTGGAAGACATCTAACTTCATTTGGACTTTTTTTTTTTTTTTTATCACATGTTGCATTACCTACACTCCTGAATATGTAGCTTTGTTGTTCATACCTGCTTTGTTATTGTCATATTATTGTCTGAGCTGACATAAACCTGTTTAAATCCTTCCAACAGTCTCAATGGAAACCTGTTACCAGCTAAGAGGGCTTATTCTTTTAAAGCACATTAAAAAACAGTTTAACCTTTAACTGAAAAGTTACTTAACTTTATCATTTGACCTATTCATTTTGCTATTCTGTTGACCATATTTCCCTTAAGTTTATTTTTGGTGATCAAACTAATTTAGATTTATTCATTAAAATGACTAAAATGTATTTTTTCTTTTTTTATCATTTGGTTTTTAAGCGTTTAAGACACAAACTGCTAAAGTTAGGCATAGATATTTATTCTGATATATTTGTTACTTGCATTGGTTTCCACATTTACAAATATTTTCTTATTCTACATTTCATGTTAAAGGCGATAGCTACAAAACTAACTCTTTCTGGCCAGTAGGTGGCGCATTTGTTCTTGTGTTATGTACAGTTTACCAACCTTTTGCCAGGTCCGCTAATGCTAATGCTAAAGATAAGTTGGTAGTACAAAAATCATGACTAATTAGCAAATGTTTAACTTTCACATTGAAAGTTAAAAGTTTGCTAAATCAGCAACAACACTCAAACTCTTGACAATTTTTCACCCTTGTTTTTTGTCTTCCTTTTGCGTTAAGCGTAAGGCTGAGAACTTATTTCTCAGTTTTGTCAATGCGTAAATAAGATCTGACAATCCCTGAGCTCAGTCTCAAGTGACTTTACCTCCTATTTCGTGTTGATGTTATCATAACCATTATTCTGGACCTATCAACGTTTATATGGCAATTATTCATAAACACCTTTTTTTTTTTTTTTTTAAGAATTATCACTCTTATTTCGCACCACTTTGGATGTTCTGGGTATATATTATTAAATTATGAGCTTAGGCAGGTGTGGTTGGGAGAAGTTAACCACCTTTCAAGGACTAAGGATCCACCAGGGGAGGAAAGAATGCAAAACATGGGGCCAAAAGCAACAATGCACTGCAACCCCAGGTCAAACAAAAGGAACCAGGTACCAGGTCAATAACAACAGTGCTGAGTCCGTGTTGGACCCCGTTTTCTCTAAAGGTGGCAATGATGAGAGTCAATGTGTGAAGAGGTGAGGAATAGTCTTAGCAGCCTGTGGAGAGCAGAGCTAATCTGCAGACGCAGAAGGCGGAAGTAGAAGGAGAGGAGCAGCTATTTATAATAGGAACAGCTGCTATATAATAAGAGGTGCGGCAAACTGGAGATCACACAATCAGAGCTGGAAAGTTAATTCAAGGAACACAACAGCTACCCAGGAAAACAAACTGCGCTAGGACTAGGGTGGCCATTTCTATAGCACCAAAAAGGAGGACATTGTGCGGCATATCAATAAATTACTAAGGTGTACATAAGAATCGGGTAAAGTCACATTTATAGCACAATTCTTAGTAGTTTAAAGAGGATGCTTGTGTAGCTGAATAGAACAAAATATTAAAGAAATGTAAAAAAGAATTGGTTCCCAGCATTTGTATTTATTTAATACATTGTGGTGTTTAAAAAGTGACAATTTTTTTAACACAATTAATTTGCGCAGAACTGCTGCAATTGATCATAAAGCAGTTGTTTGGAAAAGAAGCTCGAGAAAGAGCTAGAGAATAGGACGATGCAAACTGCAAAAAGTGGCTGGAAAAGAGGAATTCATGACATGGCTGCAGCCTGTCGAGAGTAAAGATGATTTCACCATGTTCTCTATCTATCCATATCTATCTATATATCTATCTATCCATATCTATCTATCTATCTATCCATATCTATCTATCTATCTATCTATCTATCTATCTATCTATACATATATATATATATATATATATATATATAAACTTGAGTCATGGAACTGTGCTTACAGCTCCTTATTTCATGTAAACTAATAACTTGTGTACATGATACTTGTTGATGGCATTAAAATTATTTCTAATAGCATTAAAAGAGCATTAAATTAGAGCTCCTCATTCCTGTATAAAACCTGTGAACGCTTAATTGAATCTGACATATTAAAAAAATCCCCATCATCATCCAGCAGATGTTCAGTTTCTGCCCAAATATTTTCTTTCTGTTGCCGATTTTTGTAACAGGGATAACTAGGATCATACATAGTTTGTATGAACTCTGTTTATTCTCTGCTTCCAAACTCATCATCTCTTCATCCATTCCTGCAATAAGAATTTTCTTTTAAAGTTGTGAGATTCACTCTAGAATCTCACAACTTCTTCCTGGTCTGTTGAAGCACCAATAGTCTGCATCCAATTATTTAATTAATTGCTCTTAGTTTTTGGGAATATATACAAACTATGCTCTAATTTCTAGATACCGATCTGTTTTTACTATAATTTAATTTGACAAACCGGGTCTTCTCTACATTCTTTTTTCTGTTTGGTGCGATTGCAATAGCGGGTCTTGATCTGGACGGACCGGAGGGGAGCAAAAAATAGCTCAGCTCCGTATTTTGACGGTGAAGGACGGAGAAGACGTACGTGGGCGGTGACGAGCGGAGGATGTGGAACAGCTCTCATTGATTTACATGACAGACAAGTACTCCGTACGTGAGCGGGGCGGAGCGCTGACGGAGTATGTGGAATCTGGGGGTAAAGGAGGACAAATACACGTCCGGCTGGGTGCAGCGCCGGACGCCGGACAGTGCAATGAAAATCCGGACTGTCCGCCCTAAAGCCGGACATCTGGCCACCCTAGCTAGGACCAGCAGTTCAACGCCCAGACACTCCACCCTACCTCTTTGACACTGCTTTGCCCAAGCTCAGCAAAGTCAAAGAGGTTTTGCACAAAGCAAGAGCCGGCTCAGCCCCAGGCCACAATGGGATACCATACAAGCTTTACAAGTACTGCCCAGGAGTCTGGAAAAACCTATGGAGGCTCCTGAGAGTAGCATGGAAGAACAGGATCATCCCTTCAAAGTGGCAAAGAGCAGTCAAAGTCTTCATTCCAGAAGAAGGCAGACTCCTCTACGATCAGCCAGTTCAGGAGCATTGCTCTCCTGAATGTTTAAGGAAATATCTTCTTCTCCATCCTGGCCAAGAGGATGACCAGCTACCTCACAAACAAGTAGAGAGAGCAAAGGGACCTGGATGTAGTGTGGTTGGATCTTGCCAGTGCATATGGGTCTGTCCCCCATTAGCTCATCGACTAGACTCTGGACTTGTTTTACAACCCTGTCTGAGCTCGTACCCTGGTGGCAAGGTACTTTGCAGACCTCCAGATGCATTGCACTCACAAGGACCATGAAATTTTTCATCTCCCCCAGCCTGTTCGTTGCAGCCTTTGAGATCATCTTCATAGGGGCAAGGAAGATGGCAGGAAGATTGAAGCTATTTGCAGGGCAAAGGCTTTTTCCTATACAAGGGTATATGGATGATATTACCACCATCATCCAGACAGCAGCATGTACCCACTTCTTTTGGTCGAAAGCCTCAAAAGAACTGAGGAGAGCCATGGTGGTGGCAGAAGTGGCCAGGACAGAACAAGATTGTCTCCATGTCAAGGCTTTGTTGCCGAGCAGACAGGGAGGCTGGTTGTCATGGGAAGGCGTCTCAGACAGACAGGCCCATGTCATTGTCTGATCTGTGGTAATTCCCACAAGCCAGCCACTTGGCAATCAATGCAAGCCTTCAGCACATCCTGCCAGGCTGCAAGATTGCATTATCCCAAGGTCAGTACATGTGGAGACAAGACTTGGTTTTGAGGAAGCTAGCAGAGGAGGCATGCATACAAGAGGCTAACGACAGACCTCCTGCTCCAGTGATGTTGCCAATCCTCTTCACAGGAGCCAGGGTAAACCCCAAACCTGCCCACGGCACATTACCATCAAGCTTCTTCTCACCTGGTGGTCAGTTGTCAATGAGGGTCGAACTTAGGAGACAACTTTAGTTGCCCAGGGAGATTGTGGCGACATCACTGTGGCCAGACCTGATCTTGTGGTCAGTTCCATGCAAGACCATCCTCCTGGTGGAGCTCACCGACCCATGGTAGCAGGGTATGGAGGCTGCCAGTGAGTGAAAGTGTGATAAGTATTCAGATCTGGCAAGCCGGGTGCAGAGAAGCTGGCTGGAAAGCCATCACATGCCCCATCAAGGTGGGCTGTAGGTGATTTGTCAGGTCCTTGATGGTTTGACTGCTCTGCGGCCTTGGATGCACTAGACCTTGACGACGCAGGACATCAGGGAATTGGCAGAGGAGGCAGAGAAGGGCAGTTTCTGGCTGTGGCTAAGGAGGAGAAACAGGGTAGGGGCCTAAAACCTAGGGCATCTGCAGGGGGTGGCAGGGAGATATCCAATATCAAGAGATGTACTAGGGTTAAAGGAGTGAAACATCCATGACTTGTGGTTCCCAGCTGATGACCTGCTCAAGCCCAGGGGTGTACAAGGCACACGTGTTTAAGGCATTGGGGGAGGTGCGTCAGGTAGCAATGCCATGCAGGTGGAACATCAGCCTGTATTTTCAATTCAAAGATCAATTGCTTGGAAAGAGGTTTTAACATTCTGGATTCAAACAAATGCTGATAATATAGCAGAATAACCTCACCAGATTTGAACTAACCTTAAGTAGAGCCACAAAAAAAAAAAAAAGGATTTCTTTGACAAGTAATAAAATGACCATTTATTTAACAAAGAATGATATGGTCAGAACCCAGTTACCATTAAAACCTTATCTTACTAATTTCCTCTTGTTCTTTGCATGCTATCACACATAGATTGATTTGTCTAATTCATTGAGAGTTTGCATATCTTTCGTATATAAACATACCATACAAGTGAACAGGATGAGCGAAATTGACCCATTTGAAATCACTACCACTGCTGCTAAATGCATTGCAGCATCCCTGGAAGAGGGAGCCTCTGTTTGTTCTGAGTGCTGACTGAGTGCAGCTTTGTGTGACAGTGGACCCTGACTATCCAGCTGCCGGTGGAAAATAACCAGTCTTCCTTCTTTAAAGTTTGTTTTAATGCATTTCTAATAACTGTTGCAACATAATTGGGTTTGAATCTGGATTCTACATTTTCTTTTAACATCAAAATAGACTCAAACCACTATGAAAAATAGATTCAAGACTAGCTGAAAACCTTTTCTGTCTCTGAAAATAAAATAAAATACCAGTATTAAAGTAATGTGACAGATTTCACTAAATTCTGTTGATGTTCTGCCTTAAAGCTCTGACTTTATTCTAATCCTACAGGAACCTCAGAGTTTGTTTCCTGCACATTCTTTCAGGCCGATAAGGATTGTCTTAGAATGGTCATGCTTAAAACTTGGCTCTCATCAGGTCCGAGTTCCATTTTGGCCTACTTTCTGCATGGTTTCTCTCATCCAGCTCAGGAAGTTTCCTAATCTGGTGTAAACTCCATATTTCCCCTTAGCAGCACATTTCTCTCCCCAGCTCACAATCCCGGTCAGAAACCAGGTTCCTCTGTAGTTGACCACAAATGGACCGCCGCTGTCTCCACTGCAGGCATCCATGCTGGTTTCAAGGTAACCTGCACAGAACATGTTGTCTGTGATCACCTGGAGAATGCAAAAGGAGGAGGATTACCCTGAAATATCAGGGTTAAGAATTTTAAAATCACAGCTGTCAACAGCAAAATATTAATTAAAATAATAAAATAATTTTTTTCAAAATGTACTTAGGGCTGCAGACACATTTTTGCAAATTCCAGGCACGCACTGATGAAAAATCAATGGCACTCCCTGCTGGAAATAGAGCTGTATATCAACCAGAGCTAAGGTAAAACATCTGAAAAAACTTTATATGGACTAACTGAAGGTTTTTTTTTTTCTTTGTTACGCTTTTTTGTACTATATACACTCTTTTTATATTGTCTGTCGTATTTTTATCTTGATTTAATTCTTTGTACCCTATACAACCTACTGGTACAATAATTTCCCCAAGGAGTAATCCCAAGGGATAAATACACTTGATCCAAGTCAAAAACCATTAAAGATTTTCATTTAAAATGATCTCAACAACGCCCCCTACGGGTGGATGTGATGCCACAAGATGGAGCAGATCACCTGTTCAGTGGACGCAGAACACGCCTGATAGCTCACCACTGGCAGGGTCACCTTCCTCAGAAAGCGGGAAGATTTTCCAAGGTACTGAGTGGCTCCCCACCCCGTCACCATGCCCCGGGTGTTGTCCTGAACAAAAACCTACATTCAGGATCTCAATGATCTATCAAAAAGAGAGGTGTTTGTAATTGGGTTACCCTCAGTAGGTACTCAGATAGGTGGGGGTCTGGTAGGCAGGCGGGTACTGCTGTTGGGCCCCTGATAACGGGCTCAGCCAGGTAGAGAAGGGCAATGTCGCTGTCGAAGGTGAAAGAGTGGAAATGAGGATGGACGATGATCTCCTGGATCTTTATTTTCTGCTCGCCTGGATCAGGGCGTTTTTTATCAATGTTGCCTGAAACAGATAAATGGTTTATGTTTAGGATGAACCTGGACAAAATTTGAAACTTAGATCTGGTTAATAGGCACTGCATGTTGTTAATAAACAAACCCAAGAACCCCTCAGTGTGGCTGAATCAAAATAACTCTTCATAGCAGACAGTTAATTTCTCATTATGGTGTGAACAGAAACCAATTAGAACTGGGTGATGCCTTCCAGTATTTCTTCTGGTCCAACATACAGGACCCAGATGCTGAAAGGATTTCACGCTATATCCTCTTTCCCTCTGGAAATAGAAGGTTAATACATGTTTTTCAGACATAGGTTGACCCAATAACAATCGACATTTCTACTGGCTAAAAAAGCTGGGTCTAACGCTGGCCGCTGTGTGGTCTTTGTCTCCTTCGGCTGCTTGTCTGGTGACCTCATCAAGCTGGGTTATCATTGATGCAGTCACCAATGCCACAGAAATCAGGAAAGTAAACAATGGAGAGAAACATGTAAGGAAGCCAGGGCTAGTAAGTGTGCTGTATTGTTTTACCCTTTTATCTCTCTGAATCCCTTTCACCAGTGCTGCGCCATGTTTATCAAATTTTAACAGTTGTTTCGGCTTGTTAGATCAGATGGCATCACGTAATTTAGCGGGTTCCCACAGCATGCCGATCACAGCCAAGGTGGTTTTCACGCAGGTAGCTTGCCGATTGTTGTCGATTTTAAAAGGGTTTTTTGAATAGTGGGAAAGGGGCCTAATATACCCAGGGTGGATAAGAATTGTTCCTTTCATTCTCACCTACAGTAACATGGTCTGCAGAGTCCACGAAGCAGTGGGCTGCGGAAACAACCCATCGATCTGTAACCAGAGTCCCTCCACAGAATCCAAACCCATCTGACCTGTGGATCAAAACCTGGACAGAGAAAAACAATTTGTAAAAGATTAACTTGTCTATACCCCCATACCTGGGGGTTGCGACCCCCACCACCTTACAGGGGAAAAGAAGACCTTGCCTGTTCAGCCAGGCCAACAATGCCCTTTAACGACTCCCCTTCAGAGATATAGACAGGTATGGGGTATTGCAGGCTAACAAAGTAACCAAACAAGCCCCATTCCAAAGGGGCGGACCCGTTCATGCGGTTCAACTTGCATGTTTTCTAAGCCAAAACAAGGCTTTGTTTTTGCTCCACTCTATAAAGCCTGGAATTCAACCCTATTCCTGATATTTTGAATTGAAAAAGCTGGATGGGAAGCGAAACATCTTCAAACTTGGAAACAAAGTCCAGTGGATTGTTTTTTAACTTTTTTGGAATGACTATGACCTTGATGACTTAGAATCTTCACCAGCATAAACCAAGACATTAAGATATTCATGATGAGTAGGAAACAGCTGCTATCTCTCACCTGCCAGGGACTCCCTCCTCTGGACTCCAGGTTTCCTCCGACAATACGAGGAGATAGATCTTCCTCCTCTTGTCCCCCAAGCTCAGTTTGGTTTCCACCGATACCCCTTAATGTTGAGTTTGTTGTCATGAACTCTTCTGATGCCTCTGTTACGTTGTGTCCTCGAACTTCAGCATGTGTGCTATTGTGGTCTAGGACATCCATTGGAAGGGTAAAGTTGGTGTCTTCAGAGAGATCGAACAGGGAGCGAGTGTAGGACAATGCTGCCATCTGCTGGCGGCCACAGGGAAACTTCACTGTAGGATAAAATGAAGCAGGTTGGAGAGTTTTAACACAATTCATCAGCCTGACTCCAGGTAGGTCGAATAGCCAGGCAACTTATTGCAGCACAAAACATTTTTGTTCAGATCACGTGTGTCTTATTGCAGGTTTTTTTTAGATCAGATATCAACAGTTTGGTACCTGTTGGTGTGCAGCTCTCTCTATTAGTATCTAATTTAAATCCATCAGCACAGCCACACTGAACACCTGCGCCCCCTGGCAGGTCTTTACAGTACTGCAGGCACTCGCCATTTCTATAGCGACACTCTGACACCTCTAAACCCAACACAGAAACAAGCACACAAGGTTAAGATATGCCATGTATGGGCCAATAGGTGTAACTGAGTCACAGAGGGTTCTTTGCCTGAGTCGCAGGTCTTGCCGTGGAACCTTGGAGGACACAGGCACAGAAAGTCCTCTCTGTCCTGAGTGCAGATGCCTCCGTTAAGGCAGGGGTTGGTCTGACAGGGGTTCAGATCTGTGACACACAAGACAAACTCAAAAACAGGTAGATCAGAACCAGAAAGGCTGATGAGTGGTTTCAAGAGACATTAGCAGACAGCCATTAGGCAATACTAGGCAGTTGCCTAGGACCCCAAGTTCCTGGGGGCCCCATAAAACTCTGTTTACATGTATGGTTAATACAACTATTCCTTGTTTGTGTATGTTAATTATGTTTTTGATAAAAACACTTTCGCTAAAACGCCATCAGTCAACTTTTCAGACCCCTCTACCACTTTTTTTTCAAAAAGCGCCTAGCGCCAAATCAAGCTACTTTTTTTTTTTGAGAATTTAGCAACAACATATAAAGGCACCAAACTCTGCTCTCCAGAGCAAGTAGATTGGTAACCCTGCCTCCTGCTTTCCTCTATTTTGTCTGCTGTCATGATTCATGCAGCTATTATTTCATCCAAATGAAAAATGGAGAACAGATAAGCAGATCATGGCTTGTCTACAGTGAAAAGAAGGAATGTGTTATTTACTTTTGCTGTCGCCTTTTTGGAAACACAGTAAGAAGCAATCAGTTAAGTGAGCTTAGTGCTTGGAAAAAATCTTTCATTCCTTTTGAGACAGCATGAAAAGTCAGCTGAGTACAAAATATAGAGAGGAAAACAACAAGGAAAGGGACAAGAAGAGAGGGAAAATGTAGAACAAATAATGCATGTCTATAAAAATTTTTTTTATCATTATAATAGGTCTGTTTTATGTGTCGTCTTCTCAATTCAGAGGGCCCCATGCCTGTCTTTGTCTAGGGCCCAACATTTCCTAAATCCGCCACTGCAGACAGAAGGATATATCAGATAAAACACAGGTATCAAACTCTAGTCTTTGAGAGCCAGTAACCTGCACCTGTTAGATGTGTTCCTGCTCCAACACACTTGAATCAAATGAGATTAGCAGGATATTGCCACACTTGACTGTTTACTGAACAGGGTTGGAAGTTTCACAGAGATTTTTCCATGTTGTTTTTTTCAGCCAGAAGAAATATTTTCTTCCAGTTTTTCCGAAAGAAAGTTGGAAGGTCAAATTTACTGGGAAGTTCTGTTTCTTTTGGTGAATATTTTGCCTTAAGCAGACCCATCCAGTAACAACCTTGAAATGGTGTCCACTATCTATAAACCAGGGTATTTTGGCAGCATGATTAGCAGAAGAAATTAAAGAAAAGTAAAGCCAGCTGGAGTATTCTGGGTATACAAGCAGCGTTTTCCTATCATTTTAACGTTATTAGTAAATTATCACTTCTGTACTGAATATTTAATTCCCTGGTGAGTTTCCTTTTGGGGGTATTCCCTAAGGGTGTTTCCCTGGGGAGTGTACATTTTTTTAAAGTTTTGTGACCAATGGTTCATTCATCTAGATTTGTACTATATACACTTAATAAATTATATAAATTCTTAATTTATGTCGCTGTGTGTATTCACCTCATGGAGAGTTTTGGATATAGTGAGATTTTCAAATATGATTTGTTACCGAGACTTTTTTCCAGTTTCTTCTGGAAGAAATGTAAAAAAAGACCCTTTGTTCCAGTTTTTTTCCACATGTTCGGAAGAAACAGATTTGTTTCAGGACAATTGGAAGAAGAAACTCCACCCTGATGCTGATGCGTAATTAAGTCATTTGATTGCGGTGTGTTGGAACACAGAAATACCTAAAAGTTACTGGATACCTGCATTTGAAGAGTTAAGTTCGATACCCATAAGGTAAATATACCTTTCTCAAGCATCTAAGAGTATTATGACATCACCCGACCGCACTGGAACATATTAAATAGTTTTGTTGCTGGTCTAAATGGATTTTACTTACTTCTGTATCTGTACCAAAACTCCATCTGTGTAAGAAAGGCAGAAAAGCATAATGAATATAATTAAATCATTCTAAATACATGTAGTTAAATATTTAAGGGTAGAGCATCATTACAGAGGTTTACACGAACAAAAAGTCTATTAAGGTTTAAACTTCTTTAAAGTTGGCTTGTCACGCATTATGCCTATACCTAAACCCATAAATCATGTTTTTCATTTTTATGTCTTTGTTTGGCTGATTTCTTGAAAGAGAAATGATATTCTTGAAATAACATGGACAAAACTTTAGGCAACTGTTCACGACAAAATGGAATTACTCATTCATTTTGTGACATTTCAAACCATTTGCCATGTATAATTGAAACTTTAATAATAATAAAGTAGGGAAAGGATTTAGTACACGTAGCCTAAAGTTAGCACCGTTAGCCTACCTTTAGCACAACTTTTAAATGATAATAATTCTGTTGATGTAAACTGATTGGAGGAATCTCAGTCCAATGGTTTTTCTCTTAAAAACACACCTGCATATTTTCATTATCTGAGTGGTGACAGGCACAGTAATCTGTTCAATTCTTGAACTCCAGTCGGCCTTGGCAGATGGCCGCTCACACTGAGCCTGGTTCTGCTGTTAAAAGGGAGTTTTTCCTCTCCACTGTCACTACAAGCATGCTTACTGTGAGGGATTGCATTTGAGTCAATGAGTCGATGCAATCAACTGGTTTTAGATAGAAAACTTTGAATAAATTTGACTGGATGATCTGGTGAACTGTAAAGTGCCTTGAGATGACATGTGTTGTGAATTGGCGCTATAGAAATAAACTGAATTGAATTGAGGAGAGTTTTCTGCATCTCATTCAACAAATAAAATACTCTTTATTTACCTGACAGGTGCTGTCCATTTTAATACAGCCAAATGTACAGAGTTAGAGCTTTATCAAGACTGATAAAGTTTCTGAAAAAGGACTCACCTGAACAGGTAACTGACCAGGTAAACTGCACGCTCAAGCTAGAGGAAGAAGGGTAAGAGCAGTAAGGGAAAATGGGGTTAGAATAGGGGCGAGAGGTTTAAGGATGGGTGAAACACGTTTCTTATATCCACCGTGGTGTAGATGAGAATATATAGCCAGATAGACACCAGCGTGTGCATGGTCAGGGGACCCAGGAGGGGAGAGGGATCTGCCTGAAGCCTACAAGACAGAGGTGTGTCATGTAGTGATATCACTACACAACTGAAAATCACAGTAAACCACGCAAGAGTCTGCCTCGTGTAAACATGGCCGTTTAAACATGACACCAATAGCAAAGCAGACAGTGGTACTTTTAATTACTATGTTAATAACTGTGCATAGTTCATTAGACGGTTGGTAAAAAATACACTCATATAATATGTTTCAAACTGCAATAAAGATCTTAAAAGAACAATGTATTTGAGTATTTTATTTTTTACACTACGACTTGGAATTATAGGTAATCCAGAGCATAGATTAAACCATAACTGTTACGTACAATGTGTTAGCGACGATGGATACCAAAAAGAGGTACCTAAGCGGAAAAAACAACCAGAAAAGAAAAAGCAAAGAAGAGCTGCTGGAAGAACGGAAAAAAACTTCCCAAAATAAACACGTTCTTTCAAAGAACCGAAGAGGGAGAGGTGGACGATGCTGCTACAGTGAGTAAAGATTGCAACCAGGAGATGAATGGAGAGAGCGTGGGTGAGGAGGGGGGCTGTGAAGCTCCAGGTAGCCCGATGTCTTGTTGTGCTAAAATCAGACATCCAGAGTCTCCAGGAAGTTCCGGGAGTCTCCCTGTTATAGATAGTTGTTCACGGATGCTTGTGAGTTGGATAAATTGTCCTGGATTTCAGACTATGCGAGGTGGGGTTAATGTGAGTGAGAGCGTGCAGGCAGTACAATAATGCGTGCATCATGTGCGAATTAGAACTACTGCGATTGCGCAGACACAACAAGAGAGTGCACGGTGTGTGTGTATGTGGGGCAAGTTTCGGATTGGCTGTCTACGGTGCGAGGGGAGTGGGGGATGGCGGTATTGGGGAATCGATAAGCATCTCCCTGAAATGAGTTTTTGGAACTTGGGATTTCTGTAACACGTGGTGGTGCGCTGCCACCAATGGTTCCATTCAAGGTCCGCAGTCACTATTTTTCCGTGTGTGATGTGTGACCATATACTACTGAGAATTGCATAATTGTATCATCTTGGCCGATTTATGGAACTGTCGCCGTATCCTGAACCTTTATCAGCTGTTGTACTTCATATGGGGCCCAGCCAGATAATATTGCTATTGTTGTGTCATTACGCCATTGAAGTGGACATTTGGTGAATGTTCTAGTAGGAAAACAACGAAATACACACATGAGAAGCATGGAGGAGTTGACCTGTTAACTCTCCATTAGCCATTAGTGGATCCAAAAGGTTTTAGCGTCGGCTGATGGTCCTACTGGTTTTAGTGGGTTAGTTCCATTTTCTTAGGGTATTCTCTTCCTTTTCTGTTTTTTTTTTATTGTGTTTCCTGTCATTTCTTTAGTTTTATAATATATAAGGCTAACCTTTTCTGGTGCCTGAACCAAACAAAGCCTCTCCAGACATTAATTCTGCATCACAGGGTAGTAAAATGTTATTATTATATCCCCCTTAAGTAGAACAAATATCCCCACTGATACTGCAAGGTACCCAGACCCAACCTGGTGTTTCTCTGACTTGCTAGGAGAAGGAACCTAAAATGACTGAACTTAGTTAAATAATAAAAGAGACTGCTTAAAATGCCCCCTCCCTTGATGTGGCCCTCGCGGTGTGTCATACTGTGGTTTCGTGGGTCTGGAAGATCTCAGCTGCCTCTTCTTGGGAGCAGCGCTCTTCGTAGCATTCCCTCTCCAGGTTTCCTGGTAGCATCTCTTCCAGGGCGACGGAGTTGGCACGACGCCTCCTATTGGAGGACTGGAGCACTTGCAGGGCAGAAGGCTGGTCGAGGAAGACTGAGGGAAGATTTAAAATTTTACTCTGACATGCCTTGTGCTCTAACTGCTGCTGTGTTTTATTACCAAGCAGTGATGGGGGTCATCATTATTTAACAATCTGAAGATCATTTTAAAGTCCTCATGGTGTTAGAAGGAGGTAATGATCTGAAAATGCGCTGCAATTACTATTATTTAACTTTTAAATGTGATTGTGGTAAACAGCAAGGCCCTCATTCACAAAATCCTGAGATTTTTCCTAGAACTTTATTTTCAAAACAACTATGGCCTTCAGAGAACGTCTAAGGCGCACAGATTTTAAGAGTGAAGGATTTTTAATGAGCATAAGAGGGTTTTAAAGAGGTATCCTTCTTACAATGGTCTACACCGAATTAGTAATGCTTTACCTGATCTATCATAAAGAAATCATTCTCATTCAGTGACAGGGCCAACTCTCTAAAGCTACATAGGAGAGTTTTTGAGAAGAGCAGCCTACACAAAGCATCGATACGCACCAAGTGCTTTTAATTGATCTGAAAATGTATTTAATATATCTCAAATTAAGCTGATACTTGGGTCAAAAATTACATTCTATTGCTTTAATTTTGTAAGTTTACCACTTTATTTGCTTAATGTTAGCATTTTAATCTCATAGGGATTAATTTTAGACTTAGACAAATTTATTGTCATTTTATGGAGCCCCTAAAGGGACATGGAGGGGGAAAAAAGAACTTTTGCGAGATCCTGCAATACTTTTGCGGGATCCCCCAATAGTTTTGCAAATCTTGCAAAAGTATTGCAGGATCTCGCAAAAGTTAATTTTTTCCCTCTATGTCCCTTTAGGGGTTCCGTAGGATTGCATACTGACTTTTTCTCTCTTCATTGGTGTAATGTCATGTTTTGGGACTTCACTAGGAATTAAGAACCTCTCCAAATCATCCTCCATGGTTGTAGCTGACACATGGGCGTATTATCCTCCCATAGCAGTACACTTTGCACCTCCACTGTTGTGTGTCTGTTTTATTTCCGGTTCGCTGACATGTCAAAACATTTTGCGAGATCTCGCAAAAGTATTGTGGGATCTCGCAAAAGTTTATTTTTTCCTCCATGTCCCTTTAGGGCCTCCGTATAATTTTGTATACACAGAGTGTACACAAAACTTAGTTTATAAAGCTTTCAGACAGTGAATGAGCAGCAGCTTAGCAGTGAAAAGGAACATTTCCATTTCATAAAGTGCAGCAGTAAAAAAAATGTAAACAGTGTGGGAGAAAAACATGGTGCAAAAGGCATTGATGTGGAAGTTTAAAGCAGTGTAAAAACAAGAAAATATATTTGGTGCAAAAATGCAAATATTTTGGGACTTTATTCACATGATATTATGACTATTTTAATAATTTAATAAATAAAAAAATATATCTTTATTATGGCTGTAGTAACACCCGACAAATTAACTAGTAAAAGGACCAGTACAGCAATTAAACATTACTCTACTCAAATGAATTGGAACAATTTAGGAAGGTACATTCAAACATATTGATGCAGTGCAACTATGATAGATTGTGAATTATTGGTTTATTAGAATAAAATTTGTTCCAACTGATTAATTGAAAAGGGTAGAGGAAACTGCTCTTCATTGACCGGTATTTTCAAGAGAAGTAATGACAGAACAGAAACATGGATCAATCCAGGTTCCAATCTGGGATTATTTACTGTTTAATGGATCTAGAATGAACTTTAAGTGATTCTGTTTGTAAAAATAAAAACTGGATAAACTCCATAACTTAACACCTAAATAGTGCCTGTTTAGCCATGCTGCATAGCGGAGCAGCAAGGTTTTAGAAAGCGAGGATGCATCATTCGATATATAAAAAAAAAAAAAACGAAGGACATCGTGCAAAGCTTTATAACATGATAGAAAAATACACACAAGCAATTAGCATAGTAAATGGGGAAGGCTTTGGCTCGCCAAAGCAGTTAATGGAGTCACGTATCAGCTTTCCTCTTTAAGTCTCTTCTAGCATTGAATGCTGGATTACAATAAAAACTGAGATTGAATTAAAGTGGCAAATAGTCAGACAGTATGTCAGAGCGACATACCCTCTCCTTTAATGATAGTTTTACATCTCTGTTCATTGGAAATCATTAGTGTCAACCTATTGTTGTTCATGTGTTTTATTTAGTAACCTAACAGGTCCCTGTTATGTTATATTTAATAAATAAGTTCAATAATGTGTAAAAAAAAAACATTTCATTTTGTTTATTCAGTCAATATTTAATACAGCTGGCACAAAAATTGTTGAAATACAATGTACCAACAGCATATTTAAAACAAATATTTTGCACTTTATGTTATGGAAAGATACTGAGAAAATGGCTGCTTATTAATGAGTTGTTAGTTGATTGATAAGATCAAACAACTTTTGATTAATTCATTAATGGATAACTTGCATCCCTAAGTGCAACAATAATTGAAGGTCTACCCATCATGAGAGAAATGCCTTTATCCATTCTAAATTCTCTGATCGGTTTATCTCCGTCTATGGAGAAGCGCATTTGTTTGGTTGTTCCACAGAAAGAAAATTAAAAACAGTCCACTGGACTTTGTTTCTAAGTTTGAAGACATTTTGCTTACCATCCAGGAAGCTTTTTCAATTCAAAATATCAGGAATAGCGTTTAGTTCGAGGTTTTATACAACAGCCCGATAAAACCTTGTTTTTGTTTTGAAAAAAATGCTAATTGAAACAGACGAAGGGGTCCACCCCTTTGGACTGGGGGTCGTTTGGCTTCTTTTGATAGCCTGCAATGCCCTATACCTGTCTAAGAGTCTGAAAGGGGAAACAATAAAGGGGATTTTTGGCCTTGCTGAATGGGTGGGTGATGGGTTGTTGTTTTTGGGAGGTTTGTTCAACCAATCACAGCTCGAACAGACCCTGTTAGCTTAGCTGACCCCTAACAACAGGGTCAACCAGGCTTAATCCAAACATTTCTATCTCTTCCTCCCTCAGAGTGGCTCTCGGCAACTGGCTGAATCGCTGAGCATTAAAACTCTTTGACAAAGAAAGACTAACTAGGAGCTTTCTGAGAGACTCTGAGGATCTTAGTGAAAACGGACACATTTCATGCAGGTTAAAGTCTCACCTGAACACTGGGTCATCAAGAAGCAGCTCAGCAGGAAGCCAGGAGTCCACAGCAGGGACAACATGTCTGTCTCATCAGCGTCTGTCTGCAGGTAAAATGAAGGTCCAGCTGATCGATCGACTTTTAACCACAGTTCAAACATTTACTCATCAGAACAGGGAACAAATAGGGATAAAAGTCCAACCTGAATACTGACAACGCACTCGTTTTTCATCGCTCACCTTTAAAGATGGGAGGTCAGAGGTCACCTTCTGAGGGATCAAACCTTTAGCTCAGGTGAGTAATCATCATTAAGTGGGAGCAGCAGCTTATAGGTTGTTTATTGTTGTAAAAACACCCATTGTCCTGCGAAACAAGCTGCAGGGATTACTGAGCCCATTGGGATTTCAACAGGAGGGAGTTTCATCTCTAATGTCATCAACAAAAACCCTGCTGTTTACATGAGACCTGGAGTTTTCAATTTATCTGAAGGAAACAGTTCAGGACAAGTGAAAAAACCCCCACAAAATTAAAATTTCACTGTTAATTAATTCTAGAAGCCACATTTCATTGAACTACATTTTTTATCTGACCGAAGGTTAATCAGAAAACATCCACTTGTTACCGGTTCTGTGCTTTGAACTCCGTTTCATTCCATTCTTTCAGGTAACCTGCATTTACTGCAGCTTTTCTTCTAGCTGAGATCTGGCTCTAGAAGGTGCTCACAAATCTCCACGAGAATATTTGATCTTTACAAAATCTCTAAGACACCGAGGAGCGTTATCACAAATCCTTCCTCCCAACAGCTGTAAGAATCTGTAACCATCACTGTTCTAAACAACCTGATCACTCAGGACAAACTCTTTAAACAACACTTCATAACTTATATGTATTAAATAACCAGGAGACATGACAACAGATTCTGATAGTGATTGTAATCTTACTCAGATCATAGAAATGACTTAGGGTTACAGAATAACAGCTGCTCACCTCTCAGAAAGTGGCTCCGATTAACAGTCAAAAAGGGCATTTTATGTATCTCCATTCTGCCAAATATTTTACATCATACCTGTTAGCAGGTGAGTAGACATCATGGCTCCAGCCTTATTAAAACATAAAAATTTGTTCTTAGCTGAATGACACCGGGTACAGAATGGAGATTATAACTGTATATCAGGACAGAGGAACCATCTTAACCAGATAAACTCACACATCATTAGTGATAATTACCCTAACAGGTTTCTACCTTAATCAGTTAAATAACCTGCTGCTGTCATGTTCCACATCTCTGATGTTGCTGCTATTTTTCAAATATCCATTACTGTAAAAATGTCCGTTGTTGCATATTGGTTATTTAGTCTCCAGGTGCAAAGTTTTTATATTGTTAAAACATTTTACAGTACAGTATTTCATTTGTTTATTTTTTAACTCCTCACTATTTTTCTTATACTCTTTTTTTAAAGGTCCACATTTGTTGGTGAAGATTCTCAGTCATCCAGGTCATAGTCATTCCAAAAAAGTAAAAAATAAATAAATAAATAAAAATCCACTGGACTTTGTGTCCAAGTTTGAAGACGTTTCATTTCCCATCCAGGAAGCTTTTTCAATTCAAAATGTCAGAAATAGCGTTGAGTTCCAGGCTTTATAGAGTGGATCAAAAACAAAGCCTTTTTAGGCTTAGAAAACATAAATTGAACCCGACAAGCAGGTCCGCCCCTTAGAATGGGCAGTTGTATGGCTTCTTTGTTTTTAGGGGGATCATTGGCCTGGCTGAACAAACCAACCTTAAACAGAGGGGGGAGGCTTAGGTTTCAGATGTCAAAAACCTACAATGCAGCAATAGGTTTGATTCCTTCCCACTAGTCAGGCCACGTTTCCCTCTAATGACCCCCCTTTCAGAGCCATAGACCAGTATCGGTCTATGGCTCAGTAAGGGACAACAGTAAGCTTCAGTAGGAAGCCAAACGACTGCCCATTCCTAAGGGGCAGACCTATTCGTCCGGTTCAATTTGCATGCTTTCTAAGCCAAAACCAGGTTTTGTTTTTGCTCCACTCTATAAAGCCTGGAACTCAACACTATTCCTGATATTTCAAATTGAAAAACTTCCTGGATGGGAAGCGAAACGTCTTTAAATTTGGAAACTAAGTCGACTGGAGCGTTTTGTAAGTTTTTTGGAAGGTCCACATTTGTGTGACCGTTTATTTTAATCTTTTTGCTGCTGTAACATCAGAAAATCCCCATTGTGGAACAATAAAGGGATTTCTATTCTATTCTTTCTTTTTGGGGTGCTTAAACATCATTTACCAGAATAATTTACTCTCACCTACATCATCCTTCATAACCAGATTAGGTGTTGTGTTGTACTAATTGAGAAACTCCTTATAAAGTATATGCATTTTTCTTTTGGCAAATAGACCTTAGAGGTTAAGAGAAAAAATAAGATAAAATGTTTGAACCATCCTTTCATTAATTTATCTACTGTAAAAACATTCAGTACAGCATCAGTCTGCTTTTTACATCATTTCCAACTTAAGAAGCATCACTTCTCTAAACAGAAGAACCATTGGAACCTCTCAGGAGCAAATCTAAAATGTCAGTGAAATATGAACTGGAATTTTATCAGACATTTACATCCTTATGAGAATCTTTCAGGTGTCTTACATGAGGTTGGATTAACTTTCACTCAGGTTTAATTTCTAACTCCTGTTTAAACCAGTCTGAACCAGATCAGAAACAGGTTTGTTTCATTTATCATGGATCAGCTCGCTGCAGTGTTTCCTTTAGCAAACAGATGTGGTTTTCAGTAAAGAGTTTAGTTTTTAGTGTTGATCCAGGATCCCAGTCAAACAGACTGGTTGGTCAGTCGTGTTTGATTGGACCGGTAAAAACTTTTAGGTCCATTCACTTCCAGTGCAACTGAATGGCTGTTTGCAATTTAAACCCTTAAGTTTTTCACAGAGAAGCCAAAAGAAAATATTTCAGGGGAAACACAAAGTTTATTTTCCACAGGTTTCAGTTGTTCTCTGTATTTACAATGACAGCCCTGCAGGGGGCACCCCTGTGACCAGAACAGGGTCAGCATTCAGTCATAAATTACTAAATAAATAGATGCATCATCAGACTAGTACAGAAACATGTCCAACATGCCCTCGAGCAAGGCACTGAGGAGGATCTGGATGTTTCAGGGTCTGGATCCAGAGGTAAAAAAAATAAAAAATAAAATTAGGATCCAGAACTTTACAAGTTAGGACTCTGAAATATCTCAGTTATGGCATTTCCCTAAGATGTGTCCGAACTAAGACATTTCAGTGCGTAAACGCAGAATCAGAAAGATGGGGAACTAAACACAAACATCTGGATTAATAACTTGAAAAAACCTAAACAACAAAACTTGAAAACATCTGGGTCCAGACCAGGAAATTCAGGACTAAGAAACATCTGTAGCAGGAAACTCTGGGTCGATTTTATGAATTGTTTGATCTTCAGGAACCAGATAACAAATGTCGAGACCAAAGATGTTAAACGTCGAATATCAGCATCCAGAATCTGAAACATCTGGAAGCCTGTGTATCATCTGGGCTTGGGTCAATGTGTAAAAAAACCCATCTGGAATCTGAAACATCTGGAGGCAGATTCTAGCCTCTGAAATACTTTGAATAGGACTCAAACATCAGGGAAGAGGTGCAAACATCTGGATCAATAATGTGGAGGTTTTGGCCCAGGTTCTACAACACCCTAATCAAAGATTTGAAGCTAACAGAACCAGATCAGGATCAGGGTGTGGAACTAGAATTTTGGAAGATAGGAGAATGGACTCAGAAACGTTTAAATCCACACTAAGAAATGTTTTAAGCTCTAGAAATGACACAAAACACAATGTTTAAGAATCTGAAACATCTGCAGCAGGACTCTTAAAACATCTGGATCCCGGCTCAGAAGAATCTGGATCTATACCTGCATGTATCAGGGTCAGGTCCCAGAACCTGAAGGCTCAGGTGTGTCTAGGTCGACTATAAAACAGCTGGATGTTGCTTCGGAAACATCAGGAACCAGACTTGAACACCTGGATCAGGAATCTGAAATATATGTGAAGCAGGATACTAGACCTCGAGTCCAGAGTTTGGAGACATTTGGTACCTTACGTAGCTAGAAAAAGTTTGAAAAAAAAAGTCAAATATTTAAAATGCCGGGCTCCTGGTTAGAACTCAAACATTTGGAGCCATAATACAAACATTTGGAAACAACTGAATTTAAAAGTCCAATCCCAAACACTGTAGAACACAAACGATCTATAGAAAACAGAAGCTAAAGGCTGACAGCAGAAAACATGGCGACACTCAGGAGGCGATCAGGAGCCGCTGACCCGATCACGACCCCTCTCTGGGTGTTTAAGGCATCAACTGACTGATGAGAAACGTTCAGTCTGTGGTTGATCTTCATCTGCTGGTGCATTAGAGGACTGTGGGACGTCAGAGTCTCCATCTGACAGCTGATCCATAAATCTGGAACTTCAACAAGGGTTTGATCAGAGCTAGAAGCAGAACTCTGGAGCTGCAGCAGAACATGAACCCAGACGGTGGTTCTGGTTCCTGATATTAGGCGGAGTCCAGATACTTGAATCTGATGGATCGCTTCAGTATTCAAATTTTCTTTCCATCTTTTAAGTTTGGACCAAAAAACGTGAATAAGACTAAAAGTTTTCTGACAATTTATAATCAGAACCACCATGCAAACGTTAATAAGAGGAGCTCATTTGGGCTTAGACGACTCAGAAACAACTAACTGTCGGGTTGGATCACCTGGACTGGATCAGAGGGTTGTCGGGTCGGGTCTCATTCTGTCTCTCTTGGGAGTCTTTTGTTCTGATTAAGGGGTTTGGGGCCTTTAAAGGTTTGGTTTTTCGTCTCCGAGCTCTTGTTTAAAGGGTTCTGCTGGATCCTGGTCCAAAAGATGAAACGGAAGGAGGTTCTAAAGAATCAGCTGGGTTACGATGTTCCGTAGAGGGTAAACCAGAGCGGGATCCGAGTGATAATGGAGCATCACCGTGGTTTGGTTCCAGCTCACTCCAGTCCAGAATTTGGCTCATAGAGCTGCAGCTGGCCTGGCCCAGCTAGAACCCGGTCAGGGTTCTGGTTCAGTCTGTGAAAAATCTCCACCATCTAAAAGTCGTTCATAAGAAAATATAAACAGAGTTCAGACCCAGTCTGTGGTTCTGTTTGGTCTCCAAACACACTTTCAGGAGTTTTATTTACTTCAGATAGTAAACCTGTGAGCAGCTCGTTCAGAAATCCATCAGAACCTGAACGCAACACAAGGAGTTCATGTTCTTCAGGATTACTTAAGGATTCAACCAAGGAATTACAGCCCAGCAAAGCGGATCAGAACCGGATCAGTTGACAGTCTTTAGCACTCAGAAGAAAAAACAGCTTCTGACTGTTCAGAAACTGATTCTAAGGAGATGGTCAGAGATGGAACAGATTGATCTGATTAGAATAGATTAGATGGTTCTGATCTGGAGATTTTTCACTGAGAACCGGGCCGGCTGCAGGCTCTGAGTTGGGCCGGTTGGTTCTGGTTGGAATGTAAAGGCACTAGTGGATCATTTGATTGGTCCTTTTCTTTCGGGGAGAACCGGCTGGTTCCTGTGAAATGCTGGTTTCCATTTTGCTGAGCACCGGTTCTAGACCTGGGGTTTTGGGCCTGGTTTCTGGGCGGTGGAGAAAGGCAGCAGAGGTAGAAGGACAGCAGGCAGCAGTTCCTACGCAAGACGAAAAAAACAAAACGCTTAGAGTAGGACCAGGACCTGACTGGGTCTAACCGGATCATCAGAACCAACCTGGAGGTAGTTAGGCCTCGCTGGCGCTGCTGTTCCTCGTAAGCTCCTTGATGGCCTGTAGGATCCTCTTCATGTGGCCGACCTTCGTCACTCCAAGGTCCTACAGAGGATGTGGACAGTCGGTGAGACAGAAGCTACGTTCAGTCTGCAGATCATCCCATGTCTGATATCAAGACATCCGCCCGACATCATGACATCTGCATACATCCAGACATCCGTCCGATATCAAAGCATCCGTCCGACATCCAGACATCCGTCCGACATCAAGACATCAGTCCGAAATCAAGACATCAGTCCGACATCAAGACATCCGCTCGACATCAAGACATCCGCTCGACATCCAGACATCCGTCCGATATCAAAGCATCCGTCCGACATCCGGACATCCGTCCGACATATCCGGACATCCGTCCGACATCAAGACATCCGTCCGACATCAAGACATCCGTCTGATATCAAAGCATGCTTCCGACATCCGGACATCAGCCCAACATCAAGACATCCGTCCGACATCCAAACATCCATCCGATATCAAAGCATCCATCCGACATCCGGACATCCGTCCGACATCAAGACATCAGTCCGAAATCAAGACATCAGTCCGACATCAAGACATCCACTCGACATCAAGACATCCGTCCGACATCCAGACATCCGTCCGATATCAAAGCATCCGTCCGACATCCGTCCGACATCAAGACATCCGTCTGATATCAAAGCATGCTTCCGATATCCAGACATTTGGCCGACATCCATCCAACATCACCCAAACACCTCGTTGTCCCTACCTTCAGGTCCCTCCTCTCCAGGTGGATCAGCTCAGCTCCACGGACATCATGACCAGTAAAAATGTCCTTATACTCAGAAAGACAGAGGAAGTCCAACCAAGCCCCCACTTCCTCGGTCCCCCACTGGTGAACTGAGACACCCACAGAAAGTGGTTCAGACAGAAAGAGAAGCCCCAAACAGTGAGAGAGAAGGAGAGACACCTTTAAGCTGCGATTCTGTGATACAGAAAATGTGTGGACGCAGTTCCAAGACAGAATAAAGCAGCAGAAGAGGTCAAGAGCTCACCTGGCAGGGACAGGGTGGCGCACATCTCTTTGTTCTTGTTGTTTTTGTCCTTCTTGAACTTTGAGACGAGACGAAATTTTCCACTTTGACTCCGTTTGGAGAAATCCACCAGAAGACCCTGAACAGAGAAAGAACCAAAGTCTGACTCAGCCTAACGGAAACAGAACCCCTTCTGCTCTATTGTTATGTCCTTTCTAAAGACGGAATCAAGGCCCCAGAGGAGGGAGGAGGTCCTACCTCCGGGTCCGATGGGTCGATGACGGGACACAACCAGGGGACATCAGATAGCCGACGGAGCTCCTGAGCCACAGAACCCAGAGCTGCATTTAGCTGGTCCTGCTGAGGAGGGTCCAACTGCTGCACACACACAGACAGAACCACTGTCATCTCTTAGAGTAGAGGGGAACCAGACACCTACAGCCAAACACCAGAACAGCACCAAAATAATTACCATGGACATCTTTCCAGCCAGGAGCAATTCGGTCTCGCTGAGCAAAGCCTTGACGTCGCTGACCATATTAACCACAGAGCTGCAGCTGAGAGCCTGAAAACCAACATAAGCTTCTGATTAATCAGTCAGAACGTCACCAGATCCGTTCTACTATTGTGTGACACGATGAGTGCTCCAAACGAGGAAGCAGGAAACCATAGAGGGACATACCTCGGAGCTCTTAGCGTAGACCACATCCATGGCTTTGGAGCTGGCGTTAACAGCGTGAGCCAGTTCCTGTTCCATGCTGTGATGGAACTGGGCCACCTCCCGGATACTGGGAACCAGAGACAGCATGAGAGTCCGTACAGAAGCAGGAAGTAATGGATCACCAGCAGAAGAAGTATGTACCTGTGGATGAGGGCTCCAGCTGCCCGGCCAAACTCACTGACCAGCAAGGCCTCCTCCTCAGAGACGTTCTCTGGCTGGGGGGGCAGGGAGGGCTGGGGCTGAGGGAACTCACATTTCTGTTTGTCCTCCCAGGACTTCAGGGTGTTCTCAAAGGCCTGTAAGTGATAGACTGTTAACCACTGCTCAGCCTGGATCGGAACAGAAGCCAGCAGAGGGACTGACCCGGTCTCTGGTCAAGGTCTGGGTCCGGTTCTTGTGTATGATCTGAATGTATCCGGGAGGTTGAATCCAGGCCTCCCCGTCCACCTGGACTGGAACACCTTCGTCCCCAAGGATGGTGATCTTCACTGTTCGACACTGAGGAAGGAAGAAACAGTTAGAGACAAGGGACAGGAAGATGGAGGGACATGAAGACAAGGCGAGAGGCCGAGAGGGCAAAACAATGCATGGATAAGAACCAGGGGAAAGGCAGAGAGGTGGGAAGACCAAGTAGGACAGGTAGACAGATATTTTGGGTAGCAGACAGAAAGTGGAACAGACAGGGAGACGGGTACCTGGGCAATGCGGTGGTGCTGCAGGTTGATGACTCTTGATACGGCCATCTGCATGCTGCCGAACACGGCAACCACCTCCAGGATCTTATCATCGAATGATGGCGCAGTGAAGGTCTGAGAGACAGACACAGCGAAATCACTGCTCAGAGGACTTTCACTACACTTTTCAGCCTCTCTAAGAAGGTCCATACTAGTGTGCTAGAGAAGAGAATGTAGCTGATTGTAAAACATATGCGCCAGGAAGAGCAGTGCTGTGTCACTCCACCATCTACCCACTTGCGGGCCCATGAGAGTTTGCCAAACCGGTTCCCGAGTGATTTGTGGCCTGAGGGTCCATCTGTATACCTCATATTCTAGCTCCTACATCCTTTTCCTCGCTTCTATTATTTCCCCTTTCGCAGGGCCAACAGTTAGAACATTATCCAGGGTAGGAAAGGAGCTCCAGACTGCCGTGCTCAATCCAGACTTCGTCCTTACAGACGTCATTATTTAACAGACAAACAAATGAATGGTTACACTGGAATTCATGTCAAGAAGTAATGTATTGTTGTCAAACTCTGTGTGGTGGGCTGTGTCTCTATGTCATATCATGCAAAGGATTGTGGGTAATCGTATGGATCTTAGCGGGCAACAAGAATTCCAGGAGGTCTCACCTCTGCTTTGGCCAAAGAGTCTTTACCAATTTGCACTATTCGGAAAGAGCCCTGGAGAAGGAATTTAGATGTGTTCCTCATGCTGCATCAGACACTGCTGACCTATAGTATACTAGTATAAGTAGTCGAGATAGAAGTTCGGGTTTAATTTAATGCCTCAGTTGCCCTGCAGTGACATGTTAAAGACCGTCCAATAATTTTAGGTGATATCTGAAACCTGCAGGAATGTGGACCCTGAGGATGGGAGCTCCTGCTGTACAGGTACCGATAAAAGACGCCATTTGACCTGCAGAAGCAGGAGAACCCAGTGAATCATCATAGACGTCAGCAACATGAATCTACAACATGGCCTGATTCAGCAGCGTTTCTGCGAGTGGCCAGAAAATTCCAACTCCGGTGACCTCATCTAGTCCAGAAAAACAGCCATTCACCTTACTGACCAATCAGAGCAGAAAGGGACAGAGAAACACAGGGATGACTTCTTACATCGTCCTCCTTGGTTCCGCCCCAGAAGTTGGTTCCTCCTGCGTAACTTGGGATGTTGAGCACGGCGATTCCTTGCAGACTGGGGAGGGGGATGGACCGCCCGTCACACTGCAGCAAACACAGAGAACACACTGAGTGACACCCGCATCTTATCAAAGCCTCAGTGTTTTACCGTGGTTCTGCTCCTTACTTCCAGCAGGACTCTCTGTTCCAGGTTCTTGTAGGTTCTGTGCAGCAGCTCTTTGGTTCCCAACACACCGTACCACATCAGGTTCTTGGTACGGCTCCTGAGCAGACAGAATCAGGCATATGGAAGTTTCTGACTCAGCTCTGCGGGTCAGGATGTAACAGAGATAAAGAAGCTAAAAATTATTTGTTTAAACAAATTCAGGAAATTCTGACCCATAGCATTACAGAACCAACACCGTGTCAAAAAAGCTGGATACTATTCTTGACTTAAAATATTTATAAAAACCAGATGCTGGTTATTAATCAAACTATAACTACATATTTTTTTATTACCAACAGACAGCACAGAGAACTTCCTGTTTATATGTTTAGACACTTTTTGTAGCCAACAACTGTTTGGGATCATATTGGGGCTGAGAGCCTTAAACCTGTCAGTGCTGGAGGCAAAGATCCACAGGAACCAAACTGGGTTCTGCAGTTTTCTCTTCAATGTCAATGCGATGGTGTTTCAAACCTTTGAGTTTAAGAACTTTTTCCTGCCTGATTGAGTGAAAGTCAGAGTCAAGATGCCTAGAAAGAGAATTTACATTCCAGAAACCAAGACCAAGATCAAATCTGACAGCAAGGTATGCACCAAGGGAGGGAAAATAGGGAGAAATGAAGGCTGGATCTGGGCCTTAAAAAGCTTAAATCCAAAAACTTTCAATGAACTTCCACTATTTAGGTAATGGAATCTGACTTATTTGTAAATTCAACAACTAAAGAGCAGGTTATACTCCCTGCAGCAGTGTGTAGGATTGAGCTTGTAGCAGATGTTTTTGATTTATGCCCAATATTGAAGCGTGGTCTGCGCTATGTTATTCCACGCCACAAGAGGGACTAGCTGTGGGTCTAGATACGGCCGAGGCGGTGAGGAAGTGGGGGCAAGTTTGTGCAACAATGGAGGAACATGAGGGCGAAAAAGAGATCCAGGTGGAAAAAAGGTCCCAGCGTTCTTGCGCACCTCCCTCTTCTAGCTGGTCCAACTTCATGAGTCGTTTTCCACAATGGCGGTCATACAAACAAAACAAGCCGGTAAGGTACCAAACAGGAAATAATGTAGAGCGGATGTAAATTTGACCAATCAGAGGCTGTTTGCGGTCACCTACAACTTTGGAGAGGTGCGCCAGACTGTCTGCGGAAGGGGCGGGGGCACATTTGCGTTCACTGCAACACACACAGTCAACCTGGTTTCTAAGTAAAAATCAGCTTTAAGTCCAACTAACAGTTATGTTTTCGCACAAATCTGAAACGATGTGGTTTTTCCAAAACTTATTTGGACAAAACTTTAGTTTTTCTATGTTGTACCTGCATTTTTCTGGGTGCTCGTCTCTTTTGTTGTTAAAGTCCAGGGTGATCTTAGCATCCAGCCCGATGCCAAAGTAGTTGTTCATGACGCACTTCTCTGTGTAGCAGTCCCTGAAACACAAACACTGCTGTGTTACACGCCTGTTCAGCGTTAAAGGTAAGCGTGCGTACAGTCGGCGGATTTACATGTTGTCGGCGTCGCAGCTGAACGGGTCGGCGTTGACCAGCAGCCGACTGATGACCGAGCTGCTCGTCAGAGAGCCTGAAACACAAACAGCTCTGAAAGCTCACAGGAAGTCCAACCGGTGAAACACAGATGGAGAGGGCATCTTACCTGGATACAAGATCTTTGTATTAAGCATTGGCATGTTGTCTCTGCATCCTGTGTGGGCAGGAAGTGAAGCGGAGCTCCCCAGTGGCAGGATGGCTTTTTGGATCAGTTTTTCACACGGCGTCTTGCTGACTGTGAATGGAGAGAGGAACAGGTGAGCAGCCGTGTCCAGGCCGAGCCTCACCTGTCCAGAGGACCCGCCCCTCACCTCTGCGGCTGCTACGCAGCTTGGCACTAAAAGACGACTGCAGGGACGTCTTATCCTCGTCACACTCTTCCTCATCCTCTTCTTCCACCAGACCCACCTGCTGCTCAGCCGGACCCACGGAGAACATGTGCTGCGGCTGCTGGGTCTGAGCGTTCTGCTCGTCCACAGCTGTAACATAAAAACCCACTCAGTAACCCGAACTAGCAGGATGAACTGTCCTCCCCCAGCAGGTGACCCACCTTTCTCCGTGTGCTCGATAATTTGTCGGATCGCCTTCTTCAGGCTGTTGGCTCTCAACATCAGCTGCTCCCGAGGTTTGAAAATAGCGGCTGCTGTGGATGGAGGGGGTGTTGTACGCGGCGAACAGGTGGGGTGCGAAGGAGGGGCGGGATGAAGCGGAGGAGGCAGACCGGCCACCTCCAGCTCCTCCTGTTCCTCAGCGATGGTAGGCGGAGGAGCGGGAGGGAGCAGCGATGAGGCCTGAGACTCCTCGTTCAGAGTCTTCAGCAGTGAGTCGAGTTTCTCCTTCAGAATGCCGCACTGCAGCACGAAATGAGACATCATGATAGAAACCTCTACAAAGATAACCAGCAACCATGGCTCATCTGATTTCTACGACGGAGTATCAGGGCCAGGCTAGAGATTTTTTTTAAATTCTATTTCGAGAACAAAGTCATAAAATTACGAGAATAAAGTCATAATATAACCAGAAAAAAGTCACGAGCATAGTCATAAAATTCCAAGAAAAAAGTTGTAAAATTATGAGTATAAAGTTGTAAAACTACGAGAAAAAAAGTCACAACGAGAAAAGTCGTAAAATTACGATAATAAAGTCGTTTGAGAATATGAGAATAAAGTAATAATATTACTAGAATAAAGACGTAATATTATTAGAATAAAGTCCTAAAATTACGAGAAACAAGTTATATTTTATGACAACTCTTACAAGAAGCACTTTCTTCCTAAAATAAGGAATGATGAAACATCATGTGAAGTTATACTTTGGCTATGGTTTGACAAATAAAGAACTATTTTAGCACCAGCATCAAATTGGGCAGTAGATCAAAGTGGACTCAGGTTGCTGATTGGTGGAGCTGGTCGGCCGTCACATGTTGGTCGGAGCTCGAAGCTTTTTTTCTGAAATGGGTTGTTGTACGATGACTTTATTCTCATAATATTATGACTTTATTATCGTAATGTTACAACTTTATTCTCAAAATAAAAAAGATAAAAAAAATCTCTAGCTTGGCACTAATACTCTATTTCCGGTGCGGAAATAGAAGCTGCCTAAGATCAGCGAAGAAGAATCTACAGGAGTGTGTCAGAACAGCACCTTCTGCAGGGAAAGTGGCGCCTTTTATATACTTTCCTCGTCTTACTTTACGTCTTAAAAAATACACGCCTCGTTTCCTTCTAGGGCTGCAACTATCTTATTTTACAAATCGATTAATCTGTAGATTATTTTTTAGATGAATCGATTATTAATCGGATAGCCAAAATTTCCTTAAAGAGGACTTTTTACAAAAATAAACCGAGTGAAACCCAAACTTCTCCACTGGAGGAGTTCTGGATAGAGCATATCGGCAGACAAAAAATATTTTCCTATCTTATATGCAAAATATTTATATATATGTATATATATATTATTATTATTTATTTTGGTAGAATTACTGCTCTAAGTGGGTTGCTCTGTCAGCTAAAGGCATGTTTTAGAGTCTTTGAGCTCCTTTACCATTAATCTAATACTAAATTAGTTGATTATTATTTTAATCATCGATTATTATCTGATTAATCGTTTCAGCCTACCAGTTCCTACCAGTTCGGAATAGAATTTAAAGCACTCCAACTTAGATCTGTCGAACTTTTGAACCATTTTAAGTCTAAGTTCCTCATTCATTTATTTTAGTTCATTTGGAATCTGTTTCATATGATAAAACTAATGAACTGAAAGACGGGAGAACGAAATTGCACCAATTTTCTGTCCATAAAACTAAAAAATCTCCAATTCAATGTCTGAGTGGAGCTGAGGATATAAACCTTCTGCTGCGATGCTTTTTCCTCCTGCTTAAATAGTTAGTTTAGCAACGCAGTCAGAACCTGGGTAATAAAATAATTAAATAGTCTTATACGACATATATGACATAAGTGCCTCCAGTATCAGACACTGGATATGTGTGTTAATTACTTTTTAAACAAAAAGTGAAAATGTATCTCTGTGAAAAGAATATTCAGAAGATTTATATTAGACTTCATAGCTTTGATACTAGCCAGCCCTGGTTAATCAGCTTATTTATAACATGTAAAATTTTATGATTCTTCTTAAAAGAAATCAGAATCGAGATTTGATAGGAACTGAAATTGGAACAAGGAAAAGGAATCGGAAGCAGAATTGCTCCAGCTTAAACCCCAACCCTAGTGAAGGAACCATCTTATAAAAACTAAGAGCTTTACCTTCTTGGCCATGGCCTCAGACTCCTCTGAATTCTCCGTGTTCTTCTCATACGCTTTACCAACACGGGCCACAAAGTCCTTCACGGTCTCGCACAGAACTCTGGGTCCAAACACAAACTTAGTCGATTACACAACAGCATCAGAGCTCAATGCGGCTATGGGATGTACAACAGAGAGACGGTCGTACTTGGCTGAGGAGATGACGACTGAATGCTGGTCTGAGGTCAGGATCTTTGTGAGGTGAGCAGCGACCGAGTCCTCATAGGTTAGAATCTGCTGGACCTGCATCAGAGGAAGAAACATTCGTACCAGCCTGTTCACTCTGCCACTGTGGTAGAATGCAGTGGTCATAATTGTTAGTAGGAAAAGACATCACGGTACCTCAGAGTCATCACTGCAGTCCTCTGTGACAGTGGAGGCGGAGTGTTGCCGTGGAAACTTTGTCTCATAGACCATTATGCTCCATCTGAAGGGTCAGAAGGACACATGAGTTTTCCTGGTTTCGCCGGAACCAGAAAAGACGGCTGTCTGACGTCACACGCCTCACCTGTCCAGCATCTTGGTGCTAGCTCTCTCTAGTTTCTCCAGTATCTGAGGAAGCTGCGTGTCGTCGTCGCAGGCCGAGCCCCAGCCCAGAACCCGAGCCAGGTCGTTCCCGGTTCCGAGAGGAAGAACGCCCAGCTGACACTGAAACACGGAGACCCTGTTTTAGATTCTGTGATGCTCAGGAAACACGCCGGGCCTCGTTAGGCAGCTTCTCAGATAACCTTACATTTGGTACCTGTTTGTGAAGCGTCAGGGCATCGATCTCAGAAAGAACCCACCCGACGCTGCCGTCTCCTCCACAAACCAGGATCCGGAACGTGTCAAACTTCTGGAAAAGTCGCAGACTAACAAAAAAGCAGGTTTATGGTTTCAGCTCACATATTCTGTACGAAACATGCCGTCATTGTGTGCATCTCACCCCAGGTGAGGTCCTCCGTTCATCAGGTCAAACACCTGCGCCGGGTTCAGCAGCTGTTTGAAACGGCGCAGGAACTTCACGCCCTGATTGTCTCCACTTTTCGAGTTTACAAAAACCAGCAGAGGACTGGTGCAGGACGGAGGACAGGACGCCTTCCAGAACCCTGGTTACACACACAGGTAGAGGAGGAATGGTTTTTTTTTTTGCTTTTTGTTTTCGTATGCAGTGTCTATCTTTCACCACTGGAGGGCAGCAGGGCATTCCTCACCATCTGAATCGATGCTGTTGAGTGCCGTTGGAGGAATGACGGACACTTTACACTGACCCAGAGGACACTTGGACGACAACTGCTCCTTGCAGCCTGAGTGAACCTGAAGACAAAGCACAGCTGAGACATTCATGCTTGTAGCGACTGTGGAGAGGAAAACTCCCTTTTAACAGGAAGAAACTCTAGCAGAACTAGACTCAGAGTGAGCGGCCATCTGCTGAGGCCGACTGGGGTTCAAGGAGACAGAGATGCATAAGACAAAAGCAAAGATCAGGTGTCTGTTATCAGCACACCTGATCAGGTGCATGTTTTAGTCTGTGTCTCACCATGGCTTTACACCACAGACACCTCCAGTCCTGCAGCCGGAGGACGCTGCCGCACGTCTTATCACAGACGCTACACTTAGCTGAGACGGGAAGATTCCCCTCCAGCCACTGATGAGGCATGGACACCTGGAGAGGAGACAGGGTGAGGACAGGTGAGGCTGAAGCTAAATGTGACGGAGGTCTCAGGTGTAGGTCAGGTGTCTCACCCCGTTCTCATCCTCGATGATGTCCTTCCCGATAGAAGCCAGAGTTGTCCACTTACAGTTGTTGGTGGCTCGGACCGCGCAGCGCTTATGAGCCTTAAACTTACACACTGCAGCAGAAAACAGAAATCAGAGAGAGGCCATTCTGATCAGCTGTGGAGTATTGGTGTGTGGTAACGTTCGCCTACCTTCACAGGACAGGCCGTGGGATGTGACTCCTGACAGAGCCTCTCTACACACGTTGCAGTATGTGGGTCTGGCGTGGGAGCAGGCGTACCAGTTGTGCATCCCGCTGAAGTGATCCATGCTGTACTGCGTGGACTGGGAGACGGAGACACGGTGAGCTGAACAAACTAGGGCACAGCTGTTGTTTGCTGGTGGGTAAACAAGCCTGACCTCATAGTTCTGTCTGTTCTGGACGCTGCGCAGCGCTGCCATCCATTCCTCCATCTCCTTCCTGTTGTCAGCACACAGAATGAGGCGTCTGCAGGGGGTGATCACCTGGAGCACAGGTATGGGGTCAAAGGTCACTTAAGAGGAAGAAACCAACTGGTAAACGGTTGCTTTGGAGATGATGTCAGAGACGGAATATTCTGAGCTTGTTCACATTCTACATTCAGCTTACGTCTGTCCTCTTTATCTTAACAAAACCTCATACATAAACCCCAATAAGGCTTCATTAAGTCATCTTGCAAAATACTTTACTAGCACCTAGTTTGTTGATCACCTGAAGCACACGTGGGGATCAAAGATCATTTAAAAGTAAGAAAAACTGGAAAATGATTACCCCAGAAATGATGGTGACAGAAGAAATGCTCCGACTCTGGTCAGATTCTATATTCAGCTCTTTTTTTGTCCTCATTACCTCATTAAGACTTTAACAAGACATCATTTAGACCTCAATTAGACATTAATACATCAACAGGATCATTTAGAGCTCAAAAGCACAAAAGGACATTATTAAGACCCCAACAGGACAAAGTTTAGCCCTAAAGATGATCACCAAAACCTCAACGACACATCAAGACCTTAATGAGACTTCAACAGATATTATTAAAGGAATTGTACACCCAAAACATGATTAGCCTTCATTTTCTACTCACCCCCATGCTGAACAACACTCTGGAGTACTTTTTTGATATCTCAAATGCATCTGGAGATCTGGGAGGCTTCTTGCTGTCTGCTGACATTCAAATAATGGAGGTCTATGGCGCCCGAGGCAGAAAGGTCCATAAAAGTCCACAAAAAACGTGTCAATATTCCTCCATACTGCTCGTCCAATGTATTCCAAGTGTCCTGAGTGGGTAGCGTCCATAATTTACTCGAAACGAAGTCATTTAGAATGTTTTTAGAGCATAAACAGTAGTGTATAGGATTTCCTAAAAGCGCGCGCATTAGAGTTCACGACGCTACGGAAACCGCGGCAGACCAAACCAGATGAAAGTGCACATTCAGCGTCTGCTCTGCCGATAATGCAAGCGTAGAAGAAGAAATGTGCCGTTTGCCTGTGCAAAGAAAGAAACAACGAAAGAAAAATGTCTGAGGACTTCAGTGTTGAGGAAGAGCATGAGTTCTTTGCCGAGCTGAATGCGCACTTTCGTCTGGTTTGGTCTGCCGTGGTTTCCGTAGACTCGTGAACAGAAAATGAAGGCTAATCATGTTTTGGGTGTACTATTCCTTTAAGACCTTAATAAAACATTAATAAGCCAGCATTTAGACCTTAACATTAAACATCATCAAGACCTTAAATGAGGCACTATTTATACCTCAATAAAGCATCAAGTCAACCTTTAGAAACACTTTGCTAGGATCTAGTTAGGTGCTTGTCAGGAGCTAATTTGTCTCTTATTATGATCATGTTAAAGGAGAAGTCCGGTCATATTCAGAATTCAAACTTCTGAAAGTACTTTAAATATGAAATTATTACATACTGTTCAATAAAAATAAGTGTTTTTAATTAAGAGTAGTTTTCAATTGAATGTCCTTTACTGGAGGCATCCATGTTTGTCAAAGAACAATACTGCCATCTAAAGGTTTGTGATGTCACGGTATGGTATCGGCTGTTGATTAAGTCCCAGTGCTGTATCTGGTGTTTAACGCTATTATCCAAGTCATATTTAAAAAAAATCTGCTTCCAAATGTTGGCTACATATTACGTGTTTTTCTCTGGCCAGAAGTTCGATGGTAAATCCTTCCTCTTCAAGTTGGCAATCCAACGATGAACCCGTCCGTGGAGGATCAGGAATTGAAAAGGTGAAATTACTAATCTTTTTCACTTTTACCTGATGTATTTCAACATCAGACTGCCATGCACATGTGCATTGTCAGTTTAACTATAGCTCTGGTGAATTTCAATGATTAAAGCCTCTGGAAATCTTAAATAATTGTTGTTAATTGGAAATGTGTCTAGCAGTTCCCATTGATTTAGCTTGTAAAGCGGGGAGAATGTCTTACCACACCGTGACGTCACTGCCGGAAGATGGCAGGAGTGAAGTGTTACTATATTTGGGCAAAACTAGCCGCTCCCAGATTCGCAACGAAAATTATTGTTCAAATTTTTTTTACTGATTAAAGCTAAATTCATTAAATCACTGCAAACATATTAGTTTTAGGTATAGATACTGTAATGATCCATTGATTATTCCTTTCTTACCAGACTTTGCCTTTAAGGCCACATTATGCCTGGTGGTGAAATCCTAGTCTGTCACGATACAATTTCCATTTGATTTGATGAATAGATTTGGCAGGATCTTCCCCTCTATGACAATTATGTAATGATATGAACTCACTCACAAACAGCTTCAATATCTTTTGACCGGTTTAGTGCTAAACTTTTGCAGGTATTAAAAAGGCCCTTAATCTAATTACAAGAAAAATAGTAATAATACCAGATCACCAGTTCAATATAGTTTCATGCACTGTGATTTAGAAACATGCGTCTCCTAAAGATGTGGATTCATGTTTTCATTTGACAGTGATGTGACTGAAAATGTCATCATTTAATCAATGAATCAATATCAATTGACTTGTTGTTAAAAAGCTAATGACGACTTCAAGAGGAGCACATTAAGCACCTATACAACAACGCTGGGACCTTGTTCAATTTGTAACTGTTAAAGGGCTCATAGAATGATTCTATAGGGTGTTTGGTGCTGGTCCTTAAGGTCTCTGAATAGGGTGTGTAACATTGGTTGGGCTGAAAATGGCATATTTGTTGTTCTATGAGCCCTAATGCAAGCTTGGTTAAAAGGCCTAGAATAAAACAACAGGTTTTCTTTCTTTTATGGTATGCTCCTCAATATTTAGACGAGCTGTGCGCTGATTGGTTGGTTTACAACAAGCGAAGCTGCTGAGCAAAGACGCATCATAGCAACAAGCACTCACTCACTGAAACATCAAATTGTTGATATGGTAGGGTGACCAGATGTCCTCTTTTTCCCGGACATGTCCTACTTTTCATACCTAAAAAAGTCTGAGGGAAATTTCAAAATCTTCCGGGATTTTGGTCGACTACAGTGCAGCAGAACCGAGCAGTGAGCTCCGGGGCTGGTCAGGGAACCCTGGTGGACAGGGAGCCAGCGGGGGACGGAGCGACCGAACCTGACCCGGTGGCTGTAGCCCCCCCCCCCCCCCCCCCCCCCCCCCTGTCTGCCTTACCGGCCACCAGCCCTTTCCTCAGGCTCAGGAGGGGCGGCTCATGGCTCTCTGCTGAGGTCCGGTCCAGTCAGCAGCCCAGCAGTGGACACTTCATACCTGCCCCCCCAGGGTGTGACAAAAGTACAGGCGAGAACCAAATAAGGCAACATCCCCGAATTGACGTCAATTCGGTGCTTTGTTTGGATTCGCCCGTTTTATGCTGGAAGTTTAGAACTTTAAGATTTGCAGAGAAAGGAGGTGTTGATGGGGTTTGAACTTCTCTATACGTCCATTTCACTCACTGAACTATCGTTATTCATCTATGACAATGTAAACTCGGTTTTCCATTCTATGACCCCTTTAAACTCAACCAGAAATGGCTGTTCTGTTTTCCTGTCTCCGCGTCTTTCCTGAAAGCTGGAAACTAAAATTCTTGTTTTTTCCAGTTTTCAACAAACACCAACAGAATCATCTATTTTATTACAACGTCAGAGGCCACTTGACAGACTCCATGCTGCCTTTAGGGACACTCTGACCTTCTGTAATCTGAAGATCAGAATTATCCACAGAGTCACGCTGCTTCCAAAGAAAATGTTTCCTGTCTCAGTTTTCTGGCCAGTTGTGGCTGTTTTCTTCTGGTTAGCGAGCTGGAGTGGAGGCCAACACGAGTGACGTAGACATCCACTTCCTGTCAGATGTTCAACAATGAAGCCTCTGTTCCCACAGAGACAGAAATAGCATCAGTAGAAAGGAGAATCTGCTCTTCCAGCTCACAGACCGTCATGCGTTTGTTTTATCCAGAAAGAAAATCTTTTCCCCTTTTGGATTTTCCTTAATCAGCTGTTTTTAAATCATTTGCTGGCTTCAGTTTAGTGATGTTCTGATTCATTTTTTAGGAATCTGTCCAATAGATCTCTGACGTTAATGTGGCCTAATATCATTTCCAGATCTAAGGGTGAAATATTTTTCCTACCAACATTTCAGTTCCAAACATGGACAAACTGAATCTGCTGTGGAATGCTCTAAGTCAAAGACGGGTCATGGCACCACAGGATTTTTCCACAATATAGGTCCTTCATCACTTGAACCTATGACCCAGGTTAAAATAAGCACCGCTTATGTTACCTGATCCCTCCCTGGCTTCTCTTTGCTGGCAACATGGGCCCACGTCTTAACCACAAGCATGCTTAGAAAACTGGATTGATGGGACTTCTGCTTCTGGATTTTATACTCGATCGATTCCTCAGGCCTGATACGAAGCAACGCAATCAGATGTTTGCCTGTCACCTCGGCTTTGGATCGCTTTGACCGACGCTCACTCCATCGCCAACTAATCCTTTTTTCTGAACAGGTTTATAGAATTTAAAATATACTTCATTGATCCCAATGGGAAATGAATTCCTGCTGTAACTGTCAGAGGGTTTCTTTTTAAACTATTTGTTGTTGATGTTAATAGCTGTTGGCTGGAAGGATCTCCTGTAGTGGTCTGTCTTGCCCCATATGACGGGAAGCCAATGACTGAACACAATGTTGTTGTTTGTCTTCTTAAGAGGATGCTCTGGGTTGTCCATCATGTTCTTCATTTGAGTACGAGTGGACATTTCTTTTGACCAAGCATCAGCTTAATGAAGAACCCTAAAGAAACGCTGGTAAAGATTCTCAGTCATCCAGGTCATTGTGATTCCAAAAAAATAAAATTAAAACAATCCACTGGACGTAGTTTCCAAGCGTGAAGACGTTTTGCTTCCCATCCAAGAAGCTTTTTCAATTCTTGGCTGGGAAGCCAAACGTCTTCAAACTTGGAAGCTAAGTCCAGTGGATTGTTTTTAATTTTCTTTTTTTGGAACCCAAAAGAAAGACATTTG